AAAATATAATGACAATGTTATTATTTTAATATCTAAATAATTAATTTAATAAAATTATCAATAAATACTTGTAAAAATAGAAATTAAGTAATATAATGAATTAAATTCTATTTTTGAAAGTTAAAATCAACTTATTTTTAAAAACTTGTTTAAATCATTTGTCTTCTTTAAAACTCAATAACATAAATTACTTTTAACTTATGAAAAAATTTTAAATTCCATTTACATAAACTATTCAAAAAACACTAGTAAACGTAAAAAAAAAAAATATCCGTGAAGACTAACATTAATTAGCAAATAGGCAGTACATGAGTAAATGAGTTTCCTTGAATAATTGGATGTAGTATAAGAAGTATAAACGGTTAAGGCTTTTTAATGGTAATCTAATAGCAATAATTTTTATATATTTATAATTTAGTCCTCATTAAATATTTTTAAAATTATTCTTTAAACCCTTAAACATTGTTATTTTGTATTTTCACTGTCTTTGTAGTTGTATTTATAGTTACTTTTTAACATTTTCAAGCATTATATGTGTTTCATATTTGTATCTTAATTTTAAGAAGATTTGTATTGATATGTACTAATTAAATTTTATTTTATAATAAAAAATTACTATTAAATCAATATAGTTTTGAATGTCATCATAGAGTTGTAAAGTTTATGACTTTCACATTTAAATTTTTTTTTTCATTCTCATAATTTAAATTCATAATTAAAATATAATTATGTATTAATTGATTATTGAATGTTATTTCATATCTTCACCATGTCTTTCCTACGAAGTGATCACAAATTGGTTTGTATAATGACTTTATATTCGCCTTAACCTAAATGTTAAATTGCTTAAGTAAAAAATTTACACAAAAACATAACTTATTAAATTAATATTATTTAAGCGTGTAAGACTTAACTTAAGCCTTAAAATTTTTTTAATATTCATTTAAGCTAAATATACATAGTTTAAACAAAATTGTCATAACATTTGTTGGTTCATTATTACCTAAAATTAGCTCAAGTAAATTTAATAGAGCTTAAGCAAAAATTACAAATATTGTGTTTTTAGCCTTCAACTACATTTTTTTAATCATGACTCCTATATCGATTTAGTGAAATTATTCGTATTTAACATAATTAAGATAACTATATGATATTTACGTATTTAATTCGTTCCATTTACAAATATCACATCTCAAAGTATGTCATGCAAAAAGAGAATGTTTATTCAGGTTTTAGATTTGTGAAATAAGTTTGCATGCTAGTTGAGAGGGGGAGACAAGAAGGAATTGAAGTAAGATAAGAAGAAATTTAACAAAACTCTAACAACATTGTTCTAAACAATAATTATATAATTCTATCAAATCTCTTATTTTAGATATATTTTTTTAAACTTTTATTGCTTAAATTTTAACCATATCTATAAAATCTATTAGTTAGAATGAAAAAGAAGTGAGATAAAATAATAAGATTGAGTGAAAAAAAAACTAACTTTACGTGTTTAATTCATTTCATTTACAAATGTCACAATTAAAAGCATGGTATGCAAAAAGAGTATGGTTATTTAGGTTTTAAATATGTGAAAAAAATTTGCATTCTAGTTGAGAGGGGAAGACAAAAAAAAAATTGAAGTAAAATAAAGAGAAATTTAACAATATTTTTTCAAACAAGAATTACCTCATTCTATTCGATCTCTTATTTTAAATATCTTTTTTAAACTTTTATCACTTAAATTTCACCCATATCTATAGAATTTATCAAACTATGAGTTAGGATGAAAAATAAGTAAATTCAAGATAATAAAATTAAGATTTACATAAATAAAAAAGAAACTAACTCTAATAACTCTTTCTCTAAAATAGATAAACAAATAAATGATATATTTTAAATATCTAATATTTAAATATCTTTAACTTATAAAATTTATTAAAGATTAAATTATAAATATTATAAATTTTAAAATATGTTATACGAGTCATTTTGTTAACTTATTTATGAGTCATATAATAAGTTAACTCTGCTTTAGTCTTTATTATAAGTAATAAAATAAATAAAAATTCATTTAAAATTTTAAATTAAATTATTTTATTTTATTTTAAATATTTTTTATTTAACTTTTCTAAAAATTGTTTTTTTATTTGTATGATAAAAATTTTTTCTTATAAAAATTTTGGTTATTTTTTTATATTATTTGTACTATTTACAATTTTATTCAAATTAAGTCTATATAAATTAATATTAATAATTTTATTACTTGATAAGTTACTTCTTCGTACGGTACTTTTTTTTTTTTTGTCTAGAAGAAGTCACCAGTTTATTTCTTTTATAACAGAGCTATAAAGTAAACAGTTAGGGGGCTTTTTTAACGGTGTTTATTAACTTGTTGCTCAGTTAAGAAAGATAAATGTTAATGATGTATTTTTTAACGCATTTTTAGATATAGGTTAAAATTTTTTGAAAATATAAAATGTGTGAATTTTACTTTTTATTTAAGATTTATAATCTTAATTAAATTATTTTTTATTTTTTAATAAAATTTAATTAAAATTTTAAAGTATATTAATAATATCTAATAAAAATCTTCATAAGTTAGTTGTAGGGATATACTTGCTTGACGTGTAGCCAACAATTCCTTATTTAATATATCATTTAAATTTACCCTTTTCCAGTGAGATGGTAAAGAGAAAAAGAGAAAAAATAAAACCTAAGGGCCACTGTCCCATCATCAAAGTGAAGGCCATGGGAGGCCCAATCAAACAACGCCACCACTCCTTGACAAAAGATGGTAGACCCAAGCCCATTCCTATGACCCATCATCATGATTTAAGCTAACCATGCATGGAAAGAGAGGGAGCATCAGCAAAGGAAAGATCTAAATATGTAAAATGTTCATAGAGGGAAATGTGTTGTGCTAGCAATGGAGAATAAGTTAGCACCAAACTGAACATTAAAGGAAAAAATGGAAATATTTGTAGCAATGATAAATTAAAGGATTTTGTTGATATTAATTATATTTAGAGGTTTTATAAAATTCATTTATGAAAAGTTGTAGCATTGAATTTTTTAAGAATAAAAATAGTTTTTTTTTATAAATAAAGGAATATAAATGATATAAGTTTGGTCAGTTTTGTGTTAAAAATGCTTTATAAATGAAACACTTATCCCACTATTGTATACTATTTTTCATATATTTCTATTCTACTAAACATAAGTGTTGAATCATAATAAAGTAACGCTAGCAACACATTTTAAAAAATTTATAAAAATTATGTGAGTTTTTCTTTTTCACTCATAGATTAATAATTTTTAATAAATTTTAACTGACACTAAAAGAGTATTAGAGAGTGCGTTGTTAATATTATTTAACTATAATATTACCACTTATTTAGACAAGTACAATAATTGATTAGTATCAAAGTTTTCCGAATGACTTAAATTATTGATAGCAGGTTAAATACTTAATACAAGTAGTTTCTAAAAGTTGATCAAAATTATTAATTATATTTCACAGTATTTTAGTTAGGTCAACATGGACGATTCTACAAGAAAGACTTTAAGATTTAAGTTAAGAAAATATGGAAAGAGTAAAAATTTAATAAAAAATAATAATGTGATGAAGATTTTCCACTTTATATAAGTATTGATGGTTATATAAATAAGTTTATTATTTTTTACACCTGATTAGTTAAAAAATATGTGTTGAACACATGTAGAATGTGTCATGACACATGTAATAAAGCTAATATTTGTGAGATATATAGTTCATTTGAATTACAACTAAATTTAAGATAAACCTAAATCTTGGATCCTAGATCGAGGTTTGTTTAAGATGATTGAGGGTTGAAGTGACCGTGACATTGCACAGATAGATAAGATTGTTAATAAATTTGAAAAAACTTAATTTCTATGGTGAATTTTAGCATAGTTTTATTTAACATTTCATGAATCACCTTCTTCATCTTTTAACTAAAGTATATTTAACAAGTCCATGTTAAATATAAAATTTTAAACTATTGTTAGTATTATTTATACTTAAAATTTAAAATTTATTTAAAAGATAATATATATATATAAACCGTGTCTAAATTTTAATTTTTAAAATTATTAGCAAATAATGCGGAATATTTTTTAATTTGTTTTAACGTAATACACTTTTTCAATATTGACAAGTGTTGTCCATCATCTTCCAATATATTTTTATACTAGTTTTAGATAAGAATTTGTTGAAAAGAAAATAAATAAAAAATTTATATTTTTTTATTTGATATAAATTTAGTTCAAATTGTTTAAAATGTAAGATTTGTCTTTTAATTTCTGACAAAAATAGTATTTTTGGACAAAATTTTTAGCTATTCACTTAACAATAAAGAATGAATTCAGTTGATATTAATTCTGTGACTAAAATAATATTTTTTTAATATTTAAGTGAAATTTTAATTTACTCTACTAATATTTTTGATTTAATTTAATTCTCTAATTTTTATTTTAGTTCTTTTTTTTATTTAATTCATTTTTAAATTATTTTTCTTTGCTAAAAGTTTATTCTAACTCTAGTTTATCTTTCAATTCTTACAATTATGATGATGCCATGGTGTTTGATACATATTAAATTCACAATAAAATAATTAAGAATAAAAATTATGAATGTATTAGATATGTTCAATAATTAATTAATAATCATAATAGATATTTACAATAAAAAGAATAAGTAGTTGCCAAAAATAATTTGTAAACAATTAAAGAGATCTTATTGATGATTTAAAAGTTTTAGATAACAATTAATAGTAAAATGCATAAAAAAATATTTTTCCAAAATACTGTTATTTTAAAAATTTTGATTAAATCAAGATTCAAAATAAACTTTAGTGTTTAGTTTATTTTGAAAAATTATTTTAAAAACCTAAAATAAATTTACAGGACGAAAATTACAATTGAACCTAATTTTATGAAATTCCTAAACCAAAAGCAGAGTAAGTTAAAAGTGGAAAGCCAAATACGGCGCAGCAGCCTCTCCAACAACACAGAGTCACTGTTAGAGAGCTTCCACTTAGTTACACAACATAAACTCTTCTTCCTTTTCCTTTCGCTTTGCCGAAACCTACAAAACCCTTTGTTCTGTTCAATCTCTTTTTCTTCATCATTTCGATGGGTACGTATTCACCTTCGTCCAATTCCAATTCCAATTCCTTTTCCGTTTTCAGTTCGCTGCACAATATATTCTCTTTTCTCAATCTCTTCCTTCTGATCTGTGCTGCGTCACTGTTGATTTAGAATGAATTGCCAAATTTAAATTTCTGGATTTTTTTAATATTTTTGACATTTTTGTCCCTTTTCTCTATCGAATTGTGTTGTTCGTTGTTTTGATTAGGGTTTTGTTTGAACGGTTAAATGTATATGTTGTTTGTTTTGGTTTCGTTTATGTTTTAATTGCAGTGAGTGGGTTTCCTTGTTTCTGAAAATTAATGGCTGTATTGAGTTTGTGTGGTTTGTGAAAATTATTTATGCTTTTCGTGAGTTGAACGAAAACAATTGTACTTTTGACGTTTTGAGGAACTTGGTTGAGTTGATGGAAATGTTGTTGGCATTTATTGTTTTTTGAATGGTAGATATCGAGGAGGACATCCGTTCTTTGCAGCTTGAATCAGCAGGTAATCGAAAGGCCTACTGTTTTTTTTCCCATTCGTTTTGCAATTTATGAGTGTTTTTGTTCCCTTTTTAATCAATTTACCCTATCTTTTGATGGAGATGTAGCAGAAGACAATAATGGGGTTGGAAGTCCAGAGGATGGAAAGGCGGAAGAAGTTGAGAAATCTGATAAGATGGATGAAGGTTGGTAGTAAGACGGTGTTTGATTCTTTGTTTTGTTGTTTCTTTTTCCTCTGGGGAAAAATCTTATCCTGTACAATTGTTATACTTTACGATTGAATGTTGAGCGTGTTTTTGCCCAATTCTCTGTTTAATTGTTTGTTTTTTCCTCATTCGCAAACTTTCAAATCAATTATCATGTTTTTTTGGACCAACCCGTTTCTGCTTCTTACATGCATGAATAAATGCTCCGTAGTAGCACCTTTTATTCCATCTCTTAGCTCAAACAGTTGTGATCACTTATTCAGAAAGATTGTTTTGAGGTGGAAATTTCTCATCAATTTTTATATTAAGGGACAAAAAATTTTATAGAAGCTGGAAAACATATATGCATTCCCTTTTTCTTCCTTTTTCCCTGGCTTCTTGTTGGATTTTTGTACTCAAAATGAATGTTAGTTTTGGTGGTTACACTGTTCATTCAATTTTAAATGAATAATCACTTTGGTAACTGAAACTGACACTGTCTGCATGGGTTTCACTTCGTTTATGACAAGTGGTATCTTGCCAGTTTTGTTAGTAATCTCTGGATAGATCACTTGCCTATTGTTAATTTTATTGGAAAGTTTGTGTGTTGTTGCTTGTTTGGATCTCGTTTGGCACTTAATGCAGCTTATTCTATACCGCTTTGTACTTCTCTTACCTAATTTTATCTTCATTTCTCACCATCTGAAAATGGTGGTAAAGTAAATTCGTTTCTTCTAGCAATAGAATTTTACTTGCTTCTTGAACAAGGGGAAAAGAAAATTGCAGTAGCTCTGTTCTAGATTGTTTCCTTGGGTGTTGTTTGCTGCCTATTTTATATACATTACTGCTGTATTCCATAATGTAATTTATTGATGGAGAGCATGTATAAAGAATTTCACCTTGGTGGTTTCAGATTCAAAGCAGGAGGTTCAGGAACAGCCTTTCCAGGCTGAGCCAAAAGGTAATAGAGAAATGTTTCATTTTCAATGAAGTAATTTTGTATATCATGCCTTTTTAAATTGTTGTTCAAAATTAAATGCTCAATGCTGACAAAGATGTGAATTTCCATTTTTTGGTGTTGACACCATGACTTTGGTTTGTTTTGAAAGATAAGGAAATTCCTCCCATGCAAGATGAAGAAGATGATGTGGAGATAACGAACAAAAGACACTTAAATGTTGTGTTTATTGGTCATGTGGGTAAGTTGATGAATTCAAAAGGTTCCTTTACCATTACTTGGATTATTATTTAGGAGCTTTCCTGTTTGCGTCTTATTTTTTATGGTCATTCAATATGATTATATTGCTCATTTTAGGATTTATGTCAATCTTGCATATGGTAAAATTTGGTCACTTCAGTCACTTGTCAACAGTTCTCACAGCATTCTTGAATCATGACATTTTACTCTACAATGGTTATATCTGTTTTCCACTTGAGTTTTGTGTATAAAGTTGTTGTGTCTTGTGTGTATAGAATTGGTCTAGCTGCAATGTGTTGTAACTTTTGTTTTATACATTTGAATAAAAAATCTGCAATCTTCCTCATATTAGTTAAGTTGGCCAAGGAAGTCTGAAGTTTTAGGGCATTAGAGAAAATGTGAATGAATCTGTGGATGCTTTAGGGGATGTTTAGTAAACCTAATAACTAAATCAAAGCAGTTGAAGATTGTCTGCTTTAATAAATATGTAATTTGTATTTTCTTTAAACTGAGAGATAAAATATAGATATGATAAAATGAAATCATGTGGGGAGGGGAGGGGGGTGGGACATATTGGCGCTTTAGAAATTATCCTTAACTGGGAACAAGCATGGTGCTAATGTTACTGCTGATCTTTAATACTTTCTTATTTTTTCTATCAATACATATCTCCCTTTTATTTGATAGGAACTGATCCTATTAGATTTGATTTGCTAGGATATTGTATTGGTATGATTAGATCAAAAAGCAATTGGTCAACCTAGATATTAGGATTTCATTGTTTACTGCAATGGATTTGGCTGGAAAGGAAGTTTTTAAATTTTTAAGTCTGTTTCAGGTGCTGAAATGAAAGTGAACCTCATTATTATATGCATGGCTAACACTTACTGTTCTTCAGTATCATTTGAATTTAGATATTGATCTTGGACTACTAGAGGAGTTACACAAATTGCTTCTTGTTTCAGATGCTGGTAAGTCTACAACAGGAGGCCAGATACTTTTCCTCAGTGGTCAGGTTGATGAGCGGACTATCCAAAAATATGAGAAAGAAGCTAAGGACAAAAGTAGAGAAAGCTGGTGAGTTCATATACTGGTGTTTCTTGTTTGAAATGTTGTATATTATTTATTGGTGCTTCGCTGCCTTGCATATTTTCCAAATTTTTTCGTGTCAAGGCAACACTCTTAGAACTAGTTGTAGTTGTGATTTTACATCTGCATTATTTACTGGCCCAACCAACCTGATCAACACTTTCGGCTGAAGTTAGGCCAGCGAATTTGATCACTTTGACGGGAAACCATCTTTAGGTTTTAAAAATGCCCCCCTGGCGCCAAACACCAGTTTTGTTGATGGAGAAAATTTGTTGTTGAGGAAACAAGAATCCTTGAATTGCATGCTTCATTAATGAAATTTAAAGTGGGTCTTTTGATTTTGATCACCCTTCAGTCCAATTATGTTATGAATTATTACCCTTCAGTCCAATTATCTTATGAATTTTTTCTCTTATGGCTGTCACTAGGATATCCATGATTTATAAGGTGTACCTTGAGGTTTATTGTGTACAACTGATTGTTTAGTCTTTCCCTTTTGAAGGTTCTATTTCTTTGCAACAATATAACTATTAACTACAAATACATATGTAAAATCTCATCTATTTGTTTCCCTTATAATGTAAATAGTGGCATGCTAATTATTCTATCTTCATGAATCTGTTGTCTGCTTTTACACTTTATTATTGTCTATTGCTTTGTGGGTTACTAAGCTCTTCTAATAAGGTGTGAACATTTTAATTCTTTTTAACATATTCTTCCGTTGATTCATAAAATTTGTCTTGCTTCAGTAGTCATTGAAGTTTTGGAAAATTTCATGTTTTTAACTTTGTTGTCCTTGTGAAACACTGACACTTGAAAAAAGATCATTGTCTCAGTTGCCATACACTTCAGAACATGCTTAGTTACTTCAAATATTATGCTGTAATGCCTGTTTAAATGTATTGGGGCTTCTGTAGTGAAGGTGTTTTGTTGCATATTTTGTTTTAGGTGTATTGAGGTGTGGTACTCAATCCAATGTTTCGAAAACCAGACTGGCTGGGTATTGAACTGGAAAAAGAATTAGGTCACAATTCAACAGTTCAACAATGGTTGAACTGGAATACACACAGAGTACAATTTAATAATGTAATAAAATTTAAATATGATAATATGATGATTTTAACTAAAGGATAGCCTCAGCCTAGTAGCCGGCATTGCATGTTTCACTCCTCATGTGAGTTTGATTCTCATATACTGTCCAACTTGATATATTTTGAATTCCACCAACCTGTTCAGGTCATGATACTAATGGTTTAGTATGGTTCAATGTGCTGTTAGACTGGTCAACAGTTCTATGTTTTTTGTATCTAGGTAGTTCAATTGACTTGGCTGGTAGTCAGGTACCTAGTTGAACTGGTTGGTTTAGTCAGTCCAGTTTGGTTTTGTCTGACAACAGTTCAAACTATGAAATTGAAGATTGTGGTTGTATGGGTTTTCAATTTATTCTGTTGTTTGTTAGGTGGACCTTTTCAGTTTGAGGGAATGTTTAGCTTACCGAATGAATATACTTGATACTGATACACATCTGATTAGGGATTTACAATTTATATGCTAGGTATATGGCTTATATAATGGACACAAATGAGGAGGAGAGGGTAAAGGTACGAAAAATTTGCTGATAAAATTTAAATGGTTTATCCCATTTGATAGAGTTTTCCTTTTTACTTTTTAGTTATACATTTTTATGAATTTGTTTAGAACTTGTAATTAGGATAAAGTCATGCTGATTGCAGGGAAAGACAGTTGAAGTAGGGAGAGCCCACTTTGAAACTGAGACAACAAGATTTACAATTTTGGACGCACCTGTAAGTATCTGCATTGCACAAATCTCCAGAAATGTTTTCCATATCATGAATGATCTTCTGTTTTTAGATCATTTACATGGTTTTCTCTGGCAGACATGTGGAATTTAGTGAGCTTTGCTTTGTTGATGTTCCTTTCTTCTTGTGTGGTTTGTTTCTTTTTAGAGGATTCCTTATCTTCTGATTATATTTCCTTACTCACTTCTCCTATAAATTCTCCTGTATCACAAAATAAAAAAAATTAACGTCCTTGAGTTTGATTGTGTTTTTGTTTTATAAAACAACTTTGTGGATAGAGAAGAAAAAAATATTTTTCAACGTTTTTTTCAGAATGTACTCTACAGCAATCCCCTGAAAAAACCCATACAAATACTGCATCCCTACAAAGCATTCAAACAGCCAAAAACTCCAAAATTCCAAAGCAAATACACTTCCAAAGTTTCCATGGAAAGTGATGTGGCAATGTGTTGAATAATGGAAGTTGGGTTTTTGTTGGCAAGAATGAAAAGAGACAAACTTGAGCATGGAAAGAAAAGTCAGCCAATGATGCATTGCTTCATCCCATGTCAGTGTGGGAGGCACAGAACTGTGGACCGTTCAACATGTGGGATGCAACATTCAATCAGCAGTGCCATAGAAAAGGGATAAAGAATGCAACCAGTGTCTTGATGAAGGTACCCAGATCTTCAATTGTGATGGAGAAGAACAGAGCAGGAAACAAGTGATGGCAATGTCCATGTGGTGGGTGGTAACAGTGACAACAGGGTGCTAGGTAGCAGTGATGTAGAGTTGGGCGGGAAGTTGGAATTGGAAGTTGGTTTGAAAATTGAAAACCTAAACAAAGACAACCTTGAAATGTTCTCAAATTTGTGTTTTAAAAACTAGAAATGAGATAATATTTTAAACAGTTTCCAGAAAATGCTCCCAACAAACAAGGTTTTCATTCATGCATTCATTCATTTTTTCTTTTTTTAAAACCAAAAACACTTCTATAAAACAGTAAACATACAGGGTCTATTTTGTGATGTGAACTTCAAGGGGAAATTATTGTTGTATGTGTTAGATCTAAAAGCATTCATATTCTTTCATCCAATAGCATATGCTTTTGGGATAGTTGGTTTGTTACACGGTATCAAAAGCCTCACTATGTTATTTCCAGTTTGATTATTGTTTTCCTCTTTCTTCTAAGTAGAAGTTCAGCACAAGAGAGGGTAAACCTATGTTTTGTTCATGCTTCAAATCCAAAAGGCTCTTGTGTGGGGCAGCCTGTTTGATATAAAATCCATTCAATTGCTTTCATCAGACACCTTAGCTTTTGGAATAGTTAGTTCACAACAGTATACGTTATTCTCCAGCATGAGGGTTTAATTTCATAAAATATAAGTTGATAATGGGAAAATGCTTAAAATTATCTGCTTCCAAGTTTGTATTCACTTTCTGTCCAATTTGTTGCTAAGATTTACAACCTTTATGTGTCAACTTAGGCAATTTATCCAGTCATAAAACAACATATTCCTTACTTTGAAGCACGTATACGTAAGGAACGACTTTACTAATTGGCGGTTTGGGCCTATTACTGACAGTATAATACTGTGTTTGGGATCATTTAATGAATGAGGCGTATAGATAAGTTATTGATGAGTTCATACTTTCACCCAAATTTCAATTGATGTTATATGGATATAATTTGTCATTATAAAGTCTTCTATTATATGAGAAATACAAAGAGTTAGGTCTTAGGATGGAGATTGACCCATAAATTCATCAACACCTTGGCAAATGACTCTATTGCAGTGCTTTTTGGGTCTCGTTGGGTTGATATCTTATTTGTGCCAAGTCTCAAAAGTTGAGTAGCCCCCCTAGAGGCTAGGGGAGAGGCTAGTTTTATTATGCTTTGAGTCGACTATATTATTTTGCGCTCCTTTGCTTGTTAAATTATTGTCATGTCTCTCCCATTCAATTCATTTCCTGAGGAAGCATTTAATATTTATTATGAATTACAATGCTTCTTCAGGGTCACAAGAGTTATGTCCCTAACATGATCAGTGGTGCATCTCAAGCTGATGTTGGAGTTTTGGTAAGTCAACCTATGATGTATCACACTTCCATGATTTTCAATAGATTCCTCATGATATTCATTTGATGATATCTCTCTGTCCATGTCTCTAATGCCACATCAATCAGGTAATTTCTGCTCGAAAGGGAGAATTTGAAACTGGATATGAGAGAGGTGGACAAACCCGTGAACACGTTCAGCTTGCAAAAACACTCGGTGTGGCTAAGCTGCTTGTTGTTGTCAATAAAATGGATGATCCTACGGTGATGTGGTCAAAAGAAAGGTTCTTCTCGCTCACCTTTGTCTTGGCTCTGGTTCCCCCTTTCCCTTCTGTCATTATCTGCAATTTTAATTGGATATCTTGCTTCTTGTTTGCCTTTAGGTATGATGAAATTGAGTCAAAGATGATACCATTTCTGAAACAATCGGGTTACAATGTGAAGAAAGGTATTTTGGGACTTATGTTGCCTGAGTCTTTTTAGGTTTCATTTTTGTTAGAAATGAAATTGATCACAGGCCTTTACCCAACATCTTAACTATTGAATGACTTGGTTCTTGACATGGTATAAAAACTTCAATGACCCACGTTGTCAGGAGTCTGGCCATTGCTATTCCTACTCGTCTAAATAAAACTTAGATTTGAGCACAAGGTATATTGGGCATGTGCATTGTCAATGCTTGAGGGAACATGTTAGATATAAAAACATTGATTAGCTAATAGCTGAAACTTTTGGGGGAATTGGTTTTTGACAAGTTCAACTTTTTTCCGATTTTGGGATGCTGCTGTAATTATATAATTTAAAGTGAGTGTATTGTGTTTCTTAACAGTCTTTATATATGTTTAAACATAATGGGGTGATAGACTGTCTGTTGTGCTTCACCCTTAAATTTGGGTTCTCATTTAGAGTAAGAATACTTTGTCTTGCTGCATACTAGTGGAGCTCAGGGCAAGTTGAAGCAGATGGCTGACAGGTTGGTAACTTCTTTGGGCAAAATGCTGAGCAGGGTTTGGATCTAGGTATTAAGCTTGCTGGGGTTATAGAAATGAAGTTGAACTTAGAACATAGTATGAACAGAAGCTCGTTTGGCATTGGGTAGTAAGGATTGGGATTTGGGGGTGTTCAGGTTGTTCCACAGAAGTTTTTCTTTTCCTGTTCAACTGTTTTAGCCATGTCTTTGGTATAGGGTTTTAGAAAAGTTCATAAATAGAAGTTGATGTGTGAAAGCACTGTTTTGTAAATAATTTCCGTTAGATATCCTCACAATTTATTTATAAGTTTTGACTTGCTTAGTTTGTTGTGGAAGGAAAATTATTTTTATAAGTATTTGCTCGTTAACCAGATGTCCTGTTTCTACCAATATCTGGCCTGATTGGTACAAACATTAAAGTGAGTGTGGATAAGAGCATTTGTCCTTGGTGGGATGGTCCTTGCCTATTTGAAGCTCTTGATGCTGTTGAAGTTCCTCCACGAGATCCCAAAGCTCCTTTTAGGTAATGTGTGTAGTTCTACATAGTTGTGTTTATACTTACATTTCTGCTTCTTTGCTAAGGTTGGGTGTATGACTTGCATAGGATGCCTATACTTGACAAATTTAAAGACATGGGAACTGTTGTTATGGGTAAAGTGGAATCTGGCACTGTTCGTGAGGGAGATTCCTTGTTGGTTATGCCAAATAAGGTGGTTATAGTTTATTTTATTTATTTTTCTGATGTATTGTGAGCTTTGTCCTTTGTTGTCTCTTGTCTATTACTTTTTCTCCCTTTCTAAATGTGACTGCACATATGCAGGATCAAGTAAAAGTTGTTGGAGTATTTATTGACGAGAATCGGGTTAAACGTGCTGGACCAGGTGAAAATTTGCGGATTAGATTATCCGGCATTGAAGAAGAAGACATAGTAACTGGGTTTGTCCTGTCTAGTATTGGTAATCTTTGACTAGACTTTTGTAAGATGTGTTTGAGCAACCTATTTGTGACTACATCTTTTAGTTAAAAAAATTTAATTGAAAAAGATGCCTTAGAAATGTAGAAACTAAGGGTTTGTCTCATCTCATGGTTCATTTCTAATTCTGCCTTCTTATATGGAAATTTATACTATAGAGTATTATATAATGCCACGAGATGGTCAATGCCACAAATGTTGTACTAATACTATTATTTTGCATTTTTAAGTGTGAGCAAGTAAAACATGAGACTGTTTTTGAAGTTGGGTTGGGAACCTAGGTTGAATTGTTATGGATTTAAAAATATTGGTTGAATCAGAGATATGTCATCCAAATTCCAATCATGTTGACAGAAGGACTCTTCCCTTCCATAGATCCAATTTAATATTGAGATTCTTTAATTTTAGATTGTTGCTGTGTCTTTATGTAGTTATGCATTTGCTAATCGGTTCTGTGGTTTGTGTTTTGTTCTGCTCTCAGCAAATCCAATACCTACTGTGAGTGAATTTGTGGCGCAGCTGCAAATCCTTGAATTGCTGGACAATGTATTTACTCTTCCCTTTTCTCTCTCTACATTTTGGTCTTAGGAAAATTTCTCCTTCTTAATCCAGGACATATCTCTGCTACATAAAATTAGGCTATTTTTACTGCTGGGTACAAGGCCGTTCTGCACATCCACTCTATTGTTGAAGAGTGTGAGGTTATTGAGCTCATACATGAAATTGATCCAAAGACAAAGAAACCTAAGAAAAAGAAAACTCTCTTTGTGAAGAATCGTGCATTTGTTGTGTGCCGAATTCAGGTACATGCTTCTTTGTAAATTTGGATGTGAACTTTGGTTCACATATTGTCGTATTGCCATACTTGGACTTTCCGCAAATATGAAAACTTCTTGATGATGGTTCAAGGTGATTCTCAAATTTCAAATCGAGAGAGGAAGTCAGTGTCAATGGAATGATGGTAGTTTATTATTAATTTTTTAATATCTTTAAGCTTTGTTTGATATTGTTTTGGGAATGTTCTTACAGGTTAGTAACTCAATATGCATTGAGAAATTTACTGATTTTCCACAACTTGGGAGATTCACTCTTCGTTCTGAAGGTAAGATTTGGAAATGAAATCTTCCTTTTCTTCTAAACATGTTGCTTGTATTAATATATGTTGAAAGCCTGTTACGCTGTCTTACAGGAAAAACTGTTGCAGTGGGAAAAGTCACAGGTCTGTAAGCTTATAACAATTTTGACTTGAGGTATATATTTGGCATTATGCTTCAATCTAAATAGTATGCAATAATGTAAGCCCCCCATTCTAGTCCTGAGTTGTTGGTCATTTTAGGTTTTGACTTCGTAAAATGTGGTTTACTTTAATCCTATTTAACACAAAGTGACAATGTAAAATGTAGTAGAAAAGGTGCAAGATGAATTAACATTTTGTAAAATTAGAAACTAAAGTAAAAATTTTATAGAATTAAAGACTAAAGTGACTGATCTTTACAATTTAAGAGATTAAAATAGGAGTTTACTCATGTAGGTTCTTATGTTTTTCTGTATTTATTAGGCAAAAGTATAACAATTTTTTCAGACAAAAGAATATATCAATTTATGTGAAGGAAACAAAGCAAGTTTTTTTCTTACAAATTCTTGAAAAATTGGACATAATAGGAATCGATATGATTTTTCTTTATGTATCAAGTAAAGGGACATGATGTCTTGTCGAATTTTGTGGAAGGAAGATTTTTTTTGTACATTAATAACATTTTGCTTTATAAAAACCCGGCAACTCCTGTTCTGTTGGAAGTGACTACCCTATGCTGATTGATTCATCTTTAACAATAGCCACTGGTTTTTTGACTGGTCATTAGCGGATTATCAGCCTGAAAAAACTATTTTATCATGAACCAGGGGCAAAATTTCAGATTTTGTTTTTGTTTTTTTTGGGAAATTTAGCTCTTATGCTTATAGTTCAGATGATTTTTGTGTGGACAGTACATCACATCATTCCTGCACAGACAAATGGAGTGGCAGCATTGAGGCATAATTGACATTATCATCAAGTTTCAAATATATTCAATTTTGTTTTTATTTTACTTTTATTTGGCAGTAGTTCCATGAAGAGTACTTTTTGCTATTAGTTCCCATGGACATGTGGCCTTGCAAGGCCTGCTGCTTCAGTGATTTGTGGGTGACAGCTTTGCTGTGTCTCCCATCCCAACTGTGCTGCTTGATAATATAATTGAAATCTATGATTTTGAATTTGTCAAAACTCAATTAGGTGTGGTATCTGATATAACTTAGTTGTTCTCAGACTTCTCGGATAACAAATCTTCTATGCTTCACTGGTGACTACATATTTAATTTGATGTTGAAATGTGATTTCTTGCAACTATTTTACTGACGACATTGGGGAGTTATGAATTTGAAAGTTGGCGTTACTTTCCCATACACGTATATCCCCGCAAAACGAAGTTGAAGTTTGTTTCTTAATTCAGTGCTTAGTAGTTTTTGTTGTTATCCTCGAAACGATAAAATACACCGAATTCATGGCTACGTAGTAACTATTTATTTTGTGCTCTAAAAGGTGCCTTATATAAGATGTGGTTATTATTTCTCGATGGATTTGAATTTTTCAAGTTGTTAGACTTGAATCACTAAAATCACTAATGTCACTGTATAAGTACAAACTACTTATTTGTGCTCTAAAAGGTGCTTTATATAAGCGCTGGTTACTATTTCTGAATGGATTTGGATCCTCTAATGTCGACGAATATAATATGGTCATGTTAAAAGTGTAATCTTTCTATTAGATCTTCATTTGATAAACATTGTCCTTTTTTCGTTTATATGATCCTATCATGCTATTTAATAACGAAAGATGATTCGTGTTTTTTCAATTAAAAGTGCTTCTAATTCATTGATTACTATTCTGTCATTGCTATCTCATTTTTATGGAATATGATTGATAAAGCGTTGATTTAAGACTGACAATAACGAGCTTCCAGAGGTAGTGCAAAAATGCTGGAACTTTTGGAAATAGCTGTACAGCATTTGCTGGTTTGAACAACATTGAGTTTGGAAGATGCTGAAGCTCTTGCCCTCTAACCTGTTTATTAATACTTCGTTTTTTCTTTTATCTTACTTTTTGAACTCACCTTGTTTATTTATTTTTCTTCTAAACAGAAGTTAACCTATTTTAAATTTCCACCCTTCATACATGCCTAAAACTGAAAAAAAAGAAAGATAAAAAAATGAAATAAACATAAATGCATTCTAATTTTTATTATTATAAATTATGATGACATAATTTGATTGATTGAATATTATATTTAATTATTATATTATTAAGCTTGAGAAAAAAATATTTTTTATTTATAAAATAATTGGAAATAAAATAATAACATAATTGAAAAGTAAGAAAAAACATTTTTACTTTATCAGAAACTTTTTTTTTGGTCATTGGGGGAAGAGAATTGGGAGAGGGGAAGGGGGATGTACAATTTAAGACTTAAGGTTGAAATCCTATTTATCTTGTATATTATATCTGTCAGCTTTTCCTGATTATTTTGTATATATCTTTTTAGCTCTTATCACTAAGCTATACTACAAGGACTATTTTATTAGATTTTTTTTTGTAATTGGGGGAGGGGGATTGGGAATTAGGAGAGGGGAATGTGGGAATTTTCTGAAGTCAAGATTTGAACTCTAGTCATGATGCTTATATCATGTTAGTTCTCCCCACTTAGCTACCCCTACAAAAATATTATATCCTAAGAAATGTTAGATGGGCCTTGATTAGTATCTGATACTAATAATCGGATATGACTCCTTTTAAGTCATTCTGGCAAGAGAAGAAAGGATTGAGGAACAAGGTTGATGGAGAGAAAGGAACTTGGAAGAAAATCTATTGAAGAGAAGAAAGTGTAGTAATTTTAACTTTTGTGTGGTGCTGTGCATAGTTCAATTATCATTATACTATTTTCATGATTTTGTCATTTCCCCTCGTCATTATTATTAAATCACTGTTTCCATCGTATCACGTTATTCTTTTATGTGGGTGTGTTTGACGCTTGCAATTATAATTGACTTCGTTTGAATAATCAACTTAAGTATTCATTGAAAAATTGCTGATACAAATTTTATCATGCAACTGGTTAAAATAAATTTAAAAAATAATTTTAATAATTTTATTAAAATAATTTTCAAAATATGAATGATATAAACTATTTTTACAAGTATAAATAAACTCTAATAGAGTTCTTCTAAACTCTCGTCAGACTTCTAAAGATTATTTTTTTATATAACGCGATGTAAAAAATATATTAATATAATTATTAAAAAAGTCAGATAAAAAGTTTACTCACTTCGGAATCCTCGACAGTCTGCATTCTCCAATACAAACACAGCACACAAATACATATATTTTTTCTTCAATGGAGAAATCCAACCCAATAGGTTTATTTCTTTGATAGATAATAAAATGCTTTACATAAAATGGGGAGTTAACTTTTATTTGATATATACGAGAGTTACTCTCATTCTCAATAAGCTTATTCATTCCAACATCAATCAAATCTCACATCTATTATATAAAAATGGAAATTTAACGCACAACATTTTCTCATGTTTCTTATAGGACCCTTTCATGAACCAATGACGTTAAAGAGACAAAAAATAGTAATGATTGGTTGGATATGAGGAAAGTGAGAAAATTGATATGGGTATACAACATTCCCTAAGTCCCAGGTTTTTATTGGTTCTACAAAAAGGCAACTAACTATGACCTTGAAATTAATGATATTTGCAAAAATATTGAATCCATAAATCTTCAAGCTAACTCCAATTGAACTTTCTATTAAAAGTTTGATGGAGCCCCCACATGAGACATGAATGCAAGATTGTGCTAGTATCGTAATTTGCTAAAACTAAAAAAGAGAGTGGATATGCTTATTCCTTCACAAGTTTGACATCAGGATTTCTCATGGTTTTGAGCCACATGTCATCCATGATTCTTGAGGAAATGCTCCATAACAAGTCTTTACCTTTTGCCAATGCATGCTTCCCTTTCTTCTGTGCCTTTCCCAACCCATATTCAATCAACCATTGCATTGCAGTTAGCCTTTGCTTCTCTGTGTCCCATGCATTATTTTTTTTTGTAGCGCTCATCACCTTGAAACCTCCCACATGCATGCCCATTACCTTGAACTTGTTCTCCTCATCATCTTTATAGTACTTATTATTCCCCTTTGTGTCTTCACTTGTTGCATGAATGAGCACCATCACAGGCCCTCCAACTGCTTCAAAGCGTCTTATTGGATCCCTCAATTGGATGACAAATATCATTGTGATGTTTGATGGTTCACTATTGGAACTTGAAGCAGTGTTAATGTAGCTTTGGTTTTTGATCCAATCCTCAAGTGAAACAGATGAACCTAATAGATCATTGTCTTTGTTTCCATCCTTTGTGCTGAGTGCATAAACATCAAAAGGAGCTTCTTCCTCTACCATATCAGCTTGGATTTTCAAGGCTTCAATTGCCATGAACTCAATCTTCTGCATTGTAAAGGCTAGAATTTTCTCAGCAGTGAGTGGAGTTTCATCCACACTCCAAAGTCCTGTTGAAATTCGTTTTTGTCTTCCTGAACTCATTGCATTTGCCATGCCTTTCAAGGCAGAAACTATTCTAGCAGCACTAGAACTTGCTCCTTCTTTATTTCTACCTTGTATGATGGCAGAAGCAATGCCTTCAAAAGCAATTTGTTCGGCAGTTTTACCTATCAATTCATCAAGTGGCATCAAGGAGAAAATTTTAGAGCTGAGTTCATCAAGATCAATGCCAGCCAATTTCTGAAATAACTCTAATCCATTTGGGGTATCATTTGATGCCAACACAAATGGCTTTGACATCTGCATTGCTAGCTTTGGAGTATCATTTCTAGCCACAGAATTATCTAAAGGGTTCATAGATGCCAAGTAGCCTCCATCCCTTGTTTGAACCACACAACCCAAGCCCTTGCCAAGATCAGGGAGATACACTTTAGATTCTGCCTGAGCAGAAGAATTCTCATGTCCTTCGATTTGTAATGGGGGAATTTCAGATTTATTGTTTTTGTATCCTCTAGTCTTTTGATCCTCAAGCATATGAAGAAACTCCCTTGTCACAATTTCTTCATCAGAATCCAATCTTTGTGACTCAGTTTCCTCAGCTTTTGTGAACTTGTTATTTTCTCCGATGATGGACTCAAGAGCCTTTATCTGCTTGGCAATTGAATCAAGCTCAGTTAATCTAGTTAGGCGCAACTGATCATGCACTATTTCCTTAACAACCTCACTTGAAACTAACTTCCCTTCTATTGATTTCTCAGATTCTTCTCTTTTATCATCTTTCCTCTCTTGAATCTCAACCCCTTTATCAACAACCTCAAAATCTTGGAGATCAAAATCCTCCACTTTTTCTTTGTCATCACCAAGTTTCTGTGTAGAGAGAGGTGAATCCTGAACTGGGATTGGATCATCCAGATTCAAATAATCCATACCTTGAATATCTGCAGCTAACCTTACTTGTGAAGGAGTCCAAGCATCACTTCTACTTGTTATTCTTGGACTAGGCATGCTGAAGGATGTCTTGGATTGTCTACGAGCAAATGAAGATGTAAGATTTCTGAACTTGCTGGACTTCAAATTCTCTTGCTGGCTATATATCTCAACTCCTCCTTTCTCCATGATTTGGAAGCCCAATTTCAGAACCAGTTCTCCTCCTTTTGCCTTTCCTGATAAGCTAAAGCTTGTGTCCCATTGTCTAACACGCGTGCCTTGCCAGTTTTTCTCAATGGATTCTTGAATCAAGTGGCTCAAGTCCACACAGTTTCTTCCAAAATTAATCTCTTCGGCATCCACTGCAACAAGGTATATCCAAAAGGGTCTTGGCTCAAACTTAAGCTTCTTTCCATTACCATGGTTGCAATAAACATGGCACCTGATGAAAAGGGTCTCTTCAAAATCTGCAGCTCCTTGAGCAACCCTCGATGGCATAGTCTGAACAGCTCCATCCTTTGACTCTTTCTTTCTAACACAAACACAAAGCCTTAGTCCATTCATGGATGAAGGAAGGCCTTGAGCAGTGACCACTTCAACAGAAAACAAACAGCTTAGTTTCTGCATTCCAATATGAGCAAGAACCCTCATAGGCTTCCAGCTCCATATCCCTTTCTTGTCAGCTGAATTTGCGGTGTCATCAAACTTTTTGATGCCTGGTTGAGTAAAGGGTGCCTTGGAATCTTTTAGCTTTGGCCTTGATCTCCAAAGTGACAAGGACATGCGATGGGACCTTTGTTTGTTGCTTTGTTTGTTATTATCTTTAGCAGTGTCATTGTCTTCTTCAGCAGATGAGACAGAAGGAGCTGAAGTTCTTGGTAGAGCTAAAGAAGCTGTTCTTCTAGTTGTGTTGGATGTGTGTGATTGGTAAAGGGATTCACTTAAGGCCTCTAGTTCTTCAAGGAGTTGAGCATTGGAGTTTCTCTTGGTAGAGTTATCAGCTGCCATCACTAGTGTATGAAGAAGTTGTAGCTGCTTCAGCCTCCAAGAAAAAATGGTGATGATTATGTCACCAAGAGAGAGAGAGAGAAAGAGAGTTTTGGGACAAGGAAGATGATGAAATGCTCACATGCTTGGAAGGTTAGTTAATTAACTTGAGGTGGAAGGACTATGCTATTAATGATGATGAAAACAGTGATGTTGTTGGACATTTCTGAACCAAGAAAACCTGATGATGTGTGTATTTTTGGGGGATTAAACATGAACGGTGGCATTGGTGCCATGACAGAATTTGAAAATTAATAGGCAAGGTGGTCCCAGTGAATTTAATGTTGGTTTTCCCTAGTCAGAAGCAAGTAGTGACTGTGATAAGATAACCTTTGTACTGGTTAAAGAAATTTCTATTGGTGTGAGGGAAGTAGAGGAAATGCATAGTAACATATTAGTCAAAGATCAATATGAACACAGGCTTGGTGACATACCCTTACGTGCTATTTAACGATGTTCATTCGAAATGGATCAATTGGTGGCATATTTTTTGTTCCATCATTTTTTGGATAGAAATAGCAGGAAAGTGATCTAGTAAGCCTTCAAAATTTTGTATAGAAAAGAAAATGGAGTATGTCTACTGTTATAAACTTCTTGTAGGTTAAAAGGATAATTCTGGTCTTGTTTGGTTTAATGTTGAATTCTAACGTAATCATGTTTGTTTACTTCATTGTAAGGTAATTTTATAAACAAAAAATGATGTCGATTCCTCTTGAACATAATTGCTAACGTGATAAATTGCAGTTTTTGTTTTGAATTGACAAATTCATACTGAATTTTACTATAAACTTACTTTTAACATCAATTTTTTAAAATATAAATCACATTACTTTAAAATCAATTTTGAGTAAAATTAATTTTAAAAATTCATGTTGATTCAGACTTAATGTTTTTACAAATGCTGACACAAAACACGTTGCTGGCTACAATTGCTTGGCTATGCTGCAACCATGCGAGTAAACAATGCCATTCAAGACAAGTCATAGGCGTTGAAAAAAAAATTCTTCCAAGTTCTAACAGCATACGTGTACAATAGCATATGCACACAACATTGTTTCAGAAAATAATGTTCGAATTGAGAAAAGAAAGGAAAAGAAACCCACCAATCAAATGTAGGTTTGTACCATGTAGAAAAATAGCATTAGAAGAGGTTCTTTTTCATTCCCCTCATTGAGAAGCTAAAATATTAAATTTCTTGAAACCTTTGGCAGGGAAAACAATCCCTTGGGAGAACCTTGATTTTATTTTATTTATTATTTCTTTTGAGAACCTCAATGCTTACTTTTGGCCACGATTCTATTTCTGTTCTATCTTCATTTCTTCACACAAATTTTGCTTTAGTTTTTCTTTACTTGGATTTTAGAATCAATTAAAACAAGTTAAAGTTCCCTCTAATTGCTATAGATGTAATGCTTTGCAATCTGCAAGGCTTTATCTTTCAATATCGATATAAAATACATAAGAAGAAAGAACATCCTTCATCACATGTTTTCCTGTAGATTTTTCTAATGTAACAATTTCATGGTTTTCTCCATCTATGTTTTCCTAGGAAATCAGACCAACAGTTAAATTACTGTTAATTGCATTGACACATAAAAATTGGAATATAGAATTGGTAAATGAAATTTCTGGTGAAACAAGCTAGTACAGTCAGTACACAGAAAATTGGTAACACATTATATAAATATGATCTGCTAAGAACTAAGCTGATCAACATTATAGGAAAGCAAAATCCAATGTACACAATATGGCCTATTAGAATTTATGCATATTTGATTACATATACACTTTCATGAAGTTGATGTCAATGCTGAAACATTCAATCAAAATTTTCCTGGGTGGAATGCAATCTTTGATAGGTGTAATCTAGATGATGTTCTGCCCGCAATAATAAAGAAATGCGATTATGGGAACCCCTCAGCAGTGATTAGTTTCATCATCTTTCAAAGTTCTTCTAGGACAGTGTGCCAATGATATCCCACCAGCAACATCAAGATTACCTATCTCTGCTCCAATTTTGTATCATTTGAATAAATAACTTAAGCAAGTATTTATTTAATAAACTTCTTATTACACCAGAATTTATATCATAAATTTGACCTGAAATTTAAAAGAATTAATTAAAAAGAATTTATTTTTATAAATCACATCGAGAAATTTATGAAAACAAATTTAAAAATTTATAAAAATCATAAATTATTTTTATAGACTCAAATAAACTTCACATAAGCTTTTTTTACATGTCTCAATATTTTAATAAATTAAAGATTTTTTTTACAATTAATGTTTAATTTAATATCAATTTAAATTTTCTGTCATTTCATTTTTAATTTTAAAATGTTATCTCTTTAATTTAATTTTATATAATACAACATGTATGAAAAAAATTATTAGTTTAAATTAAAATTCTGAATTTTGTATTTCAAATGCAAAGTAGCACAATTTAACACCACACAATCAAAATTCTGAAATATAAAGTGTTAAAGGAGAATAGATTTTGAAAAACAAATATTTCATCCTTTTGCTAGCGCTGCTTCACTTTCTTGTTTTTAATTCTTCATAAACCAAACATAAACCCCTTTAACTTTAAGCACGTTTGTACAACAATTCTCAATGAAGAAGGTGTAGCCGTTACCTCTCTCTCTCTCTCTCTACGCTCTTTCTCTGCACCGTTTCTCTCTCTCTCTCTACCCTCACACTCCACAGTGGGCAAAATAACCCTTTTTCTTCGATGAGGCTTTCCCAGAATGACTCAATTGTAAATTCTCAGTTTTTCAGCTGAATTTCAACTGCAATTGGTAGATTACCGAATTCCCCCTTGTAAACCCTAGCCATTTGCAGGTGACCCTCTTGTAAATTGTCAATTTTGTTAACCTGTGGTTGATAGTTTAATTGCATCACACGTCCAATTTTGGGGAGAAAATGGCAGAACTTGATCCGTGCAAGAAAGTAGCTGATAGGTATCTCAAGCGTGAGGTGCTTGGTGAAGGTACCTATGGTGTCGTATACAAAGCCATTGATACCCAGGTAACTTTTTCTTCTTCTGCTGTTAACTTGTTGTATTTTGTTTTTTTTTTTTGCTTCAAGAAGAAAAAGGAAAAAACAGTTATGAACAAAATTATGAGGAGTTTTCAGTAAAAAAAATGTTTTTTTTGTGTGTGTTGTGAGGATTGAGTCCGAATAAAATTTGGAACTTAAAAGAGGAGTTTCAATATCTTATATTAAAAGTGGGAAAGTGGGGTTAAGGAAACCTGTGAATTAGAGGAAAATACAGTTTCATGTAGAGCCTTGCAGTAATGTGGGAAGGGAGTGTTTACTTATATGCATTTTATATTGGTTAAACATGAGTTTCGTACTGCTATGTACTGTTCTTATAACTTACAATGGAGTGTTCTGGTTTCTTTCTTTTTATTTTTTTGGTGGTGGTGGTTACTATTTGTTTGTACTAAGGAGATATATGGTTGTGCACATGTCTTCACGAGCTGTCCTTTTATTCAATTATGACGATGGTAGTACATTAGTATTAGTAGTACTATAGTTATCTCGTGGTCCTTGTAAAAGTGAATTCATTGCATGGACAGACAGGGCAGACAGTTGCAATTAAGAAGATCCGGCTTGGCAAGCAGAAAGAAGGGGTCAATTTTACAGCTCTTAGAGAAATTAAACTGCTTAAAGAGCTCAAAGATCCAAACATTATTGAGTTGATTGATGCATTCCCGCATAAAGGGAATTTGCATCTTGTGTTTGAATTTATGGAGACAGACCTTGAAGCTGTTATACGAGACCGAAATATTGTTCTTTCACCTGGCGACATAAAATCTTTCCTTCAAATGACGCTAAAAGGCCTTGCTTATTGCCACAAGAAATGGGTGTTGCACAGGTAGATTGCAATGCTGATTTGGTCATTACATAATTGTTATTTGCTTTTAGTTCTGAGCTCAAAAGTTTCTTTATGTATTTTCAGGGATATGAAGCCAAATAACTTGCTGATAGGACCTAATGGACAGCTGAAACTTGCAGATTTTGGTTTAGCACGGATATTTGGAAGCCCAGATCGCAGGTTCACTCATCAGGTTTGCTTCTTTGTGTATATACTATGTAAATTCTTTAAATATGCGGGAGTTAGCTCCTACCATTAGAGAACTCTGGAAATGAGCTCATTTCTTCTGACTAAACTAAGCTTTGTGAGTAAACTCAGATTTAAAACTCAAATCATTTGGTTAATTATCCTACTTTCTTTAGATTCTCTTTCAACAAAACCGGTAAATTTTCCTTATGTTAGCTTCTGCATAACATGTTTCATCCTTATGTTTGTACTTTTTAATTTTCACTTTCTCTCAATTGATCTGTGCAGTTGTCATTTAATACATGAACAGGTGTTTGCTCGGTGGTATAGAGCACCTGAACTATTGTTTGGTACCAAGCAGTATGGTCCAGGGGTAGATGTTTGGGCTGCAGCTTGTATATTTGCTGAACTTCTTCTTCGTCGACCCTTTCTGCAGGTAAACGAATATAATGATGCTGGTTATGTATGGATTATTTTACAGTAAATAACTAATTGTTGATGTTCTGGAATAGACAGATTTTTTCTTAACAGTTGACCATTTATTGCTCGTCTTAACTATTTAACTTTCTCGTCTAGTTCAAATTGAAGTCTGAATAAACCCATCAAAACTGTTTTACTGAACTGGGATTAACTCAGAAGCTGTTGGCTATGGTGTTTATGGACATTATTGACTACTAATTTTGGCTTCCATCTTATTCCTGTTGTGGTATATAATTTTATGTACTTATTTTTCTATTATAATTTCTAATCATGTAGATGTCATTCATGTTCTAAAATTTTTTAATGTTGCAGTTTTTCTTTTATACTTTTAAATGTGTTAATGTCTTCTGTGTCATTGATTGATTTTATTCATTTGCTTCTGTGCACTTGGGCATCCTCCTTCTGTTGATTTCATGAATTTATTTTTATCATTTGGTAGGGTTCAAGTGATATTGATCAATTAGGAAAGATTTTCGCAGCATTTGGAACGCCATCACCTTCTCAGTGGCCTGATATGGTTTACCTTCCTGATTATGTTGAATACCAATTTGTTCCTTCCCCACCTTTGCGTTCTTTATTTCCAATGGCGAGTGATGATGCTTTAGATTTGTTGTCAAAGATGTTTGCATATGATCCAAAAGTTAGAATTTCAGTGCAGCAGGCATTAGAGCACAGGTATGAAGTGTAATCATCCTGTTAAGAAAAACAGTTTCTTTCCTTTCTTTTTCCCTGGTTTAATCTCTCCTATTACACTTTAGGTACTTTTCTTCAGTGCCTCTGCCCACAGATCCTGAGAAGCTTCCAAGACCTGCCCCTAAGCGGGAATCTGGGGTCTCAGATTTAAATTCAAATGATGGTCCTACTGTCTTGTCACCTCCAAGAAAGTCTAGGAGAGTGATGCCGGGGCGTGATGGGTCTGAAAGCAATTCTTTGCATGGAGATAGATTTGATGACAATGTTGGTAATGTCAGACAGGCAGTTGGTGATAATACAGGCAAGAATGAGCCAGCACCAATGTCGCTAGATTTTTCTCTTTTTGGATTAAAACCTCCAAATAGACCTACAATTACCAGGTAAAAAAGAATGTTGATCCTTCTATCATTTCAAAGTGCCCAATAGTTTTGTTTTGTAATTTTAAGTGTGTCAAACGTAAAAGCTAGATAACACATAGTGTGGTTTGCTTATTGAACCATCAATCTGTCAATAATGTTGTAAAGGTTAAAAGAAGATAAGCAAGGCTTTATACTGTGTGCTTTTGTACGTTTTAGATTGTGACTAATTTTTTGAAGGTGATGCTGTGAACCAAATGGAATCTACAGGTTGAGTATAAAATTATGCTAAATTTAAATGGTGGAGCTATGTGAAAGCGACAGTACTGTTGGATAGTGTACCATAGTGCTTTACTATATTGCTTGGGTGGCAATTTATACCAAACTATTGAAACATGTTGATTTACGATCTTCGGTCTGACTAGGATTTTGGAGACTCAAATTTTTTAGTCTAAGGTGTTTAATATGCTTATTTTCTATAATGAAATTCTTCAGGAGTCTCATCTTACAACCAAATGGAAATATAAAATACAATTTCGTCTTTTTGATAGAGTTGAATAATGCAAGAGTGTGCCAATTTTTTGTTGTCTTTTAATTGTTACTTATAAATGATGTTATTTAATTCTCTCTCTTTGTTCTGCAGTGCTGACAGATCACATTTAAAAAGAAAATTAGATCTAGAATTCTAGCAGCCAGAACGAATACTCTATGACAGGTGCTTCGATACAAGGGGTCTGATACACTTGAGAAAATTCTGTGAATCAGCGTTGCGCTTGTATTTCAGTCCTTATTTCTCTCTCTCTCTCTCTCTCTCTGCGCATGAAGCCACTAATGAATATGTTGATGTTTAAAGGAAGAAGTAGCAGTGACAGCTGATAGCTTCTCACTTGAATCATAGTTCAGAGACTTAAAAGTAACTATCATAGAAAAAAAATAAAAATTATAGTAATCACATTCTGGTTTGGATCCCGTTGTTCTTGATTTTTGCTCTTTGCATTTGAGAGAACTTGTATCAGTCCACGAAAGGCCTTGATTGAGTGAGGGCATTTTCTTGAGCCCTTGCGGTGTATCCAACGCTTGAAAAAGTAGTTATTGGGTAGTAAAACTGAATTTTAACACTGATTTGTTATTGAACATAAAGAGAAAATTATTGTTTACACTTTTGAGTGTATAACTTTGTGTACTGAACAAAATTATTTGTTGACAAGGTGATTGATTTTGGCTGATTGTATGCATTGCATGTTTGTCAAATTTTGTTTTTTACTTGCATAATCTTAATTGAATTTTTGTTTAAACAAGCTACTGAATTTCACATTCATTTTAGTGTTTGCTAATTGCCACTTTTTATAACTTCAGACCTTGTGTGAGTTGTCTGATTATGTGCTAACCTTTATAGTTTTCATTTCTGAAACATCACTGATGTTGTTCTGGTAATGAAATTACAGTTATGGATGGAGATGCTGCTATGCATGTTTGGGTACAGATTAATTTTGGAAAATAATCGCATTTTTTTGTCAAAAGTACTTTCAGGAAGTTAAGTAAAAAACAATATTGATTCCTTAAAAATGTATGTCATTTAACTGACATTCTTTTCTATGAAAATAAATGCCGGTTCTTTGATAGTATTTGTAATTTTCTTTCAAGTTTTTCTCGTCATAAAAAAGAGAGGGTGAATCAGACTCAAATATAAAAAAGGGTTTTTAAAAATAAAAGTGATCTTTTAATAAATAATTTTGAAAAAGAGAGATTCTATTCAAGTTAATTAGAGGAAGTTTTTATGTGGAGAATAAAAACTTAATAGGCAAGCTAAACACGACTTCAATAGAGATGGGAGAAAAAAAGAAGTCAATGAAGAATGAATATATATTTTATAAGGATGTTAGTTTAAATTTCATTGCTTATATGAGGATCTCATTAGTGGGCAGGTGATTTGTATGTGCTTTTTGAGCCTTGAAGAAGTATGTCCAAGTCCTAATGAGTTCTTGGGACTCAATTCAGTTAAATTTTTTATATAAATAAAAGCAAGAAGGGAAGGAGAAATTAAAACACTATGATCAGGCATAGAAAATTTTATAAATTATGATTTTTTTTCTTTGATATGACTTACACATTAAATTCAGTTAACAATACAGTGTTATAAAAATGTTAAAGATCTGATATGTTTTACCTTTATCTGAAGAAAAATGTTATAATATTTTTTTATTGTAATCTAAAATTTATTAAAAATTATTAAAATTATATGGGTCTCACTTTCAATTTAATAATTTTTACTCATACTTTTATAGTTCATCTAATAATTTTTAATAATTAAGGAAAAGTATTAGAAAGAATAATTCAAATAATGTATCCTAACCTTTCTTTTGTTGAAAATTGAAATATTATTTATACCCAACTATCTAAACATTATTAATCTTTTAATGTTATAGAAAATAACAATAGCTAACCAAGTGAAGATTATATTTGATAGAAAAATAATAAATTATAATAGCTGATCTAAAAATTAACAAAGTTTTAACAATTTTGTTAATTGTAATATTACTAATTATATATACGAATTTTGTTATTGTCTTGTTATTAATCTTAACATGTTAAGTAAAAGTTTATCATTTTTCTTTCTAAAGCAAACTCAATTTTTATATTCTTAACTAAATTAACATAATCTTTCACGAAGCATACTGTTAGATTTAAGTTCAATTTGAATAAACTTTTAGAAAAGTCTTTTATAAGAAAAACAATTAGAATAAAAAATATATAAAATTTCTTTTATAAACTAGAAACAATTTATCATTTTAAATTTTAGAGAAGTTAAAAAAAATTATCAAAAAATAAAAAATTATAAATAATTTTTAATTTATAAAAAATTATTTAATAAACCCCTTTAAAAGTTTATCCAAACTGCGCCATTAACTTAAACAAGTCTAATTCTCACTTCAAAGGAAATTAAATCCTACTTCATTAGATACAAAATTCCAGCACCAATTTCTGTTTTGTTACTGCATGCTAAGGTTATTGTTCTGCTATAAAAGCACTTTGATGCTGAGTTTCGGATGCATATAATCAGCATTATTCGAAAGGTAAAACTAGAATAAAGAGTGTTCAAGTATCAAGTAGTATAACAATATTAGTCACCCGGAAGTGCCTCAACTTGGACTCCATTGCCTCCTACTCTTTTTGCTGCCTTATTTGCCTGAACCATGAAGACACTACTATATATGAAGATCTAAAGTTGGTAACATAACTGAGTTGATGATAGAACTTACTTCTTTCTCCCAATTGGTGCGTAAGGTAACCAAAAGAAAACACACCACTTGCACAATAAGTGCTAATACAATCCCCAAATATAGCCCCTACATTTATGAAGAATTAACATAATCACTAGTACCTTAAGTTGAGCAAGTTTAGAATAGGAACATAATAACAAAATGGTTAAATCTTACCTGTCCCTTCATGTGGAGGACAAAAGCTGACACAACTGCAAAAGGAACACCCAAGAGATAATAAGATCCAAGATTCACATATGCACCAAGCTTCTGCCAACCACATCCTCTGGCAACACCTGTTAACATTTAAAGCATTAGCAAAATTCACATATGCAGATAAACACCAAGGTTCCTTAATAAATTTTAAAGTTACTGCATTCCAATAGCATTCTCTCTCGTGTGTAACTCTACCAGTAGGTTCTTTATAAATAAAGTCAATTCAGTGTCAACAGCAAAAATCAAATAGAAAAAGAAAATAAAAATATGAATAAATAGAAAATACTAAGTGCGTGTTTGAAAACACGTTCAAAAACCTGTAAACATGGATCCAATGTAGAAGTTATAATAAGTAGCGTTGAAGTAAATGGATTTATGTTCATTCAAACGTGAATCCAAACATGCTATAAAGAACCAATCTAATCTAAAATAATTTATATTGGATTGGATATACTAGTTAGATAGTAAAATGAGAAGAGTGATCAAATCTGATCAGACCCCCCCCTCCTAAAACCAATTGAATCGAATGGCCAATCAATGAGGAAAAAGGGTAAAAAAATTTTGGATCTCATTGAATGCTTTCATTCAATACCTTGGAATGCCGTTTGAATTGAATCTATGACGGCAGCGCTTGCAAGAATTGGCATCATGGAAGTCACATATGCAACCACTTCATGTACATTGGTAAAAGCACGACCCCAAACTTTCCATACCAGCATTAGGGAAGCAAATTCTAGTAGTCCCACTATGAAGGCCAACAATAAGGTCACTTTGACAGCTAAATATGCAGCTTTTGGATAGCCAGCCCCTAGTTCATTTGAGATCCTTGTACTGTTAAATGGAAACATGTAAATGAGACTTGTTATGATTTATAGTAGCATAAAAGACATACAAAATTACTTATGATGATAGCATGCAAATTTTTTTTTTAATCCGGTTGGGATTCTAAAGAATATAAGCAGTATAGTTCAGCATGAAAGATTGACCTTCCAGCAGCACTAACTCCAAATGGTATCATCCAAACTATACCAGCTGTATTGAGGCTGAGAATGAAAAAAGTATAGTTAGACATTGACAAGGGAAGAAAATGGTGTGTTCACATGAGAAAGAGATAACTATAATATCATGCTATATGAAATCTAGAACATACAGGAGCATAGCCTTTAAGATGTTAATTGAAAACTAACCATATAGACAGTACTGAAGTTTGCAATTTTGCATTTGGAAGTGCACCAGACAAAAGCACCATAAGTTCAAATGTCCATGTTTCTAAGCTGCACCATTGTGGTACATTATAAGAAACAATTAGAACTTCCCAGCATTGGTCATTTCACTTAGGAGTCACAAGGAAAGGATATTAGTTTTTGCAAATAATCTATATCACATAGTGCAAAGAGCTATATTGATTAAAGTAAATGCTTATTTTAATCCTCCAAAAATATACCCAAAATATATTACATTAGTCCTCTATTTATAGTGGAGTCAAATTGAAGCTTCAACAGTTATTAGAGCCGTTTTTGTATTGTGCTTCAAGGACCTAATTAATGACAAAAAAGATGATATTAAAGGATTAATGGTTGCTTTTTTAGGTAAAAATTCTCTGTTTACTCAACTTTAGCTCCTCTGCAAAAGTGAAGATTTGGAGGAAAAATAATTTTTTGTATAAATTAAACAAAATTATCTTTAACTTAATGGGTATATTTAACAATATTAAATATACGATAGTAAATGTTTACTTTCCCTCTTCCCTTACTTCTTGTGAACCAAATCATTAAAAAAAATTTCCCCCTTTCATTTGAACTAATCATTGTATAATGGAAGTCAATTTTGGTTCAGAAGCCAATCATACCAGACCATGAGTGCTGAAGGAAAAGCAAGTCTGAGAAATTGAGGGATTTTATGCAATGATTCCTTTGAGAAACCATTCCAAGTTCTTTTGCATAAAGGGGAGAGCCATATATAAAGCGCCAATAGTATGGTATTAAACCAATTTGAAATGCAAGTTGCAATGGCAGCTCCTTTCATACCAAGCCCAAATTTTAGAACCAAAGCCCAACATAGAAAGAAGTGTAACATTGTAGTAAGACCAGTGGCTAGCACCATAGGAAATACTATGTTTTGGGTTTGAAGGAACTTAATAATGCACCGTAAAAGAGCGTTGGCAGAAAGGCTTGGAATCAAGTAACGTGCATATAGCTGAGCTTGTGATGCAATTGCTTTGTCTTGATGAAGAACAACTAGAATTGGGCTTAAGTATACCCAAATAATGGACACAGGGAGAGTAACAAGGGTGCTAACCAACATGGCTCCTTGGGTGTGTACCCCAACCATGTGATATTGCTGTGCTCCATATGCTTGACCACATAATGTGTCTAGTGCGCTTGACATACCCATCTAAATGAAATTTACCATAAACATGAGTAAGATAGAGTAGTCTCATAAGAAGCAAATAGATGTAGAATAACGATTATGTATAAGACATTTAAAATTGTATGACTATATTGATAAATCTAATATGTTCAAGTTACTTGGAACAAAAAGTGTTAATTAAATAAAATGTAAACAAAACTTCAACAATAATAACAACAACCATGATTTCTTTAGATTTAAGAATCAAGAAGAATTATAGAGTTCATTTGTCAAGGCATTATTTTTTTAAAAGAAAAAAAAAACATGTTTATCAAGTGAGATTCTTGATATCTCAAATTGTCTATTTAAATTCTTTGCAAATGCTTTCGATTTTTTTTTTAAATATTGATTTTGATTTTTAATTCAAGCCAAAGGGCAAATACAGAGTGCTGCTGATGTTGTTTCCTGTTTTCCCGTGTAAAAGAAGTAATTGGAAAATCAGACCAAAACTAATAAAACTTCTCAAGAATTTCCAGAAAGCTATTGTCCTCTTCTTTACTCGAATAATTATATTTTTACTTAAGAAAAATGTATACTATTTTTATATTTTTCTTGTTTGAGAAAAAAGTATTAAAAAAATGTCCAATATTAGAATCCATATTTCTTACTTTATTTTTTTAATCAATTTGTTTAAAAGTGACTGAAATGAATGTCGTTATAAAATATTAAAGTAAAACTTTTGTAAAGATAAGAACTAAAATTATTATAAGTCAAATTGGTGTTTATCCACATTAAAATACTTTTAGCATAATTTATGATACACTCTATCACTATTTTAATAATTTTTAGATTGATTGTGCAGAAGATTGTATTCATACAAGAATTACTGGTTTTGTAATGCAAAGATTCATAGATGAATCTCACACGTTGATTCTTGGAAGTTATGGTAACTAAAACATGAAAGAACATACCAACACATGGAAACCAGTAACATTGACAAATGAAGTAGCCAAAGAAGCACCAGCCAGAAAAAGCTCATCCAAATGGCCTACAAACATAACAGATATCATTTGTAAACTGTTCTGAAACACACAGACACATATCATAGGCCCTGCCAGCCATAGTTGTTTCTTTGCTTCTTCTACAATTTCCTTTTTCCATATGCCCATTGATTTCTTGCTCAACCCTCAAAGACCACTAGTTTCAATACTTGCTATGTGTCTATATATGTGTGTAAAGTGAAGATATCATTTAATGACTTTTTTATGTAAGAATATGAGAAGAGTAAAGTTTGACTGCATGTTTTTATTATAAATGATTAATATTAAAAAAATACATTATATGTATTTTAATGCATTTGAACATAATTTCTAATAAAAAATTTATTATTTAGTGATCTGGTTAATCAATGTCTTGTCCAAATATAGCTATATTAAAATGTAAAAAATGTTATATGATACTTTAAATAGTTGCATAATTTTTATTTTTTATTTTCACATGAAATACCATTCTCATTTTATATATATAGAGAGAGAGAGAGAGCCTTTATGAGGGTGTTTAGTATGAAATAATAGATATATTTTTATTAAAAATTATGATAAAAATATATTAAAACTATTAAATGTTAAGATATGTAATAGTATATTAAGGGTTTTTTGCATGGAAACGTGGCCATGGAACTTTTGGTGGGATTAGAAATATCTATTTTTGAGAAGACATTAATTGCAGACTGCATAACAGTGTTTGTATCTCATTGGCATTACTCTTTTTGACTCTGCAAATCTTATTACAGTTAGGTTCAGAATTTAAGTATGTCATATATTTGACTTACCAAATGTCCAAAATGATTCACTTTCCAGTGTCTTCAAAAAGAATATTTAATAGAATTTGTTAAACATTTTTAATTATTTTATGTTTTAATAATATTATTCCTTTTCATTTTTAAAGAAAACTAAATGATTGATTTATAGTGATTTATTAAAATTAATAAAAATTTAATTATATTTTAAAAATATTTATTGTATTAAATAGTTGAATTAATGTATACATTTTTTTTAATATTTTTATAGGATATTTTTATTTAAATTACCCAAATTAATAAAAATAATTAAAGTGAGTTATTCTTTAAAAAAATTTAAAATATTATATTATAATCATTTTACTCTCAATTAATATTATTAAATCAAATTGAATAATTAACATCTGTCCTTGTTGATTTTCTATAAACTCTACTAATTAAAGATAAATAAAAAAAATGATAAATATTTTATAAAAATTATAAAATGTCTCTTAAATATTAATATTATAATTATGTAAAATATATTTCTTAAATAATTAAATAAAATATTTAATTATACAAATAATAAATAAATATTTTGTAAATATAAATTTGAGAATAAAAAATTATAAAAGATTTAACAATTAATATCTCTGAAAACAAAAGGACTTAAGGAGCATTTATTACCTCCCTCATACAGTTAGTGTCAACATTATTTAGGCTGATAGTTAAATTTAATGTCTTAACGTATTTTTTTAATCTCTATTTTTCTTCAAGTAATATATTTTTTTAAACCTTACATGATTTTTTTATTTTAAAATTTAAATAGAAAATATTTTACTTCAAGATAAAATTTAGATATTATTCTTCAGTTATTATCACAGTCTTTTTTTAAATTAAAATTATGTTTTAATAATGTGTCAATTATTGATGTTCATTTTTAATGTACAAATTATCAAAATAAAGTTTTAATTAAAAATAATATTATAAATACATAAACTACCTTACTTAAGTCATATCTCTTTCTTTTAAATTTTTCTATACTTATTTTATTTATTATTTTTTACTTTGAACAAACAAAACTTAAAAAAAGTATTTTTTTAATGTACAGTCATAACAACTTTTCAAAAGTGTATAGCTACACGTGAAAATAACTTATATATAATATATTTTATTAAAAATTATAAATTTTAATACAATTAAATGAAATAATATTAATAATTTATTAAAATTTTAATAATTTAAAAGATATTAAATAATTTTTATAGTTGTATAATAATTGTTCATTTATTTCTTAGTCAATATTCATACATATGCAGAAGAAAAAAAGAAAAAGAAAAAGAAAACATTGTTTTGAGATTTGTGAAATGTTGAAAAACAGTAGTAATAAAAAAGTGAATTATAACGGTCCAACAATTATTAATGTGGTCGAACTTTTGGTGGCAGCACTTTATTTTTTATAATTATTTATTGTCATTCAATTAATGCAATATTCCCCGGGCGAATGCTTCAATGCTCACTCACACACTTTTGGCATCGTTAGGTTAATTTCAATCCTTAAAATTTAAATATTTAAAAATATTTTTTATTTTTAAAATAAATATTTTTAAAAATTATTATTTAATTATTTATTTTTATAAGAAATTTTTTTCATATATTTTTACAAGAAACATTTAAAATTCTATAGCAAAATAAAATAAAATAAAGAGATTAATATGTTAATTGTTATTAAAAAATATTAAAATTTTATAAAAGTAACATTAAACATTCATATACGAAATTTGAATTATTAAATTGTAAAGTGTTTTGTTAAACTCAGCTCTTAAAAATAGTTAATAATAATAATATTTTGTTAAAAAAATATTTATTATATTTTTATAATTTCAATACAATAATTAGGTATTTTTTCATAAAATTTTTTTATTTGTGAATTATTAAACTCAGTACTAAAAATTGAGATTAACAAAATTTAATTATAAATTATTCTTTTCGTTAATTTAGTTATCGATTTGATTTTGACAAATTATAAATATTGATTTTTGTTTATACCATTCTTCTTGAGAGGGTAAAATCACAGAGTAAAAGAATTATCTTTTTAAATACTTAACCAAAATTCAAATTTGAGACCACTGTTTAAATTTTGAGTTGACTATGAAACTTTGTTTCTATTTTATATTCTAAATAAATGTACAAAGCCACAATTTACAACAATGCTTTTGGTTGTATGGTAATGGATGCTGAGGAATCAGCACTATCTAAGTACAATTACTCTCCAACTACCAAAGATTTCCATTTTGGTGACTTGGCAAAGCATTTGCATCATCTTGGACTCCATTGTCTCTTACTCTTTTTACTGCTTTGTTTGCCTGATGAATGAAGATATTGCATTATTGCTATTATTATGATTCAAAGTAGAAAACAATAGTGAATTGAAGACATGAGAACTTACTTCTTTGTCCCAATTGGTGCGAAAGGTGACCACAAGAAAACACACCACTTGCATAATAAGTGCAAGCACAATCCCAAAAAGGAGCCCCTGTGTTTATGAAATGTCTAACTATTTTAAAAGCACTAGCTTCAATTGAGCTTGGTTACTATACTAATCAAGAAAAAAGGTAGATTACATTCACACCTCTTGAAGTTTAATGAAATTTTATTCTATAATGTTTCTCTTTTTCATCCTACATAAACTTCCACAACATAATACAGTATACCCTTCTCAATTACTCAAATCACAACTTTGATTTCTTATGCAATTATGTGTCATGAGAGGTTGAAGTAATGTGCAAAAATTTATTAAATCTCATAGGGTGTGAATGTAATTTACTCTCAAAAAATGATACCAAATTGTCAAATTAAATCTTACCTTTCCTTTCATTTTGAGGACAAATGCTAGCACAATTGCTAAAGGAGCACCCAAGAGATAGTAAGATCCAAGATTGACAAATGCACCAAACTTCTGCCAACCACATCCTCTGGCAACACCTTTTTCACAACTCAAAGAATTAATAATAATAAAGGTCATTGACATTCTAATGCTATTTTTTTTTTCCGTTTTAGACAATACATACATGATAATGCTAATGCCTTTTCTTTGAAGGCAATAAAGGGAAATTCATCCTTTTCCTCATACATCTAAAAGTTCATTGGTATTTTATTTGTTACACAGATCTTTACTATTTTATCTTCAATCTGTCACGTATAATGTTCTTAGAATTAGAAGACAGTTTATCATTGGCATTTTATATTTTGCGGTTTAATTAATTGCATTATCTCTATTTTAACTCATTAAGATAAGGGGAAAAAAAATGATGTTTCTTGAAATTCATTGAGTGGTTGTATTCAATACCTGATAATGCTGTTTGAATTGAATCTACAAAGACAGAGCATGCAAGAATCGGTGTCAAGGATGCCACATAACGGACTACTTCTGGTACATCGGTAAAAATATGGCCCCAAATGTTCCTTGTCACCATAAGGAGAGTAAATCCTAAAGCCCCAACTATGAAGGCCAATAATAAGGTGACTTTGACAGCTAAATATGCACCTTTTGCACGGCCAGCTCCAAGTTCATTTGAGATCCTTGTACTGTTGAATGGAAACATATAAAATGTAAGAAGACACATTAAATCAACATTAGCATAAAAAAGTATAGTACATGTGATTGCAATATCTATTTTTTGGTGATAGAGTTAGGAACTATTGAATAACTTCTGCTCTCGTGAGCTCTTTGCAACTTATTTTAATAACCTTCTTGGTATAATTTATCAAAATAAATTATTTTCAGCTTAATCCAATAAATTTCATGATTAAATTTATGACATAAGTTATCATTTAAAAAGAAATTATTATATTAGAGCTCAATTAACCTATGTATTATAATGCACGCTTAATCAAATGCTCATATTTCTCCATGTGTGGAATAGCAACCACATTTTCTGATCATGATTAACTATAAGCAGCAAGGTCAGCATCAAAGACGAACCTTGAAGCAGCACTAACTCCAAGGGGTATCATCCATAACAGACCAGTTGTATTAAAGCTGAGGATGAGAAAAGTGCAATTGGTCAATGAATAGTTGAATACAAAGCAAGAAAATAGTGCATCCAAAAGAGAAAGATAAATGTACAGCCATATAAAATCCATAACATACAATAGCATAGCTCTAACACCTTAGCCAAATCACCAAGTAACTAACCAGATAGAAAGCACTGAGGTTTGCAATTTTGGATTAGGAAGAGCACCAGCTAGTAGCACCATTAGCTGAAACGTCCATTGTTCTAACCTGCAACAGGGTATTACACCATAGCAGCAATTAGATCATCTTATAAACATTGGTTATTCACATTTAGAGTCACAAGAAATAAAAATGAGTTTTTCTCAGGCATATATATTTCATGATGGAGAGGCATAGTAATTACTTTATGAAAAATTTTCAGTACTCCAAAGTATATACTTCTTCCATTAAAATCACTAACACCTGGCATTAGTTATTTTCTCCCAAGTTACATTTTTTTGAGATAACAAATAAAAGAAAACTGTTGAATTATGAGTCTTATTGTCAACTGAGTATGTATTAAGGGAGTACTAAAAAATTACTCATACTTTGAGTAAAAGTTTTTATTATCTTTCTATAGAAGTCAATTTCACTCTAATAACAAATTTCATACCAGACCATGAGTGTTGAAGGAAAAGCAAGCCTGAGAAATTGAGGGATGTTATGCAAACATTCCCTTGAGAACCCAGTCCAAGTGCTTTTGCAGGAAGCGGAGAACTTGATGTAAAGTGCTAGTAGTACTGTGTTAATCCAATTTGAAATGCAAAATGCAATGGCAGCTCCTTTGATGCCAAGCTTAAATTTTAGAACCAAAAGCCAACATAAAAGGACATGTGTTAAGGTGGTGAATCCAGTGGCCAGAAACAAAAGAAACACATTGTTTTGTGTTTGAAGAAACTTGACAAAGCACCGAAGAAGAGCATTGGCAGAAAGGCTTGGAATCAAGTAACGTGCATATAGTTGAGCTTGTGCTGCGATTGTTTTGTCTTGATGAAGAACGACTAGAATTGGTTTCAAGAATGCCCAAATAATGGTCACGGGCATAGTAACAAGCATGGTTACCACTATGGCTCTCTGCATGTGTATTCCAACCATATGATACTGCTGTGCTCCATATGATTGACCACAAAATGTGTCCAATGCGCTTGACATACCTATCTGTATGAACAATCAACATAAGCCACAAATAGTACTTATTGTATGGAGCAATGCTGATCTAGATGAACAAATATTTGCATAAATACATATAAACTACAAAAGTCATTTGAAATTTTATATTTCATCTAGAGGTTGACCTTCATTGACATTTTTTTGTTCAATATCAAAGTTCAATAAATCTCCCTAACATTTATCAGAGTAATGCTAAATTATCTAGCTGTCAAACATAACACCCCTTTGTTCCTGGTAGAGTGGTACTTAAACCAAAATATTACTTAGAATTAAAATTTTTAATATTATGAGAACTTTATGTGTAACTTTTTAATGATGAAAGGGGGGAGGCCCAAATAGGGAGCATGAATCTCCAAGGAGGATTGTTGAATTATTTTATTTTGCAATTTTTTTGTCTTTTCATAATGCATGCCTATCTTGTGTGGGTTCACTTTATTTATTTTATTAACTTTTATTCAAGTCCAATTATAATTATGTTCAAGGAAAGTGTGTGTTTGATTCAACTTATTTTAGAGAAATAATTATTTATTTTTGTTAAATTCTTGAAAATGCTGGAAAAAACGATTATGTATTCAAAATCAATCTTAACCAAACATGCTATATGTTTTAGGAAAAATAATTGTGTGAGACACATTTGGTGTGACATATGTGCTGGACAATGTAATTAAAATAAAAGAGAGATTGTAAGAGTAATAAAATGTAAAAAGAAAAAAATATAAGAAAAGAGGGTATTAAAATATCAAAGATAAATGTATAATTTAATATATCATAGAAGGAGTGAATAGGAATTTAGAAAGCTAGAATGACCAAATTCAACATCCCAAGAAATTGACCTTCAAAAATATAGAAGTGTGTGATCCTTACATGTTGGACCAAGCCGACAAAGATCTGTAGCATAGCTCATTAAATGTTAACTTTTCCGAGTTATTATGGTGATAATCGTTTATTCATTTAAGCGAATCTTATAAAAAAAATGTAAAAAAAAAGTCAATTTTACGTAAATCACCTTAAGCAGTGAATACAGTCTCTTCTACACCAACTCGCAGTCTCCTCAGCATCAGCAATGGTTTTGAGATCCGACCGTTAACTCCATCCTCCAACATTCGGTCGGAGCAAAGATTTTTGGGGACGTTCACGCAGCGGAGGAAGGAAGGGTACACGAAGAGAATAGAGAGGTGAATGGAGATTCAGAAGAGTGATCGGATCTACGAGTTTGGGTCGTTGCCGCCGTTTCTGCTAGTTTTCGCCGGACACCTGGCTGAGGAGACTGCGAGTTTCCATAGAAGAGACTCTTGGGGAAGGTGACTTACGTAAAATTTGCTCAAGGTACAATTTTTCTTGTTTTGGTTAAGATTTGCTTAAGAAAATCTAAATTTTTCCAGTTATAACAGGAGGAGAAGATCAGGATCCATTATTCATTAGTGGGGGGCAAAGAAGCATCTTGGGTTTCAATCCAAGCTGCTGAAAGCCTCTACAGAATCTGCTTTCTTGATCTTCATCAATTCAAGCTTAGCTAGAGGGATCATCAAAATGATGAAACACTCGTGAAAACTTATGGTACAATAACACATGTTTTGTTATGTGTTTTAATTGAAGTTGAAATTTTATTAACTTTTAATGTTTGCTTTTAGTGAACAGATTATTAAAGAGAAACTTTGATTTTAATAAAGAAAAATAATTGTAATGCACACAAGTTTTGTCCATACAACAAAGGAGAAAATGATGTGAACGTACCAATACACTGAAACCAGTGACATTTAGAAATGAAGTAGCCAAAGAAGCAGCAGCTAGAAGCAACTCATCCAAGTGGCCTACAAACATGAGAGATATCATTTGTAAACTGTATTGAAACACAGACACAAATACCATTGGCCCTGCCAACCATAGCTGCTTCTTTGCTTCTCCTGAAATTTCCTTTCTCCATGTGCCCATTGTATTTGGCTACTCTCTCTCTCTCTCTCTCTCTCTCCCTCCCTCCCTCTCTTTCTCTCTACCTTCTTCATCAACTATATAAACATATCTTTGACAATATCATAGTGATGATCAGCTTAGGATAGAAGAGCTGAAAAGAGATTGTTTGTTTTTCTACCAAGTTCTTCTGAAGTTGCAACAGCTAGCTTAAGTACTTAAGATTTTCTCAAAGACAAAATTTTAATTTTAATTTTTACCACACGTTAATCAAAATCAAAATCAAAATCAAAATTTTATTTTATTTCTTATCTTGACTAAATTTTAAATTTAAATTTATATTTTTTAATTTTGATTAAAGTGAGAAAAAATAAAATTTTAAAATAAACTTGAAGGTAAGTGAAAAATTAAAATTCAAACTTCAATTTTAAAATTTAAATTTTAGCTAAACTGAAAAAAATTAAATTTTATATTCAAACTTAAATTACTATAAGAAAAAAATAAAATTTAAAATTAAGATGCAACACACGTTAGAATGCGTTGTGTCAATTCTTAATGTATAAACGATACACTAAAATATAATACATATACTCTTTCAACGTGAATTAAACACCAAGATACGACGTATATTACTTTTTTTACGTATGAAACGTTTTTCTTTTGTTTAATATTTTTCAAACACGATTAAATTTACCTATTTATTAATTAGTTTTTAAATGATATTATTTAGATAAATAAATTTTAAAATCATACTTTTATAATAAAAAAGCCCATTTTTATAAAAATACATTTTATTGTAAATTGAATTATTTTAATACCTTCGAAATACTTAATAAATGAAGATAAGTTATAACTGACATCATCGGCATTAATAAACTTTAGTTAATAATAAAAATTTATATTAAAAAATGTGTTATTACCGATCTTACTATTTTTTATAGGTTAAAAGATATTTTTCATATATATAAAAAAGCTTTTATAAATACTAATAATTACTTTTATATAAAAAAATAACATCAACAATTTAATAATTAATAAGTTTGAACTTTTACTCGCTTTTTTCTTCAAGTGACATAAATATAAGCGTTTTTTAGTTGAATAACTTTTCTTACCTTAAAATATGACGCTATTATTTTTAAAAAAAAGATATGGTACTAAAAAATTTAATAATTTGATAATAAAAATATTTTTACTAAAGATAGGCAATGTTCATATAAAATTAAATTGGATATTGTATTTGTTAAAAAAAAAAACAATTAAACTATTCTACCGTAAACAAGCATAATTTGTAATTGAACGGTAATATACTATTCAAAATACAACACCATAAAATTAAGAAGACAAAAGATTTACATATATGATAAATAGTTATAACTTCACATATTTCCCAAGAAACACACTTAGTGGCGATTGCAATTGAGTAGTCTTATTTTTTAATATTGAAATTTATTAATATTAAAATATAACTGAAGTTAATAATACAATAATTTTTATTTTTTTTACACTATAATTAATTTTTTAAATAACCTTTTTATAAGCTTTATCTTGTTTCAAATTAATTTTTATTTATTTTTTTAAATTTTATTGTTATCTTTTGTTTCATTAAGCACAATGAAAGAGTGCCAGTGAAATGAAAAGTTCTAAATAAATAAAATTTAATTTAAAATATTTCATAAAATTTTTAATTTTTTGTGCAAAACGTTAAACAATAATAAAAAATAACACCTGTTTAATGGTAATTAATTGTACGTTTTGAGAGAGTTTTTTTTTTTTTTTCACTTTGTGTGGAAACTAAAAACATTCTTCAATCAATAGTCATATTATTTATACGAAAATTGAACTCTAATTATTACATATTAACTCGTGATCTCAAATTTGAATTTTAAGATGTGTAAGTATTTAGAAAAAAAGCGAATAAACATTTTCAATGCTATAAATGTAATTCAATTAAATCTTAATTTAAATTCATGTTTTGTTTCATGAGAAATATTCTTGCTTCTTAAAAAACTTGGAATTATGTCTTTTCTAAAAGGAGCAGGAAGGGATTAGCAAATCTAAACTAATTGAAATAGTATTTGATTTCTTCAATTTGTTCAACACTCATTCATTTTACAGATCAATGGCACTTGCTGACATTGAGTCGTCGACATATTTGCCATTTCTAGATACAAAGAAAAAGCATGCCTTAATCTCATTAATGTCCAGCAAAACTGATTCAAATGCAATTGTCAATGTTCTTTCTAAAGCAACCATAATTACAAATGATTAAACCCAAAATAAATTACAAGATGCCTCTCAAAGAAACCATAATTTGTAGTTTGAGCCATTAAATTGTGAATCAATACTTCTACTAATTAGTGAATGCTTTGATCTTAACAACGTAACTTTGAAGCTACTTTCTTTTTTGGGTAAATTACACTCATACCTATTGAGGTTTAACAAAATCTCACTTGATACTCTCCTATTTTTTATCCTACACAACCTAGCTCCTTTTATTTATGTAACAAAGTAACATTGCATACCCTTCTTGATTACTCTTGATTTCTTATATAATTATATGAATCAAGGTAGGTCAAATTAATGTAAAAAAAAGAAGAAGGAGAGGGATATCACATGGGTAAACTCTAAGGGGTGTGAATGAAATTGATGCTGAGTTTTGGATCCAAATAATTACCTAAGCATAATTACTCTTCAACTACTAGGAGTTGCATTTTGTTCGCTTTGCAGTGAATGTGCATCAGCTTGTACCCTTTTGCCTCTTACTCTTATTGCTGCTTTATTTGCCTGAAAAATGGTACAGTGTGGCTGCTAAGATCCAAAGTCGAAATCAAAACCTAGTTGAAGACATTAGGATTGAGGACTTACTTCTTTCTCCCAATTGGTGCGTAAGGTGACTAGAAGGAAACACACCCCTTGCATAGTAAGTGCAAGTACAATCCCTAAAAGGAGTCCCTTTGTGTTTTTTTTTTCAAAAGAAAATGTAAAAGCGTTAGCTCCAATTGAACAAGGTTACTACTCAGAAAAATGGTAACCAATTGGTTAAACCATACCTTTCCATTCATATGGAGGACAAAAGCTAACACAATTGCAAAAGGAACTCCTACAAGATAATAGGATCCAAGATTGACATATGCACCAAGCTTCTGCCAACCACATCCTCTGGCAATACCTTTTTCACAGCCCAAAGAATTAGACAAGGTCAAGGTCTCAAGACTCAAGGTCAACGACGGGTAGGTGTTTTTCCTTTAGGATATAGTAACGGAATTCATTTATTTTCCTCATACTTCTTGAAAAAAATTATTAGCATTTACATTGTTCATTGTTATTTCTTCTATATTGAATAAGTAATGTATAAGGTACGTAAGAAATTATGCTGAAAAGATCATTTTAATGCAAAATGTAGGGTCCATGTTTAATAACTAATCTTGAAGAGAAGTTCTATTGAGCACAAAGCTGTGAAGCATATAGGAAGCTGATTAAGATCATATTATGATGCTAGAGATATTACTTAAATTGCATTTTCTCTATTCATTAATGGATCTAATTAAGATAAGCGGGAAAAAAGGTAATTTGAAATTAATTGAACAATTTTACTCAATACCTGAGCATGCTGTTTGAATTGAATCTACAAAGACAGAGCTGGCAAGAATTGGCGTCATAGATGCCATATAATGGAATACTTCAGGTACATTGGTAAAAATACGGCCCCAAATGTTCCTTGTTAGCATAAGGAGAGTAAATTCTAAAGCTCCAACAATCAAGGATACTAATAAGGTGACTTTAACAGCTAAATATGCATCTTTTGGACGGCCAGCCCCTAGTTCATTTGAGATCCTTGTGCTGTTGAGTTGAAACATATACTCGTTAAACCAACAATATCATAAAAATCATGTGACTGCAATTGGCAATATAGTTAGTCTGTTGTTAGAATATTTAGCATATTTTCTGATCATGATTGGTCTTCATGAATATAAATTTTCTGATGTAATAGACTATAAGCAGCACAGTCAACACCAAAGACTAACCTTACAGCAGCACTAACTCCAAAGGGTATCATCCAAAACATACCAGCTGTATTAAAGCTGAGGATAATTAAGAAAAAGTACAATTGGTCATTGACAACTAGGATGGAAAATGGCACATTCAAAAGATAAATACCAATATAATAGCATATACTTAGGAACTTCACCAAAAACTAACCATATAGAAAGCACTGAAGTTTGCAATTTTGGATTAGGAAGAGCACCGGATAAGAGCACCATTAGTTCAAAAGTCCACATCTCTAGGCTATAACAAGGTAGTCAGGAGATATTAGAACTTAGTGTAAATGTTGGTTATTCATATTATGAGTCTCAAGGAACAGTGAGTTTTTCCCAAAAAAGGAATATTAACTACTTTGTTGCAAGGCCCTGTTTGGACAAGTTTCTCAATAAATACTTATAGAAAATAAAAATACGAAAGTAAAATAATCAAATCTCTCTAATAAGTTAATTTTAGTTTATGCTCTTATTTAACTTCTCCAAAACTTAAGGTGCATAAGTTAATTTTAACATATGAAATAAGTTTTATTCACATTTCCTTTCTATTTTCTTCTGTTATAAGTACTTATCTAGAAGTCTACTAAAAAATTAGACTCGCGTTGTTATTGATCAATGCAAGCCAATTTGGTTTAATAAGGAATGTCATACCAGACCATGAGTGTTGAAGGAAAAGCAAGCCTGAGAAATTGAGGGATGTTATGGAAGCACTCCCTTGAGAAACCAGTCCAAGTGCTTTTGCAGGAAGAGGAGAATTTGATGTAAAGTGCTAGTAGTACTGTGTTAATCCAATTTGAAATGCAAAATGCAATGGCAGCTCCTTTGATACCAAGCTCAAATTTTAGAACCAAAAGCCAAGATAAAAGTACATGTATTAAGGTAGTGAATCCAGTGGCTAGCACCATAGGAAACACAATGTATTGTGTTTGAAGGAACTTAACAATGCACCGAAGAAGAGCATTGGCAGAAAGACTTGGAATCAAGTAACGTGCATACAGTTGAGCTTGTGCTGCAATTGTTTTGTCTTGATGAAGAACAACTAGAATTGGCTTCAAGAATGCCCAAATAATGGTCAAAGGTATAGTAACAAGCATGATTACCACTATGGCTCTCTGCATGTGTATGCCAACCATATGGTATTCCTGCGCTCCATATGATTGACCACAAAATGTGTCCAATGCACAAGACATACCTATCTAAATAAGCAAAAAACATAAGCAACAAATAGTGTTATTGAATAGAGCAATGGATTTCAACAAGAACAATTTTTTTGGGCAGATATTAGAAATCTGATATTTCATTTAGAGATTGCCTACAGTGACATTATTTTTGTTCTGGCATGAGTTAACTTTTGGGGGGGGGGGGGGGGGAGGTTCCCAAATTCAATAATCCTTTACAATTTATTAGAGTAATGCTAAATTATCAAGCAATAAACCTAACATCCTGTTATTTTTAACGTCTTAAAACAAAGGTAGCATTTAAAAGATGTACTAGAACAGAATGGAACATAACACGAGTTTTATTCTATGTTTGATTCATTTTACTAATAGAAAATAGAATAGAATAGAACATGTGATTAAAAAGATGGTACATTTTGGTACCACTGAAAAGGATGAAACCAAGAAGATTAAAACAGAACAGGATATTTCATTCCATTCTGTCTGCACAAATAAGTTATAAAAAAATGTCATGAACTTTTTACATAAATATTTCTTTATATTTTTTATTTTACATTTACTTTATTGATTTAAAATTTTTTACCTGAAAAGCAATAATGGTTAGAAAAAAGTATGAGAATAAATTTATCCTAAAACAAAAAGTGTTAGCTACAATGTAAAATACTTTATGAAAACAAAAAAAGTATTTATTTTAATAATTTTTTTAACTTTTGTCAAAAAACACTAATAAATAGTTAATATATAATAAAATTTTATTAAAAATGTATATTTAGTATTATTATATAATTTTCAAAATGTTAAATTCTATATTTTTTTATAAAATTTTATTGTAAGTCTTTACCACATGTTTAAAAAACTCTAATTTTAGTAATGTTGAAATTCAAAGAAAAAATCATTTAAAAAAAAGAAATTTAAATAGAGCAATCATTGAATAGTTCTAGATCACAGTTTTGGCCACTTATATTTTATCATGTATCAATTTTATTTGATAAATTACAAAATTTATATGTCTCGTAGTATGTTCACCAAGTGAGGGGATTCGAATTGTCTCCAGTTGTAGCGGTGGACATCCAGTTCAATTTTTACTTAAGCAAAAATACAGAAAATGACAAAATATTTTTATACAAAATTAGTTAAAGTGAATTTTTTTACTTAAACGAATTTTTGTAGATTTGTTTTAGTAAATTATTTTAACTTAAGCGAATTTTGCGTCTTTTCTTTCAATCTTCTCTTCTTTTTCTTTTCCTCCTCACTTTTAACATTCCTTCTTCAACTTCCATGTTCTATCTTATTTAACTTTCATGTTCAACCTTCTTCCTCTCTTCTCATACTCAACTCCTCTCTTCTTCTAACAACTCCCATTTCCCTTCACCCCATGCCCAACTTCTTTCTTCTTCTTTCCACTCTCATCCTACCCCATACATATCTCTCTCTCTTTTATCCATACTCAACTCTCCACCCTCCTCTTCCTCCACCATCATTCCTATACCACCTATTCTTCTTATCTCCATCTATCTTTACTCATCTTTTTTTCCATTTCTTTAAATATACAAAATTCATTTAAGTAAATTGTAAAAAATTGCTTAAGCTAAAAAAAATTAGCTTAAATTTGTAGTTTTTTGTATTTTTGTTTAAATAAAAATAAAACTAGATGTCTAATTTTTGTCATAAATTGAGAGAATCTAAATTTCAAGTGAGGTTCACTTGAGTTATTTTTAAATTTTTATTCAAGTCTACGATTCAAGTCAAACAGGATAATATGAAATTTAATTTAAAAGTTAAAAATACTATTAACAAGGAATAAAAAAAATTTAGGACACCCTAATTAATTCCACATCCCAAGAAATTACCCTTTAAAATAAGGTGTGGATCCTTTACTTTAGGACACCACCATGTTATCTTTTCTTAAAATAAGGTGTGCATAACATATTTTTGAACTTCACCAATGGTTAAGAGGGATTGGGGGTATGATATATTGTGAATTGACATGAAAATGAGATATAACATTGATGAACAGTGAACACCTATTTGCACTAGGAAATTATGTGAACATACCAATACACTGAAACCAGTGACATTTACAAATGAAGCAGCTAGAGAAGCACCAGCCAGAAGCAACTCATCCAAATGGCCCACAAACATGAGAGATATCACTTGTAAACTGTACTGAAACACACACACAAATACCATTGGCCCTGCTAGCCATAGTTGCTTCTTTGCTTCTTCTGCAATTCCCTTTTCCCATATGCCCATTGCCTACCTTCCTCTCAACATCAATGTCTTGAAAATTGGAAACTCATGTATAGAAATGATGGAGCTCTAAACGTGGAAATTTGTCTTCGATTATATTATCCTAGTCAACTTTATAGGATAAATCATACAGAGAAAGTGGAATTTTTTTAATTAAAATTTTGTTTGAAGATGTAACAACTCAACTCAAGGATAGGATAGTTTATTTTCCTGGATCGAGTCCCCTCACCCGTGGTCTACGGGTCTTACATATATATATATAAACATTACCTATCAATAATGCAGTGGTTATTAAACTAATTTATATTTAGACATTCAAAATATACATAGGGGGAGCCTCCTTATGCTTGAGAAGGCTTGTTCCCCAAATTTCTTATAATAATTTTTATATTTTAATCTTCATAATTTATGATTTTGTGGTTAATATTTATCTTTTTTACTTTCATATAAATGGTTTTTCTAACATGTTAAGAGATTATGTGTTTTTATTGAAAATTATGACATTTAATGTTATTATTGCATTAAATTATGTGATACCTTGTTACTTCCAATAAAATTTTAGTATACACAAATTCTTATTACGTGTTTTAGACACACATTAGAAAAACTATTTCTACATAGGTGTGAACTAATTTTGTATAAAGAAATGTAGAAATTATAATATCATATTAAGTTTCTCTCCAACTTCTTGTTAATTGTATAATTTTTAAACTTATCATTATTTTAATTGAAAATAAGAGGAAATGCAATTATATAAAAAGTATTACCTATGAAATTGTGATTTTTTTCTAATTTATTATTTTGTGTGTATCTAAAATATAATTCACCACAAATAAATGCTTAAAATCTATTATAAAATTAGAGGTTGTGCTTTAAATATAAACTTTTAATTATTAGAATTCATTAGAATTCACCTAATAGTAACAAACGTTTCTCTGGTTATATTCATTTTTAATTTTAAAAAATACTTAATATTTTATCTCAATTTATTTTATAAAATTCATTATGACGCACCTTTTAACTAATAATGTTGATGTTACGTTTAGTTAATTTTTCAAGAAAAAAAAAAAATGTCTTGCTTTTATTCATTTATTTTTTTTCTCTCTTTTAGGATATATTAAAGAAATAAATAAAATATACTGGAATTTCATGGTTAAAATAAAATAAAGAAAAGCAGCAGCAGCACAGGTCTGAAAGTCTAGATCCACTCTTTCACTTTCGATTTCAATTTTGGATAAACGGAAGATGTCATTCACAAAGTTGAGGTATGTTCTCTCCTTCACTCTTCTCAAGTTTCCCCCTCTTCCTTACTCTGCACAGCTTCACACTCACTCTTCGCCCCCACCGTATATTCCCAATGTCTGATGCTGTTGCCTCGTTCAATCGCATGCTCAATATGCGTCCTTCCCCTTCCATCCCTAAATTTAACAAGATTTTGGGGTCCTGGTTAAGACTAAGCATCTCCACACTGCCATCTCCCTTTTTCAATTGGTATCCAAGGGAATTGAGCCGGACATTGTTACTTTTAATATTCACTTCAATTGTTTATGCCAACTGCGTCATGTTACCTTAGCTTATTCGGTTTTGGCCAACATCTTCAGATTTGGTTATCACTGTAAGCTTGAGCACACTCATGAACGGTTGATGTCTTAATGGTAATGTCAGAAAAGCACTGCATCTGCATGACAAGGGAACACGACAAGGATTTCAGATGAACCAAGTTAGTTACGGAACGTTGATGAATGGATTATGTAAAGTGGAAAAAATAAGAGCCGCCATCCAATTGCTGAGACTAATGGAAGGACAATTGATTCACCCTGGTAATGTATAGCACTATCATTGATGGCCTATGCAAAGATAAATGTGTGGCTGAAGCATGTGATTTTTTTGTGAGATGGTTGTCAAGGGAATCTATCCCGACGTTGTCACTTACAATAGTCTAATTTATGGCTTTTGCCTTCTGGTTCAAGTGAAGAAAACAGTTGATTTGTTCAATGAAATGGTATTGAAAAGCATCCACCCAACTGTTTATACCTTTAACATATTAGTTGATGCACTGTGCAAAGAAGGAAAGGTGAGAGAAGCTAAAAATGTGTTAGTTTTGATGATAAAAGACGGTGTCAAACCTGACGGCGTTACTTATGGCACTTTAATGGATGGTTATTGCTTCGTTAATGAAATAAAGAATGCCAAATATGTATTCAACAACATGATCCGAAATGGAGTAACCCCTTGTGCACGTAACTACACCATCTTGATCAGTGGATTATGCAAGATTAAAATGGTGGATGAAGCCGTGATTCTCTTTCAAGACATGCATTGCAAAAGTGTGGTTCCAAATACAGTAACTTACAATTCTCTTATTGATGGTTTATGCAAAACAGGAAGAATTTCTGATGTTTGGGAGCTTCTTGATGAGATGAATGACAGGGGTCAAAGTGCTGATGTAATTACTTATAATTCCTTAATAGACGGATTATTCAAAAACCATCATGTAGATGGGGCAATTGCATTATTCAATAAAGTTATAGACAAGGGCATTCATGCAGATGCATGCACATACACCATACTTATCGATGGACTTTGCAAAAGTGGAAGACTTAAGGATGCACAAGAGGTTTTTAAGGATCTCTTGGTTAAAGGCTATCATCTTAGTGTTCATTCATATACTGGTATGATCTGTGGACTTTGTAGAGAGGGCTTGCTTGATGAAGCGTTGGCGTTGAAGTAAAAAATGGAAGACATTATTTGCTTTCCTAACGCTTTAACTTTTGAAATAATTATTTGTGCTCTCTTTGAAAAGAATGAGAATCACAAGGCTGAGGAACTTCTGCGGGACATGGTTGCTGAAGGCCTCTTGTAAGAATTAGTCTAGTTTAGATGCTTTCTAGTTTAACATTATTTTGAATTTTAATAATGACGGGTGAATTTTTGTTTTTTTTATTTGTTTCACATACTACGAGATGGTTTTACTATCACATTACATTGATTAAAAATCATTGATATATTTGAGTCTTAGACATAAATATCATTTTTCTACCCAACTTAATGTCTATCTTTTGTATCTACTTTGAAGAATTTGTTCAGTCAATGCTAAATTGTTAATGCTTCAGGTAACTAATCATGATGAACCTAACATGATTTGTTTGAATGCTGTATCTCTTGTAGTTGACTCTATTACTCCTGATTCTTTTTGAGAAAGGCAAATAATTTAAAACATAAGCATTGTCTGCCTGCAAATTGTGTGATATCTTGTTACTTCCAATAAAATTTACTATACATGGATTCTTATTACAAGTCTTAAAAACACATTAAAAAAACTATTTCTATATGTGTGTGTAAACTAATTTTGTATAAAGAAAATGTTAACATCAGCCCTTACAGGAGGAAGGATAAGCAACTAATAATAGTAAAATCTTATTGAAAAGAGAAAAATTTATTGTACTTTCATAACTTTAGAATAATAAATGTGTATATTTTTCATAAAATTTTTCTATTTTCTATTATACTAACTCTAATGTTAACAAAGTCCTTTGTTAAAATGACATCAATCCAATTCTGAGACGATAATTGGATCTCCCTCGGGCATCTCCAGAGGGATTTTGGTGTTTCTGACTCTTATTGCTGCCTTATTTGCCTAAACAAGTAATATATGCAAACAGTGAATGGAATAGATGTTAAGAGTCTATGACTTGTAAGCAAAGAGAGATGGAATAGGTGCCTTACTTCTTTCTCCCAGCTAGTTTGAATGGTAATGACACCAAAAAGTATCACTTGCATGATGAATGCAAAGATAATCCCCAACCAAAGGCCCTATAGTTCAAGACATGCATTAGCCAAGAGCATTACATGCAAGCTTCAAAAATTATAAGACCACAAATAAATTACATGTAATTTACCTTCCCTTTCATATGTAAAACAAAAGCTAACACCACTGCAGAAGGAACTCCCACAAAATAAAATGATCCAAGATTCACAAATGCCCCGATCTTTTGCGAGCCAGAACCTCTTGCAACGCCTTGTTATACCCACCAATAAATTGACTTCATTAATATTATTATAACCAAAAATGTTTGTTCTAAAACACTGAAATTTATGTACCTCTTAGCTAAGAAATTATATTTTCCTTTACATGGAAACAAGAATTTCCACGCAATTCATAATGATAAAGGAAGTAAACAAGAAATTGATATGAATACCTGAAAGAACACTTTGAATCCCATCAAGGAAGCTGGAGATAGCGAGAATAGGCATCATGGCTGCTACATATTTTATAACTTCTGTTTCACTGCTGTAAAGATTGCCCCATATTTTTCTAAGTTGAATCATGAGTAATACTATCATAACACCCTCAACAAAGGACATGAAGAGAGCAACCTGAACTGCAAGACTTGCAGCTTGGGGATGCCCAGCTCCTAGTTCATTTGAGACCCTTGTGCTGTAAAGGGAGAAGTTTATCAATCTATGCCATATATAGCTGCTTCACATCATGCCTTAAGCACCTAAATCGCTACTCCCTTTGGTTCTTCTTATAAGGCACATTTCTGTCTTTAGTGATCCATTTTATAAAGCACTTTATAGTTTATAGGAAGCATTCATTATGTTTTTTCCATTTGTCCTTGATAAATGAAGTAGGTGGAAACCTAAATTAAAAAACTAAGAAGGGTAATCTTAATGGTGTGGTTAGGTTCAATGGTACTAAATGAGAGTAATATTTTTTAAGAAATCAAGAAACTCAACTAACTTTAACTACATTTATTGGTCTGTGTAATTTAGTTAAATGTGTCATATAAAAAAGACCAGGGAGTATAATTGAATGAAAAACTTCTATACATAATAGAATTTTGTTTCGAATTGCAACGTGTGAAGGCACCTCACAGCGCAGCTTAATCCAAAGGGAATCATCCAGGCAATTGAAAATGTATTGAGACTGAAAAGATAAAATGACACACTACACATTAATAATATGATCAACCTCAGAGAAGACCAGTTATTTCATGAAAGGGGGGGAAGAAAGACAAATGGTATATGCATTTAGTTGCATGCCAAGATCTAACCATATAGATAAAACTGAAGTTTCTAACTGTGGATTTGGAAGAAGACCAGATAGCAGAACCATTAGTTCAAATGTCCAAACCTTTAAGCTGTCCATGTAAGGTTAAAGTAAATCAGAAATATGATAGGAAGAATTTAAGGACAACGTGATAAATCTCATTCATTATAATTTATGCACTAGGTATGTGCCAGTGCATATGAATATGTTACTTCTGGATCAAGAATATACCAAAGCATAACAGCTGAAGGAATAGAAATTTTAAGAAATTCTGGGATATCTTGCAGGGCCTTCTTTGAGAAGCCAGTCCATGATTTTTCACATGAGGAAGAAAACTTCACATAAAGTGCTATCAGCATCACAGTTAGCCAATACGATACTGAATTTGCTATGGCAGCTCCCTTACTTCCAAGTCCTGACTTAGTAACTAACATCCAACATAAAAGTATGTGAAATAAAGCCACCATTGCAGAGACCAACATCATAGGGACGACAATGGTTTGAGAGTTTAGAAACTTGAGAAGGCATTGAAGGACACCATAAGCAAAAAGGCTTGGAATCATGTAAAGGGTATATACACCAGCCTCCTCAGCTATGGCTACTTGCTGGTGCATGGCAACTAGAATGTGTTTGGCAAAGGCCCACATGATTGCTAGAAAGACACTTACAAATGAGAGAACAAAGGTAGCTCTTTGCATGTGTATGCCAAGCATATTGTGCAGTCCTGCTCCAAATGATTGGCCGCATAACGTATCCAATGCACTAGCCATGCCCATCTGTTAGAAGTTATAACAATGAACAAGTGATCAGAAAAAGTAAATTAGCTATTCTCAGTTTTAAATTAAATTTAGGGTGAAAACACCCTACTCAATAGTGCTAAAAAGTTAAAATGTCAAAGTGACAAGTATTACAGAACTAAGCATGGTGTTGCTATTTAAAATTTGTCTAAGGGTTCTAAATTTTACATGTCTATCATTGATTTGTAGTTCACAAAAATATGAAAAGAACTAATTAATAATAAATTTAAACGAGCATTATACTTGTTAATGATCGTGTACTTTTTTTAACCCCCATTTTAAAACAGATCAAAATCAGCAAGACATGAAAACCAGCTTGAATCAACAATTCAGCTGAAACACAACACAAATTTAGTGCTCCAATAATATGGAAACCTACTTACCAACAAATTGAAACCAGTGACAGATGCAAAGGAAGTAGCAACTGAAGCAGCGGAAAGTGGCAATTCACCAAGATGGCCCACAAACATGACAGATATCACCTGCAAACTGTACTGCAGAAGGCCCACAGTGAAAAGAGGCCCAGCTAACCTCAGCTGCTGCTTCACTTCTTCTCCCACTTCCTGCCTTGAAACTCCTTTCATTCTTAATGATTTTCTTCTTTCAAATGATGCTCCTCACTCTATTTAGTTTATTAAACTAAAATTATTAAGCACCTTACCTAACTCCAACTTTTTATATATTTAATTTTAAAAAATGTTAACTTCAGTTGAGTTTAAGCAATTAAAAATAGTAAGATTTTATTAAAAAAAAAATTATTACACTTTTATATAACTTTAAAATTCAGTTAACAAAAATATTTAGTTTATCATGACAGGGTCAATCAATTAAGAAATTGTTGTACCTGGATTGTTGACTCGAGATGCAACTTGGGTGTCTAGATATGTGGGTTCCAAGCATGTATTTACCTTATATTGAAATTAGAGTTATATTATTAATGCATTACTTTATGTATTAGCCTCATTTCACCATGCATTATTCATTCAATATCATCATTCACCAATTGTTGGCTAAGTCAGATGCATGGTTGAAATCAGGTGTGTTGTTTTCTTTGTTGATGATATTCACGGGGTTCCATTCAAAATTATTTTTGTTTTGTGTGATAGTGATTATTGATGCACAAGTGAGTGTCTATGGGTGGTTCCAAAGTGCATGCACGAGTGATAAATTGAAGATGCCAGAGTTAGTTTTAAGATTGTGGAGCATTACCTTGTCAAACTCTTGTGCAAGAAATTGAAGTCCCTATAACAACAATCTTTCCCTTGTGTTTTTGTTCCACAAAACTTTACTCTTGATTGTTTCAATTTTGTTTCTTCTTCCTTCTTTTGATTACTGATCCTACCATGTTTTGAGCTCTTTATCAAGTCCCATTTGTGCATAGATGCAAGGTAAATTTTCCCATTTTTGTGTTGATGTTGTCGAAGAAGCTATTTTTTCTCTCTCATTGTGTCTGCTTTCTAGTTACAACTTCTAATTTCCTTGGTTTAATCTCATCAATTTCCTTAATTAATTTCGTTGGAGCATGCATAAAGCTTCTTTAGAAGTTCTCATATATATGTAGATTGATCCGAGGCAACAACAAAACTCCAAACAAGACGTTGTCGTAATAAGCTTTTAAAAGTTCTCTTACATTCTTATAAAAAGTTATTTTATAATATATCATATAAAAACATAGAGACAAAATCATCTCATTACTTATATTATTAATTAAAAAATACATAGTAACAGGTAAGAATTGTTTTGCCTTTTTATACTTTTGTTTGAGTTTTGTAAAATCATTTTTTATAATGATATTATTTCTCTTAGAAGATAATGAAATAATTATTAAGTAAAATGTGTAGGACCTATTAGTCCAAGAGTATATTAAGAACTTCTTCTTCTTCTTTATTTTTTTCTCATATTTTTTTATTATTTTTGTTGACTTTATAGAAATAAAAGTAAAGCAATAAAAATAATATAAAAATGATCAGAATAATAAAGAGACAAAGTATTGCATTCATAACCTGATCAGGTTTGATAACAAATTTATTATAAACTTTTTTAAATGTTTACACAATCATTTCCATCTAACACAAGTTGAGCAGATTAGATATTAAGCTGAAACTTGAATCATATAATAATATTTTTTTAAAAAACTAACATAATAAGTTAACTGAAGTCCTAAGTCAAAATTATTAATTAAGGACTATTTGATCAAATTCAATCTACCTTTATATATTACAATAGAGTATTTACTTTTGAGAAGTACCCTATTAACATTCATTTTTTCAAATGAATTATGTCTTCTTTTTCATCAAATACCTCTTTTCGAAATTATTTTATTCATATATTATCACTTAAAAAATAATAATTCAATCTGTGTTCTATAACATCATCGCTGTAATTAGTTACATTATTCCTTTCTCAAATATTTTCAAATTATATCACTGTTTTGGCTCATTTGAAATTTTAAATTTTTTGCTAATATTCTCATTTATAAAATTAATTTTCTTAAATAAAATTTTTAATCTATATATTCTACTTCATTTTAATTTTAAAAATATCCATGTGATGAACAGAAAATTTGAGAGCAATCTATAAATCAATGCAAGCCCAAAATAAAGTAAAATTTAATTTCTTAAGGAAAGCACATTACCCTAGCTTATGCGAATATAAACAAAGTTCAATGTTAGGCTTTCAGCAATCTTTGATCAAATTAACATTTAGCAACTTTTACACACAACACATAAAAAGTTCTAACACATTTTACCTAGCAAAAAAACATAAACCATATCCCATAACATAACCATGACCAATTACATGATCTATATTTCACATGATTTTAGATGATCAAGATCATATTACACACTATTTTAGATTATTACCCTTTTTCTTAATTTCTCAGAGGTAGATATCTTACATAAAATATAGTTTTGTTTAGCTATTTCACCTAATGTAATTGTACCAAAACTTTTTGATTGAACAAATGGTAACAAAGTTTGTATGACCTTCAACCAAAACTTGCATTAACATAGATATTGTAGCTTCATGAGACTATGCTCTCTGGTATTATGGAGTCATAAACTCTATCTATAGCCTTTTTTGCCTGAAAAAGAAATAAGGAAAATATAAGCATGTTCCCATCCAATATCACAGAAATGAAAGGGTGAAATATATTATTTTTAAGAAAATGGAAAACTTCACCTCTTGCTCCCAATTGGTTCGTATAGTAATGATCATTAGAGAACATACTTGAACGATGAGTGCACATATGATCCCGAGCCAAAGTCCCTGTATAATGTGTTCAGCAAGTAAAATAAACTAAATTGAGATTTTTGTAGCTGTTAGCCCAAGATTATGCTCCAAAAGAATGAAATTTTTTGTTTACCTTGCCACCAATATGCAATGCAAAAGCTAAGACAATTGCTGATGGAATCCCAATTAAATAGTATGATCCTAGATTAACAAATGCACCAATTTTCTGCCAACCACATCCTCTAGCAGTGCCTGAATTATAGTGGACAAAGTGAAGGAAAGGTTATTTGTATATAACTGAATAACTATCATACACCACATAACTTGTAGCATTAATTTTAACACCTACTCTACATTTTCCTCTTCAAAGCTTCCCTTTTTCTTTAATAATTTTGTCAGTCTCAATTTTTAAAGTTGTTTTAAACATTCAAACGTAATTAGTTCTTATTAAAAAAATTATTTTATTAGAAATACAAAAATATAATTGATATCTTTTTTAATAAAAGCTAGTATTCAGTCATATTTATGCAATATGTGTTATGAAAACCAAAGAAAATCAAATCCTACAATTGTTTGACTGAAATCCACACATTCAGTGGTGTTAGTTTGTTATTTATTGAATTATAATTATCATCTTAGAACTAAATGATACGCCCTTAGTTTTGTAATAATTAGAAAATTCATGTCTCTTTGATAAGTGCTTTTGATTCCTAGCTTAGCTCTTACACAGACAATGAATGTAAGTATAGAAATACTAATAATACCCTCTTGTAACACATTTTCTTTAATAAATTTCTAACTATTAGTATAATATTTATTAAAAAATATAAAATAAAATATTAATTTAAAAGTGAAAAAATAAAAATTTACATAATTGTTATATTTTTTTAATAAATTTTAGTTGCTAGCAATTTTAATGTTAGAGATGAAGATTAAGAAAGACCTGAAAGAACACATTGGAGTCCATCTAGAAAGTTAGATGCTGCAAGAATTGGAAACATAATTGCTACATATTTGACCACTTCTACTTCATTGCTATATGCATAGCCCCAGATATTGCGTATTATTATCATCACTGCTCCAATTAAGATGCCTTCAACAATAGCCACTACTAAGACAACACACACTGCTAAACGAGCTATATGTGGATTACCAGCTCCAAGTTCATTTGAAACTCGACAACTGCAAGAATAATACAACCATTAGTAAAACTATATGTTATTACTTTTACTTTTTATTTGAAGGTTAAAGATAACATTCATTGTCATTTTCCGATCATATCCTCATCTTATATAAAATAGATAACATTAATGACTGTTATTTCAATTAACAAAAGAAATAATTATGAAGAATTGATTACTACTTTTAAAAATATCACATTCCTGAACTGTTACAACTTATATAATTTTTATTTAAAAGATTATAAGATTCAAATGATCTAATTCTTATATTATAAAAAAATTAAATTTTTAGCATTCATTTAGTTTTTTAAATAAATAAAAATTAGTATTAAAGTTTGAATTTCCAATTAATCTACTGCAACTCATATAAGAATTATGAATCCACTAAGTTGTTGTGATTTATCTAAACTTTTTATTTAAAAAAATGGTTTTAATTTTTTTTTTAATTGTTGCAGATAGATGATAAATAAATAACATCAATAATACAACAAAAATAAACACGCATGACTATGTAAAAATAAATAAAATAAATTGCACAAGCTCAACATTATAAGGAAAAAAAATTAATGTCATTCATAAAAATTGCATTTTTATCTATTTTTACTTGTTTGGATGTTAAAAAATATATTTTAAATTAATTTTTATTATTTTACTAAAAAGGGAAAAATAAAAAGAACAAAACAGCAACAAACCCATTTTATATCCAAATCTTAAAACTAAAGCCCATAGTATAGCCCAATTGAGGCCCACGAAGTCTGCTTTGGGTGAATGTCGAGATACATTAGGGCGTGTTTGGTCGTGTATGATGGAATTATTTTTCTCTGTCTTCATTTTTATCATTAAGGATTAAGGAAATTTGATTTATGTGTGGTGTCCGAGGAATGGCTTAATGTGTGGTGTAAGAGACTTGAAAAAGATTAATTTTCTGAAAATAATCGATTTTAGTTTTAAAAATCATAAAGTTAAGAAAAACAAATTTTGTTAAAAAATAAGTGCAATTAAACGTGGACTGTGAACACAATATTCTAAATATACTAGTTAAAAATTAATCAATAATTTTTTATGCTGAAAATCACAATAGTGTTGTAACATTATTCTTTTCAAAAATTTTATAATTTATTCATAAAAATTTTAAAGGGTAGAATTTTACTATTCAGATTTTTATTAATGCAGAATGAAGTTTGGGCCAGATTGATTGCTCCTTTGTTGTTACGGTGATAGGACCTCTTTGTCTTCTATGTTCAAATGCCTATGAGCTCTGCACTTAGGAGAGAAAAGTTGAAAACATTTATTTGTACCACTTTTTTGCTTTCTTTATTCATGTTTGAATAAAAAGCTTAATTTAACTTTTAAAATAGTTGCCTCCGTTTAATTTAGTTCAACTTCAAATAGTCTTTTAAGTTTATAAATATAAGATAATAATTTAATTCTTTTATTCATTAAATATAAAGATTAAAATATTTTAAATGGTTATTAGATAGCAATACAAGGAAGCTAATCAAAGGTTTTGACTCATGGTGACACTAACATATTACTATTATGTGAGGAACGAGTGTTTATTACTTATCTTCATTAGTTCTCTTTCTCTTTTTCTTTTTCTTTCTTAATAAAAGCTTCCACTTTTAGTTATTGAAAATTTGAAAATCAACTTTAACCATTAATATTATTAAAACTATCTATTTTATTACATTATAAGTGTTCATATTATGTATATATACACTAAATAAAGAAAAAAATTTCAACAAGCAAATTAGAAATAGAACCCAACGTTGGACAAGTGTGTGTGCTTAAGTAACACGTTATTCTTAAGAAATACTAACCTTACAGCCCCACTGAGTCCAAAGGGAATCATCCAAACTGCTCCTGCTGTGTTCAAACTGACAAAAGCAAGTAATCCAGAAAAAGTTAATGATAATAATAATAATAATAATAATAATAGTAATGATAATTATATTTATAAATACGTTAAAAAATGTAAACGTGAATTTAATACAGAAGTTATAACTGATAATATTAAAATAAGTGTTAATTCATATCATAGAAACATGTATCAAAGCACCTCAAATATGAAACCTACCAGATAGAAAGAACTGATGTTTCCAATTTTGGATTTGGAAGAAGCCCCGAGAGAAGAACCATCATTTCAAATGACCACATCTCCAAGCTATTTATGATAAAATTAGAAATAGCACCATAATTTCCAAAATAATTAAAAGTGTAATATTCAGAAAAGGAACAATATACATAAAAAAAGAGGAAAGAAAAGTAACAACACGGTAAATATTTGATAGTGCTGCTAATTAATATATTGTGGATTAAAAATTTTGTTATTAAAATTAAAGTAAAAGTACATTAATAATATAAAATGTCATACTTTTCAAATGTTCTTAAAGGCATTTTCCTTAAGATCTTAGAGAATAGAAATAGTAATTTACCAAACCATAAGAGCTGAAGGAATGGCAAGCCTTAGAAACGAGGGTATGTTGTATAGTGCCTCTTTAGAAAATCCTGTCCAAGTTTTTGCACAAGAAGGAGAAAACTTAACATAGAGTGAGAGCATCAAAACATTCAACCAGTAAGATATAGAATTTGCTATGGCAGCTCCTCTATTCCCTAGTCCAGACTTGAACACCATAATCCAACATATGAGAAAATGAAGCAAAGTTGTCACTCCAGAGCTCAACATCATTGGAAACACAATATTTTGGGTTTGTAAGAATCTATTGAGGCATTGAAGAAGACCATAAGCAAAAAGGCATGGAAGCATGGACATAGCATAGTTCCCAGCTTCTGAAGATATTTCAGTGTCTTGGCCAAAGAAAATAAGAATGGACCTTGTGTTGGCCCAAATAATTGCAAGAGGAATGCTCACAATCATAAGAATCAGCATTGCTCTTTGCATGTGTATGCCTAACATGTGATACTGCTTTGCTCCATAAGATTGGCCACATAAAGTGTCCAAGGCACTAGCCATTCCAACCTGTTTAATTTTAACCATAAGTAATTAAATAACTGTAAAGAAGCTCAAAGCACATTCCATTATACATTTTTCTGTTTTCTTGTCAACAATTGGTGATGATCAACACAATTTTAACCTTGGTAATTATGCTAAGTTCCAAAAAGTAAGGATTTTAAATAACTAAGCAGTGCTTAGATTTATACATTTCCCATAAGTAACCAAAACAAAACTAAGCATGCAATTGGTTATAAGGGTATTAGATATGAAGGTAAAAGAGAGGCTTAGGAAAACTGAACTCACCAATAGGTTAAAACCAGTGACACAGGCAAACGAAGTGGCCATAGAAGCACCAGAGAGAGCCAACTCACCAAGATGCCCCACAAACATGACTGATATAATTTGTAGGCTATAATTTAGCAAGCTCACAGATACTAAAGGCCCTGCTAGCCATAATTGCTTCTTCACTTCTTCAAGAACTTCTTTTTTTCCTATTGATCTTGTCTTGCTTTGCTTTACATCAACTACAAATCCATCTTGCTCCGTGTTTTGTACCAATGGAGAGAGGAGAGATGTATCTTGCTGCTCTCTTTCCATTTCTCTTCTTAGTTCCTAACTTCCTAGTGGAGAGACACTGTTTTCTTTCTCACATTTACCTTTGATTAGATTGATTAGATCAAGGCAAAGGAAATGAGGGGAGTGAGAAAAAGTTTAGAACTTCAATTGAATAGAAAAAACTCTAGTTTTCTAGGTTCGGAAAAAACTTTTCGCTTTTTTTTTTCTTTTGATTGCAAAATTGTTATATTATTTTTTATTCTGTTTCTTGATTTTAAATATTTGTACCAAGAAATAATAAAAATCATTTTTTAATTGTTTAATATATAAATATTTGAAATTAAAAAATAAAAATAAGAATATTTTTTAAAATTAAGAGCACCTAAAATTTTCTTTCTGAAAGTTAACATTATTTATTTATTTATTCCTTTCTTTTCAACAAAATAATAAAAAAAGGAGTATGTTCTCTTTTTTCTTCTCTGTCTGACGTTATCTCTTTCTGTCCTTGGACATTCGTCTCCAACAATGTTGTTATCCTTGACGATGATGTTGCAAAAAGAAGTGTATACATGCATTGGGAAGCATCCAACTTTGACCACATAATTATTAATTTTTCTGAAGTTTCAGCAGTAAAAAATATTTTTTAAAATTTTGATAAATGACTTTGAAACTTAGCTCAAGTCTAATGTTGAGTGCTAAGTTCTTTTGCTTTTGGGGGGTTTCATTTCTGTGAAAGGCAGAGCATGTTCGAGGTATGAACTCTTTCGGGGTTTGTATGGTAAATATTTGTGATTAGTTAAGAATTAAGGTGTGAAAAATTAATATATTAAATACTCATTTTTTTATATTATATTTAAAATTTTATTAGAGACTTTCACAAATAAATTTAAGTATGTTTAACTTGATTTTGTGAAAAACAAAGTTATGTTTAAATGCAATTAACTAAAATCAAGTTTATTCCCTCAAATATATTTGAGTAAAAGTTAAAAAACTATATTTTGTTGAATTTAACATTTTATATCAAAATTTATCACAATATTTTATAAGATAAAAATTTAAAAATATAAAGTTGTTTCACTTTAAATTAAAATAAATTTTATAAAATCAAAATTAATAAAAAAATTGTAAATATTCGTAGATTATTGCTATGCCTACAAATTATATTTTTGTATTCATAAATTCTGCTGAATCGTGTGTCTTGTGTCCATAGTTAGATAGTGTTGCATTTTTTTAATACATTAACTTTTATTTAAATGATGTAATTCATAATTTTAGATAATATATATGTAACTTAATTGATAAGCTTTTTTAAACACATTAATTTATTATTTTTGATATTTTAAAAAGATAAATTTATATAAAACAAATTATATCAGTTAATTAATTAATAATATTATTAAAATATAAAATATTAAATAAATAGTGAATAAATATATAAAAATATAATAAACACTTTGTTTATTTAAAAGTGAGCTTTGAGACGAAATAATAATATATTAATTATTAGGAGATCATTAGAGATAACTTCAAGGGGTGTTCTTTTTTATTTTATTTATTTATTGTTAGGGATAATTAGTTGGTCTCATCTTAAATACTTGTTCGCTTAATTACTTTCCTTCTTTTTTAATAATAATAATAAATGTTATCACTTATCATAAATTATTACCTTATTTTTCTCATAAATAAAATTTATATATATATATATATATATGATTTAATGTAAAATATTTGTTTTTAAATTTTTCACATAAATGTTTGTCAAAAGAGATGCATTGATTTTAAAATATTTGCTTAACTTAATAAAATTGAAGCTCATTCACTTTTAATTATTTCAAGATTTTTTCTAACTTCATTGCGTTTAGTTTATCCAATGGTGTGATTTGGATTGGTTTTAACAATAGTGACATTGGGTTGGAAGTGAACCTGTGCAACTTTATTTTTCTTTGTAGCTTTTAAAATTGGAAGAGAGTCACGTGGAATCATTAATAGAACACAATACAACAAAAAAATATCATAAAATTTTGCTTTTTCTTTGATTTTTTTAATCTACAATCTAAGAAAATTAATTGAAATAAAGTGATAGTAATAATAATTAAGAAAAAATATATTTTTATAATAATTAACACACAAAAATTGTACTTCAATAATACATTAGTGTACAAAAATATTATTATATTATATTTATATTTATATAGTATTAAAAGTTGAAGTTGATTGAGTCATGAAAGCTGGCAATGTGGGGTTTGTTCAGAATGACAATACAAGTGAAGCACGTCTTATTGACGTGGAATCGATGGGCCTAAGAATAATGAGGAGACATAAAATATATATTTATTTTATTCTTGTAAATTCTCTTACTTATTAAATAAAAAATCATTTAATATATTTTATATTTTAATATAATAATATATAAATATTTTTATTTAATGTTTATTTTATAAAATCTTTTAGAAAAATCATTAGAAAAATATATCAAAGTTCAGATAAACAAATAAAATAGACTCTTTCCAAGACTTCCAGAAAACAGGGTTCGTGGAAAAAATGCACATTATTATATAATATAATCTATGGATTCAGTTGTCTCTCTCACTCTCTGTTTGCCTCTTTGCTAACCTTTTTCTTTAAATGTTTTTCGGTTTGAAACTTTACTTATTAGGTTCTTTCCTAAAAAAATTAAGTAAATTACAATTATGAAAATTTGAATTTATAACTAAAAAAACCTAAATATTTGAATTGAAAGACTTTTCTCTTTAATATAAAATGAAATGAGAAAAAAATTATGAAAATGAATTTTAAAATCTAAATACATAACTTTTTATTAATATGAGATGTTTAAGTATAAAATATAAATATAAATATATAATTATAATATGTATAATTGGATTAAAAATTGTACAAGAAAGGTGACATGTAATATATGTTAAGTTTTATTTCTCTGTCGTTTACTTACATTGAAGTTTCAATTAGCTGGCCATCAAATGCATCCTCTCGTTTGTTTAATTTAATTTGTTTAATTAAAGAATACATATATTACTTGTCAGCTTACACTAAAGTTATTTACACCATTATACTGTGTTAACTTTTGAAATTTTGTATAGAAATATAAAGAAATGACCAAATTACTATATTTTTAAAAATAAACATTAAAATTGTAGAATTAAAAATGGAACAAAATTAGATACAATGACACAAATACTATTTGTATTTTTTTTTTTAATGAGAGTTTGAATTTTACCTTGTTAATGATAACCTTTAATCTTGATGTGTTAATATTTAATGTCAACTTTTATTATATAAATCATTCAAATAAAATATTAAATTGCATTAGAAAATAATACTAATAATACTTATAATAATGTCTTAAGTTTTTTTTTTTTTTGAAAATTAAAAGATTAAAATTGCACAAATCATATGACTAGGAGAAAAAATAAATTATTTAAGCCTAAATCTTTGTGTAAACAATTTTGAACTAACATAGCTGATTCGTTTTATAATATTTATATAAGATAATAGTAATGTAATTAAGAAATGCACCCATATATGTCTTAAAATAAAGCAATGTTTGAATAGCAAAAAATAAAAATAAAAATAAAAATAAAAATAAAGCAATGTTTTGTAGCAAAAAAAAATAATAATAAAGCAATGTTTATTAACGTGTTTATTTGAATAGAAGAAATTCAGATTTTTGGAAGATGTAATCTTAGATTTAGTTTTTAAATATGTGTTTTAAGAAAAGAAAATGGTTGTGTCTCTGGGTTAGTTAGTAATTATTTTCTAACTATTGGATAGATATATTTTATAAAAATTGTTGGTTTTAATTTTTTTTTTTTTTATAACCAACTTGTCATAAAGTTAAATTAATAAAAACAAATAATATTAACTAGAGAACCACTTAAAAATGCGTAAAAAAAAAAGCTATATAATATTTTTTTAAAATTATAAGTATTTTTTTTATTAAAAATAATTCTATCAACTGAATAATTTTGTTACAAGTAATAAAAATTTTCCTTTAAATATTTAATACAACTGTATTAATATTTAAATTAAAAAACATAAATTAAGCTAAAATAACCTTATTTATTTTAAAACTAAAAAATTATATATTTTTTAAAATACATGTCTTAATGAGAATATATAAATTAAAACATTTAATTAACTAAAAATAGACTAAAAAATCAAAATCCCACCTTACCAAATTAAAAGACAACAATTAAAATTATGTCTATAAAAAAAATGCAAACAACATATTTTTAATATATTAATAATTATTAATTAAAATTAAGAGTAATAGAGAGTATAAATTAATAATTAAATTTTTAACAAACAATAGTCATAAATTTTAATTATTTATTAAAATTTATTAAAAAATATAAATGTTAATTTTCATTTTTAATATAATAATTTTGTTCATACTTTTATAATTTTTAACAAATTTTAGTTAATAACTAAATTTATTTAAATCTTTAATTTATGTTAATTTTGTTATTTCTCTTATATTTCTCTGCAATTTATTTAACATATATAATGATATATAATATATATAATATTTTTATTTAAAAATTAAAATATTTTAATAATATCAATGCATTAGATTATATTTAATTTTATAAATTATAATAATTTTTTATTATATTCAATAAAAAAATATTTTTATCTGTACACTATCTTTACCCGGTGCGGTTCTGACGTGAAACGCATCGTTTTGCAAATCTGACACCCGTCCTGAGAATTAGTCAATGCACGGTTGATTGATTGATTAATCTGTTAGAAGTGTTTCATTGTCGATAGGGCCCCATTCTTAACAAAGAAAATTACCCTCCATACTCTAATCTATTTTAGACTTCAGATTACGTAAATTACAAAGAAACTTACCCATGTTTTAATAAAGGTTTTTCAAACATCACTTTTATATAGTGAGTGGTTCAGTCATCATCATTTTGATTTTTCCAAGCAAGTTTAAATAAAAAATTAAGATGCAAAGAAAAGAAATTAGTGTGCAGTGATTATATTCATATATACATTTTCGAAGAGAAAGAAAGCTTTTCACTTTTTCTCTTACTTTTCAGCTGCTGCTTACACAGTAAATTTTTCAAGCATACCTTTCTTGGCCTTTTGGCTAAGATCAAGTGTAGTATCTGTTCTTATCAGTTTAATATCTGATACGTGGGCATTGGTTCACATGATATTAAATTAGTTTTTGTAAGGTAGGGTACATCATAGTATCTTGCTACTGGGATCCTCAAGGGTCGCTCATGTGATGCACTACTGCAAGGGCCTGGCACACCCCACCAATTGAAGTTTTAAGAGTTTGTGTTTAATGCATTGCTATGGTTTAAAAATGAGTTTCATGCAGTTCTAGGATCTAATGGGATTTCACATTTTTTATTATTACCAGTAGGATCAGCTACAACATTAATATGTTGTAGGATGTGTATTTGTTTATTTTGAACTTGTAATTCGAATTATCAAATTATCTGAGAAGCTAATTCTAAAAAAATGTTCTAATTTATACTATTTGTGTTAGTGTATTTGTTGATGAGATTTATTTAGTATCTTGTCTCCAATAACCCTTTCCCTTGTCTTCTCCTTGGAAGCTAGTGCTGGAGTTGCACAACTATGACCAATTGATAATATGTTGGTCGCTGCTACTTCAAAGTTTCATATGTAATAAACTTCTGGCGTTCAATGTTAGTCAAACAATATTTCAAACACTCACGTGATGATGTCCTTTACCAACTTTGTATTCAAATATATGTACAGTTTGCTTACTGTATCTCAGATTGAGTGAGATATTTTGAGTCAGCATAAGTCCTTCTATGGTAATTCTGTTGAATTGATTATGTTTCGATTTTTTTATGCCAGAAGTGCTGAGTGTAGAATAAGGAGTAATATGCATACTTTTAGGTTGCAACACGAGGCATCACAAATCTTTTTAGTGTTATGACATTATGGAATATTATTGAATGAGGTATAATGATCTTTTTTACCAGTCTGATAGATAGAGCATTGGAATTTGGGTGCTTATGTGTGTGTTCTCCAACTTGGTGACTTGTCGCCCATTGTTATAGATTATAACGTTTGAGAATGTAAGGGATGATATTACATCATATAGTATGGTAAAAAGGAACCCTTCTGATTTTATCTTCCATTATCCCAAGTAACTTCTGTTAAGAATGCTATAGCCAATAATTGGATCAATCTGAAGAAGCATGTAAACAAAGTGAGTGTATGTTAAGCTGGATATATGAATGAATAACCGTAATTTATATGAGACTGTTCAGAGTTTCCAAACTATTGCAAAGAAATTTCACTAAATTTCAAGCTGAAATAGTCCCACCTCGCACGTTAAAGAAAGAAACAAAATATACATCAGAAATAAAAGACACGGTACGCATGTTTTCAAATCATACCTTTCTCGGCCTTTTGGCTAAGATCAAGTGTAGTATCTGTTCTTATCAGTTTAATATCTGATACGTGGGTCATTGGCTCACATGATATTAAATTAATTTTTACGGGGGAAGAGGCCATTGCAGTAGCTTGCTACTGGGCCTCTTGTGTGTCGCTCATGCGTTGCACTACAGCATGGGCATGGCGCACCCCACCAATTTAAGTTCATGAACGTCATATTTAGTTTTTCATTGATTCTCTTAGAAATTGAGCACACTTAAGTGTGACCAGGTGAGCGGTTTAGTCAATAAGTTAGCCAGATGCATGATAGTAATTTGGAGTAATTAAGATGCATGATAGTAATTTGGAGTAATTAAGATGCATGCTACACTGAGGTTTTTTTGAATTCTATAGCCAACATGAGCATTTTTGTGCAGAAAAGTTGGGTCATGTTGATAGGTTTTCATTGGGGAAGATTAGTGGGGAATTAAAGACAATATAAGGGCGAAATTGTAGCTGAGGTAGTGCTGATTGAAGAGTGACAGGAGTTTAATTTGGAGAAAAACAAAATATCTTCACCATTTGCCTTTTGTGCTAGAGAATCAGTTTGTAGTTTGTGATGCTTTTTTAGCGACATTGGCATGTAAAATGTAAACACTTATGTTGTCACACAAGGCATCTCAATTTTTTTAGTGTTAATGACGTTATGGGATATCATTGAATAAGGTATATAATGATATTTTTTTATTTTTTTTTATAGTTTGATAGTGGTTAGAATATGATTACCTGTGTGTCTTCTCCACCTTGGTGACTTGACCATTGTTAGAGAATCAAAATGAGCTGTATGTAACAAAATGATGCTAAAAACTGACAATATGAAAACATGCTATGTTTCTCACTTTAGAATTTTAGTAGCTTAATTGGATGAATAAGATGGTGAACATATCCTTATGGCAACCAATTAAACTAGATTGTCTACCAGGAGACCCGGTTAATATCTTCCTAGCAAGAACTACAACTATTTCAATTGCACCAAGAGGATACAATCAAGGATACCAATTTTCAAACATAGTTCTTTCTATAATAAAAGTATTGAAGGAATACACGGTTTAATTCGTGCCTCAAAAGGCAAATCAGGAAGAGAGCTGAAAGTATTATAGATGTGAACTTAAGTACAACAGCCGAGTTACCATTGATTTTTTATACTTACTAAGAAATACTAACAATTCATGTTGAATTAAAGATGACCGGACAAACAATCGATTACTGCATCCAAACTTGCTTTTTCTTGTATTTCCACTCACTTAAGTCAGGTATTACATGGCTTCTCCATTTATAGAGAACTATAGATAATGCATCTGATAAAGTTAACATATTTAAGCATTTAGGACTAGGAATATTCGAAGTTACTAAACTAAAAATCTTAAAGAATGGCTCAGCCACTGTTCTTTGAGGTTAGGAACAACTTAGAAAGACTTCTCCAGAAGTTACCAAGTTTTTGTTCAAGACTTTAAAATGTGGCATAATAACATTTTCAATTATGAAACCAACCAAAATGCACTGATATTTCAAGTTTGGATTTGGAAGAAGACAAAGATAAAAGAACTATCATTTCAAAATTCAAAGGTCACGTTTCCATACAGAAACAAAACAGCTTGCCTCACAAGAATCCCACCTCAGTCAGTTAACAAAGCAGCAGAGCAAGTAACAACAATAAAAGGCTTAGCAATCCACTGTTCAAAACATACCTTTCTCGGCCTTTTGGCTAAGATCAAGTGTAGTATCTGTTCTTATCAGTTTAATATCTGATACATGGGCCAATGGCCCACATGATATTAAATTTATTTTTCAAGGGATAGAGTCCAACACAGTAGCTTGCTACTGGGGCTCTTAAGCGTTGCCTATGAGTTGCACTACATCATGGGCTTGGCGCATCCTACGAAACAAAGTTCAAATTGTATGGATATATGTTATGAAAGATTTAGTTAAGAAATATAATCAAGATTTATTTTTGGAGGCTTGAATAAAATCAGTAATTCAACTTTCAAATTTGAACATTCAATTAATTTAATTCAAGCTTCTCATGTGAAATTTCTAGGAATTTGCTTCAGAATTTAGTTTATTTTGCTTAAAGGTTGTTTCTTCTCTTTGGGACAATCAGGAAATTAAAGGGATGGTAAGCAAAGCATTACCAAGTATTACATGGTGAGTGGTTTTGTAGCAAAAAATAAGTCCGCAAATCCAATGATTTGCCTTAATCTGCTGTATGCATGTCAAACACGATACTTGCATTGCTTTGCTATCGATTGTGAAGATTAATGTGATTAAAGATCATACGAAGGAAGGATCAGATTACTAACGTTTTGGAGGAGAATGTGGTGCAGCCTCTGCTTGTAGGCGTTGGTTGAATTGTGACAGGAATTTGGAGAAACTTTGATTAATTGATTTTGAGTCTTTGACATACCATGGACGCTGTTGTCTTTTTTTCTTACAAATTTGGATATCCTTGTGAACGGTGATACTTCCTCAAGTCATCATAGGCCCTTCTACATCCCGTGCACTGGAAATTTGTTTATTAATGGTAGATTCTTTTTCTAAGAGCAATTGCTAATTTGCTATTATTTTTTCCATCTTTTCCTTCACTAACCATACTTAATTCTATTTGAGTAGGGTGGCACTTGTATATATCAACCATCTATAATATATTGACTTCTCTTTATAATAAAAATATTGAAACAATACGTTATACGTGGTTTAATAAGCGCCAATCATTAGATTAGTAATTGCGTCACCAGCAGTTCTTTCATGAACTGCAAGGGATCCTGGTTCATGTCAATTTGACTAATCAGCAGCATAAAGATATATGGTGCATTACTGACCAGTCTATGAATCTCTCTGTGGGCTATAGATGCTGCATTAAACTGTTAAGGAAATATTTATTTTTTGTCAATGTCTTATTGTGAAGATGTAATTTAACATGGAGAACTCTGATTATTGATAGCTAACCAAGAAAAATTGACATAATTTCTCTCAGTTCTTTTCAGTATCTAAAGACTTAAAAGTAAAAGACTTAATATCCGTATTACTCATGCAGCAAATGTTTTAGATTTATATAGTCATTGTAATATACAGCTCATAGAGACTTTCTTGTATCATTGACATGACTAATATGCTCATCCAACCGACCAATTTGACCTTGTAACCAAGTTTCAATGAATAGACTCTGATTAAAAAAAATTCACCAGCAGGCCTTATTCCAACTTAGCCTTGGGCCCTTGAGTCTAATAAGTATATCAGGATATATTAATAAGAATCATTTTGGTTTTCTTACACTGCTACCCGGGACAACAAAACAGTGGTTAACTGTAACTAGTTAGTTGCCTGATCAGTGGTAATCTACACTGCCAATGTGCTCTAGGTATGCTAGCTTCCATTTGATCATTGTTATTGTTTGTATAAATTCAACTACGAAAGTCAAGTAACCTTAAAAAAAGGTAAAAAAAACTGTCCAGCCTCTTGTGTCTGATATGGGAGTGAATACCCAAACTTTAGATTCTTAAGAGTTCCATAAAATTGCATCGAAATTCCCCCAAATTTCAAGGGGTTAGAGTCCCACGTTGGACAGTGAAGAAAGCAATGGAATAAACACAAGCAATAAAATGCAAAGCGGGCCGATTTTCAACTCATACCTTTCTCGGCCTTTTGGCTAAGATCAAGTGTAGTATCTGTTCTTATCAGTTTAATATCTGATACGTGGGCTATTGGCCCACATGATATTAAATTTATTTTTATAGGGGGAGAGCCCAACACAGTAGCTTGCTACTGGGCCTCTCATGTGTCGCCCATGTGTTGCACTCCAGCATGGGCTGGCGCACCCCACCAAATACAGTTTAAATGGATGGTATATTTTCTAGAGGCTATCGTTGGGGCTATAGAAATGTGTATTTTACCAAGTAACAAATCCCTGATATAAAGTTTCTCCTTCGTTCTATTTCGTTAAAAAATAGGTCTTCTCTCGGATTCATTAATAATATAAATGAACATGTTTAACGTTTCTAATTATTATTGATAATGTCAAAAAAGAAGTATGATAAGCCGGAAGTTAACTTGCGCAGACCTGTCCTTGTTGTCAGAAAAATCTAACATGGGATGTTGAAGAGTTCGCATCATAATTATTGCACATATGAGAACTTCTATTTCATTACTAGGTACATTCCCAACTAAATTGCTTGTTAGTATCACCCTTCCAATAGATGCCCACAGTAAAAAGAACATTCTAGGACATACCCTGATAAACGTGCGGCCCAAGATGACTTTCAACTTGATTTCATACCCGAGTGATACAAGAATCATGCAAAGCATAAATATATAACCATTTACCAAAACAAGGACAATTCTTCAATAGGAAAAATAGGAAGAGAAGAGAACGTTCGATAGATGTGTGCTTGGGTACACCAACAAGGATACCATTGAATTTTTATAAGAAATACCAACCTTTCAGCTATATTGAAATTTGATAGGGATCATTCAAACAATTCATGTTGTTTTCAAAGGTTATGTTGTTTCTCCATTTATGAGAACTACAGAAAATGTATCTGATGAACTTCACATATTTAAACATCTGGAAACATTACAAGTTGCTCAGAGAAGCATAAGGTTAAAAGAAAGAGTGAACCACTATTGTTGATATTACAGAACAACTTAAAAAGACTTTTCCAGAAATTACAAATTATTCTTTCAACACTGTGCAACCTCCGAGAATCTACCAATTATGAATTATTGTTAAATATGAAACCAACCAGAACAAAAAAAACAATGATGTTTCCAGTTTTGGATTTCAAACAGCCAAATTTCTGAGCTGTTCAGCTTAATGGGAATGAAGTTGGAAACTAGATGAGGACTCAGGATAAGAAAAACAACGAAGAAAATGGAACAGTTAAGAAAAGCAACGAAATAGGAAGTATAGAACTGCATCTTTTAATTTGGTACATAGGAGTCCCACCTGTTCCAGTTAACAAAATAGAAGAGCGAGTACAAAGATAAAAGGCACAGCAATCCACTGTTCAAAGCATACCTTTCTCGGCCTTTTGGCTAAGATCAAGTGTAGTATCTGTTCTTATCAGTTTAATATCTGATACGTGGACCATTGGTTCACATGATATTAAATTAGTTTTTATAATGGGGAGGATCTGTCACAGTAGCTTGCTATTGGGATTCTCAAGTGTCGCCCCTGTACTGCACTACTGCAAGGGCATGGCGCACCCTACCAATTCTATCTTAAAATTATGTGTTTATGGTAGTGATATGTTAATTAGTGTAATTTTTTTTTTGTTAATTTAAAATCAGAATGTTATATAAGTAAACATTTATTTGTGGTTCCAAGGAAAAGGAAGGAAAATTTGGAGTATGTTTATTTCTTCAGTTTCTTTTATTGCGTTGATCTTTTAATGAATAACCGAAACCTTATACACTTGTTGCAGTAATTACATATAACTTATTTATTTATTAAAAAAACTCCAATCTAACAAACACATGTTGACCAGCAAACTCTGATGATCACGTATGGAATAAGAAAATCCTATAGCAAATAGAGAAGCCAATATGCGCACGTGGATAGAGCCAATGCTCGATATTCGGCTTCCAACTTCTTGCTCTTCCATCACTAAAGATGAGTCATGGAAGAAACAAAAACCACTCATGAACTTCCTCATATGTAGACAAGTTCCCCTATCTGAGTCAGTAAATCCCTTTAGTGAGACTGTTGACTGAGATGAGAAGAACAAGCCCATCCCTACACACCCTTTTTTTTATACCTCAATACCCTAGCGGCTGCCTCACAGTGAACATGAGTTGGAGTGTCAAGATGCTGACTGAACTTAGCATACAGAACTTGATTCATGTTTCGAATTTCCAACCAGTTAGCGGCTGCAAGAACAAGTTCAACCACATAGACTAGTACGCCTGTGAATCCTTTTGGTGTATAATGAGTACTCATCCCGAGACTGTTTATAACCAGAATTGAGAGGTCTATCAACATAAGTATGTGTTGGTGTTACCTGTCAACAATAGATTACTGTTTCCAAACTTGCTTCTAACTTAAATCAGTCTTACATGGATTCTCCATTTATAGAGAACTATAGATAATGTATCTGATTAGGAACTACAGTACTTAAAGAATGCCTGTACCACTATTCTTGAGATTAGGAGCATCATAGAAAACCTTCAGAAGTGACAAATTATTTGTTCAACTGTACAATTTGGCATAATAACATATTCAATTATGAAACCAACCAAATAAAATTCAGTGACATCTCAACTTTGGATTTGGAAAAAGACAAAGATAAAAAGAACTATCATTTCAAATGGCCACATTGCTAATGCTGAGCAAAAACAAAACAGCACGTTTGCCTCATAGGAGTCCCACCTTGGAAAGTCAACAAAGCAGCTGAGAATGTAATAAAAATAAAACCCGCAACAATCCACATTCTGAAGCATACCTTTCTCGGCCTTTTGGCTAAGATCAAGTGTAGTATCTGTTCTTATCAGTTTAATATCTGATACGTGGGCCATTGGCCCACATGATATTAAATTAATTTTTATAGGGGGAGAGTCCAACACAGTAGCTTGCTACTGGGCCTCTCATGAGTCGCTCATGCTTTGCACTACAGCATGGGCCTGGCTCACCCCACCAAATCAAGTTCAATTCTTCAGACATAAAATATGATCATTGGTCTTAATTTATTGATAAAACATTGTCGCATGTAATGATGTGATTACTTAAAGACTGATATGGACCGTTAATTAAATTTAATTAAAGGGAATTGCAGCTCTTGGAAATAATTTATTTTTCTTAGGGGGAGAGTCAACCATAGCAGCATTCCTGCAGCCTTGCACACCCTACCAGTTGATGCACAGTGTCTTAAAGTGGCATTATTCTTTCAAGCAAGATCTGAAAACGAATGGTAGAAGTAGAACAAAATAATATCGAGTGTAACATGGTGAGTGGTTTAGTAGCAACCTTGGTAATGATGCATGATATTGAAAGGGATCCTTGTTAAACTGAGTATTTTGAAGCCTATTGCCAACATTGAGCAATTGCATGCAGAAAAGTCAGGTTAGGTTGATCTTGTGGAGGATGTTTCCATTGACCACTGGGGAAGTTTGTGAAGATTGACGATGATTTAAGGACAATACCAGGAAGGGATAGATATAGCTAACTTCTTGGAGAAGAATGTGGTTCAACCACCATTGGTGCACCTTATCAAGAGTGAGTGTGCAGATGATTTTGAAGATTGATGATATTGTAACTGAAGTTGTGTTGATTGAACAGTGACAGGTGTTAAATTCGGGGAAAAAGTGAATCATCTTTCATCATCCATTGTCTTTCGCGCTAGAGATTCAATTTGTGGTTGTGTACATCTTTTAGCAATTTTGGATAAGTAAATTTTACTTTGATTGCTAGTATTCTTACAAATTTGGATATCCTTGTGAGTTTTGATACTTTCTAAGTCAGCGTAAATCCTTCTATTGTAATTGTGTTGATTAGGTTATGACATGTTTTATGCCACAAGTTTAATGTAAATCAACTAGAAAAATGTAAACTACTGTGTTGTTACTCAAGTCATCACATATTATTTGTGTTCATAATCATAACATCAAGGAATATCATGCAATAAGGTATAATGATCTTTTTTTTAATAGCCTGATTGAGTTGTATGAAATAAATTCTTAGAATACTGATAAATTGAGTTGCTTGTCTTGCTTCCTCTCTTTGCTATGGATAGAGACATGACACGGTTGGAAATCTGTTTTCACAATTGCACGAAATTATATAGGACTGCTGCTGCATATTTATTTTCGTATTTACTACAAGAAGGATGCCAAACTTCAGCTATTTGCCTAGTAGCTTTCGTTTTATGTTAATCATAGCATTAAAAATTCTCACAACATTAAATATAGATTGTCGTTTCTAACTGTTGAGTTTTAATAGCTTATTTGGATGAACAAGATGGACATGTTGGTATAGCAACTATAAACTTGTCTACTAGGAGACCGGTTAATATTTTGTTAGCAAGAACTACACTATTTCAGTTGAACAAAGTGAATCACAGTCTAGCACATCAACTTTAAAAAGTTGTTATTGTATGATAAAACATTGAAGGAATACGTGGTTAAATAGGGGCCAACCATTAGAATGCTAACTTGGTCATTTGCTGTTCTTTCTTGAACAACAAAGAATCCAGGTTCATACCAATTTAACAAATCTTCAGTGGTATACAAATATAGTGGCAGTACTAGCAAGACAAATAATCTCTTCATAGGAAAAACTTCAAAAGGCAAATTAAGAAGAGAACAGAATGTTTGATAGATGTACAATGAAGTACATCAGAAGTTTACCATTGATTTTTAGAAGTTGATAGGAAATACAACCTTACAGCTCCACTGGGTTTATGGGGACATTTAATCAAACAATTAATGTTGTATATAAGCTGATACTGAACAGCATGTTTACAGATTAAGTCCCACCTTGGCCAGTCAACAAAGCATAAGAGAAGGAAACACTAATAAAAATCACGGAGAGCAAATTTTCAAAGCATACCTTTCTCGGCCTTTTGGCTAAGATCAAGTGTAGTATCTGTTCTTATCAGTTTAATATCTGTTACGTGGGCCATGGCCCACATGATATTAAATTTATTTTTTGAGGGGAAGAGGCCAACACAGTAGCTTGCTACTGGGCCTCTTGTGTGTAGCCTATGCGTTGCACTACAGCATGGGCCTGGGGCACCCCATCAAATCCAGTTCCAGTATTTAGTGTTGTTGGGTGCTCTATCTAATGTAAAAATTTTAGTCATTGTTTAATTTTATGCTGTATTAGGATGAAAGAGAAAAGAGTGGAAAGGAGGGAAATAGTTGAAGGAAACATAATTAACTATATAATCCATGATAACCGAGTTGATTGTGATGAATTTGTTTATGCTACTGATAGGTATGTTAATTTATGTTTAATTTTTTTATACATCTTGGTGACTAGTGGACCTTTTTTAATAATTTTTTCAGATTTCTCTTTACCCTTTTTTTTTATCAGAGTAAAAATTGTCTTTTAAACAGACTAAAATTTACGTTGAGTAGAAAAATGACATGAAAATTTGTTTCAACAATTGTTAGATAAAGATTAAGATATTTAACAAATTTTAAGAATACGTTGCTTCTTTTCTTTGCTGCGAATAGAAAAACATGCTTGGAAATCTGTATTCACCGTTGTGTGAAATTATATAGTATAGCTGCAGCACACTTTGACCCCCATTAATATCTTGTTAGCAAGGACTAGAACTATTTCAGTTATACTGTGGGGATCATTAGGCTTTTTTTCTTAAAATTGATAGTTTTGTAATTAAAATTGAAAGAAAATCATGGTTTAATGAATGCTAACCGTTTGATTCGCTTGGGTTCGTACCAAATTGCCCAATCTCCAGGAAAGAATTGTGTAGAGCTATATAAAGGCGAATCAAAGAATCTTTCTATGGGATATTAGATGTTGAATTGTACCTTTCAGGAAAAGTTCTAAATTTTTTGTCGACTTCTTATCGTAAAGCTACTGTAGTTAAGTATGGAAAACTCCAATTATTCATAGCTAACCAAGAAAAATAGACATAATTTCTCTTGGTGCATCTCAATTTCTAGACTGAAAAGTGAAAACTTGTCAATATCCATTAATATTTATGTATAGTCAGTGTAATTTACAGCACATAGAGTTTCAATTGTATCATTAACATGACACATTCACTCAGACAACCAACCAAATTTGACTTTGTAATCAAGTCCTAATGATTTGGCTTCTATGATAAAAATTGCACCAGCACTCCACCAAGCCTTATTCATCAATCCAGCTTAGCCTTCAGTCTAATAAGTTTATCTAAACAAATTAATAAGAAAATCATTGTGGTTATCTTACACAACTTGAAACACCGCTAACCACAAACATATATCAGCGATTAATTGGTTGTTCGATACTTAAACCAGAACTACATAGTCTGTCTCTGTCAACAGAAGGACATGTCATGGTATATCTTTTGGAGCTTCATCAGTTTCTTTATTCTCTTCCTCTTCCTTAAGCAATGGCTTTGTTATTGATGGATCAGTCACATTTTTTTCATTGGTTTTTCCCCATAGGACTAAGTATAGACCAAGCACAACGAGAATTGCACCAATAAGCCTGAATGAAAATTCAATGACTCAGCTAAATGGCCTCTTCATTTGTAAATGTAAAATTGATATAGAACATACTCCATTAATGATTAGCAAATTTAACACATACCCTCCGGTGTATAACTGATCACCAAGAATTAAGGCTGCCATTACAGCAACTAGAAAAGTTTGCACTGGCTGGAAGGCAGCAACAAACACAGGACCACCCTTTTGAATACACCATGTTTGAAGAGATATCACAATGCCAGATGCTACAATTCCCTGAAATTATCATCATGCAATAGTGAATTGAATTAACTTCAAACTTGCCACCCCTTTGGACCAGATGTGTCATGCGAATCAAATTTATTAGAATATGATATTTGAGAATTTAAGTGATGAATATTACAGCATATAGGAGGATAAAAAGCTCCTCTAATGATATTATCTTCCAATTTTCCAAGTCATTCTCTGCAAAGGCTGCTATGACCAAGAATTGGATCAATCCAAAGAATAATGTAAACGAAGTAAGGGTTAGTTTTGCTGGATACTTCTTCACCACAGGTGCCTGTACAAATTTTTGCTTTATCGTTCAGGTCATAAAATTGTTTATATTAAACAAGTAAGAGATCACAAACATATGTCTGGTCACAAACATTGCTAATTATACAGTATAATATATATGTGTGTGTGTGTGTGTGTGTGTGTGTGTATGTATCTTAAGTATGAAGCAGCTTATGTCATGATTATTGACAAGACCTGAAAAACTATCCAACCAGCCCATGATAAACAATGTCCAAGCAAGTATATGCAACCCCAAGTCCAATTTTGCGTTTTTGTTGAAGACTGATCAACTTCTATAGTGTCTCCTTGTAGTTGGTCCATCTGCAGATGAAGAAGAGGAGGACCTTTGTAAAGGGTAATTATGGTGGCACCCCCCACACTGGCAATTGTTCCAAGAACTTTTGCCAATCCATCTCTCCTTGTGATTTTGGCTTCCTCAAGCCTGATATAGAATAAAATGAACTTGTCAAGTGGTAACAAATTGCAACAGAAAATAATAAAGAACATTACAAGGAGACATTATTACCTTAAAGCCAAAGCCAAGACAAAAGTGATTGCAGGTACTGAGTTTTGCAATGCAGAAGCAAAAGTTGGAGAAGCATAATATAATCCCAACAAGTAAAACCCTTGGTTTGCAGTGATCCTAAATTGCCAATGAAAAATATGCAAAATGAAGACATTAATAGAACTAATAGGAAGGAAAAATGTGTAAGAAATTTTGCAACTTATATACTTTCTTACCCCACTAATGCTAATAGGAAGAACTGAACCAGTAAAGATACGGTAAGGGGTGGTCTTTGATTCCTGATTACAAAGATATTAACATTGCTCCATGTTAAAATGCATATAATAGAACTAAGAAAAACGAATTCAAAGGAAATAAGAGAAAGAATATGATAGGAAAGGTGAAAAGTGAAAACAAGCTTCATCTTGAAACTCACTTCTCCAACAAATAAGCAAATGGACTCAACAAAAGCAAGGCAATTAAATTTCTATAAACTGCGAAAACAACTTCGCTGACACCAATGTTCAGTGCAAGTCTAGAGACGATGTGAAATCCTGCAAAGCAGAACTGCAAGGCAAGTAATGCCCCAATAAGCTTCACTTTCTCTGTCACAACACTACCCATTCTTGTGTAACTAGTTTATGAGAGGCTATGAAAGTGAAAGGTGGCTTATATAGAGAGAAAAATCTTGAAACCATATTAAATTATATAGCCTTTGTTATTGTTAACATCATTAGTTATCTATATTATTTGATGCCTTAGAATAGCTGCTACTAAGATGTGTAAATGTTTAGCATATGTAAGTTAAGTTATTCACACTACAAAATCTTAGATATAAATTCAATTTGTTTTGGTCGTTGACTTGAAATAATAATTTAGGGAGACAGAGTCAAGGTGAATCACGTTAGTGTGGTCGTTAGAGAGTAACCAACCCCTATAATTTGCATGAACATGTTCCCACCATCCCCTTTTCTTAGTATGTCTTTAGAGACCCTTGTCCCAATTCTCTATATTTGTAGAGATTATTGGATTAATAATTGAGATTATATTGTTCTTATTTCATTTTCTATAAATCTAATATCTAATCCCAACAGGGATTTGATTATTTTTGGCAGAAATTTTGAAGCCATGTATCAATGATAATAACAATGATGATGATGATGATTGGCTGCTTCGATGATTCTCTTGAATGCATTTCAATAGGGGAAGAATAAGAATATGAATCAAAGATGCATGTGCTATTGTTTACTATGTAGGCAGATTTTCTGAATCATATAGAAATAAAGGAAACTCCTCTAGTATGTTATTTTCTCTCTAGCTCTTGTTTTGACGCACAATAAGATTATGTATATGATCACTTTTTAATGAAAATCACATGATTTAATGCATTAATTTCTTCTCTTTTTTATAATACTATATTTTTCAATAAAAAAATTATTAATTTTTTAATATGTACCTTTGAACATACATTAAAAAAAATCACAAATTGAATCGATAAATTATTTCCTTTCTTAGCCCTTAAAACCAGGCTTACTGTTGGTGATTGGATTTAATTGCCGACTTTGTTAAGAGTTTAATCATAATGACTCCCCTCATGAGCGGCCTTATGGCTCAAGACCCCACAACCGAAGTGTTCAATCAATACAAGACAAAGGGTTCTGTTATTTTAAGGTTTTGAAAAAGTGGTTTTAATAATATAGAAACAAAGTGATGCATGTTTTAAAAATTTTATGTATATTAAAAGTCAATTTATTTTAAAAGTAATTATAATATTAGTCCTTTTAAAAGTTACTCAAAGTAGTTTCTCAAAATAATTAGAAACTTAATTTTATTTTTAAATTCTATTTTTTTCCAAAATCCTAAACAAACACAAAGTGAAATTTCATAAAAAAAATTAAACAAATGAGTTTTTTTTTCCCTTTAAGTTGACATTGCATTGTTAAGTTCTTTTTAGATGTAATACAGTTTTTTATGACCGAAGCTATACACACTCATCCTAGACAAATATCTTAGATTTGACATAATTCAGCTACTATAGCTGGGAGCCATGTAAAGAAAATGTGTGGGTTCAAACCTTAGAATACACTCCACCCTATATTTTCTCTTTATGAAACATTTCAGTGAGCTTTCCCAGAGTTCCTAAGTGGTAGGCACTCCCCTGAATAATCAATAATATCTTAGTCGTAACATCAACTAGATCATCAGAGGAACATTATTGATCAATGTGCTTATTCATGAACCTATAATAGGTTGGTTCATACAAGTGCCAAGAAAAATTAAAAAATATGTATATATACCACAAAGATGCAATTAGAGGTGTAAGAATATTCGGGATTAGGAGGCTGCTTGTGGAGGATACATTATGTATCTGCCGCACCACAATGAATAGGCAACAAGATTTGTTTAATAAAATTATAAAATCACTAATTAATATGGGGTTCGTTGGTAGCAAAGTTCATAATTTGTTTTCATTGCATACTTTAATATTGTTGCACTATGAATGCTACATCTCTCTCTCTCAAATCCCAATCCCTTAAACCAATTTACCGTTGGTTCATGTATAATTTACCCTCCATTTTATTCATCATGTTGCGTTAATCAGCAGTTTGTTACTTATCAACATTCAATTATATAAATGTTCTTGTGCTCATCCACAACCCGGTACCGCGCTGGTAGACGTATTTCTTGCAATTAAGAAATTTTTTACTAACTTGTCAATTTAATTGGACATTGTTAGCAACTTAAAGAAAAGTTTTTGTGCTAGAAAAAGAACATGAAGAAAAAAACCAGTAAGTGATCAGCATATAACTACTAATCGGTATCTAGTTTCAATTTACAATAGAATTATATATCACATTGTGCCCAAATCAAAGCATTTTCGAGATTAAATTATTATACATGTCCATGTCATTCATAAATTTAGTATACTAAAAGTTATTGACATTAGTTAACTTTCTGTCCCTATCACGAAAAGTTAACAGTGTTCTTAATTAGGTTGTTGATCTTTCTTTTCTTTTCTTTTGGATAAACAACTAGGTCGTTGATCTTTCTTTTCTTTTCTTGGAAAAGCCTCTTTCCCATATAATCGCATAAACTTGTTTTCTTTTATTACCCCATATTATATACAGGTTGAATGAACATAAGGGGTAGCAAACATGCATGTGAAATGACCTGAAATCTCTCAGATAATGTCATGATCTCAATTTGAGCTCAAAGCTAGATGCTTAGTAAAGCAAATTGACCTCCACTACTTCAACATGTACTGCAATGACAGCAATAATGCACCACTATCATAACCAAAAAGCTATTCAATAAGCGTTCAGTGCCACCACTTGTTTGTGGTGATAGGTAATTCATATTCATACAATTAACATTGCTTTTGAAAGCAGTATCTGAAAACAAATCCTAATTCTAGAGGAACCCTAGCTGGTATAACACATTGAGATGGTGCCTCGGATTAATTGCGTTTGAATACAATGACAATGGCAGTACAGTTATCTTTACAACGGCGCTCACGAACAGCTTCCCTTACAAGTCGGCGACTAATAGATGTAACAGGTAGCCCTTCCTACAAAGTATCAATTCAATTGTTTCTCAAGTAAGACGTCACCCTCAATAAATGGAAAAGCATTAGAAATTAAATGAAAATTCTGGAAAAGAAAGACCATTTCGAGCCTATTTGGCATGTAGGAAGTCATAAAGATGTAACTACTTTTAACTAGGAAGGACAGAAGTTCAGCTAAAATAGGAGGGAGAATAGAATGGTGTGGCATGGAGATTTGTTAGCTTCGGGTACTGTTCAGGTAGCTCAGCTGTAGAAAGGATTGCCCTTTGTGAAAGGGGAAACCCTTGGAAGGAGATTTGTCTCCTTTTTCTGTTCAGATTTCGTTCAGCAATAGTAATTCATTCGTTTTCTTTTACTTCTCATTCTTCAATTCATATTTGTGGGGTCGTAACTAATGTACACTTCATTGTTCAAGTTGCAAGCAGAAAAAGAGAAAAAAGCTCTTACATTCAATAACTTCCGAACAAAATCAACAGCATCACTGGGACCAAACACCTGACATAAACCAAAATGCTATGGTCATCTCAGAACAGAACGTTCAAACCAGCAAAATGGGTAAAGGGACATTCATAAATACAAAAAGACATACCCCCCACAAGCCATCACAGCCAAGAATGATGAAGTGCACTCTATCAGTTAGGTCAAAAGAATAGATATCTGGGGTTGCAGTGACACCCACCTGCATTCAGTATTACTCCTCAATATTATAAACTTCTTTAGGCCCATACATGATCTTTTAAGACCTAGTTGATGCTATAAAGAAATTATCATTGGCTAACTAATAAAAATAACAAGTAGCCTTTTCAAAGTGTGAAGACGCAAACCTTTTTGAGCTGGCGATCACCAAAAGCCCTAGAAACTTCTAGTCGTCCTTGTAATCGTCCATCTGAGCTCACAAAACCACCAGCCTGCAAGTAGAAAATATCGCATTAGAAAAGCTAGCCTGAACTCGGCACCTTACTAATTGAACTGGTCCTTGTAGGTCCTGAGTAAATAAAGTCATGTTTGGATAAGCTTATTTTGAAGAAAACAAATGGCACTTTCTTTCATCTTTCTAAAAGAGAAATGTAACTATCTTCCCATAAATAATCCCAACCAAACATGCACTCAACCTGTTGCAATATAAAGTGATAGTTCAAGCAGATAATCATAATACAAGTGCTTAACTTAATCTCAAAATGTTCCATTTTGCTCAATAGAGAGACTGAAAAAGTAATTTACAGAGAGAGAGTGCAGCAGAAAGCTCTGCATAAAGAGGTGGTAAAGGTAACTTTGATGTAAGGATGGGAATCAAGATCCTATTTGCTAATTGCTTGCACTAAGTACTATCAAATGAACCTGGTGATCTAATCAATCAGCATTGAGGCATTTCACACCTTCTGAATGCGTGAACGCTCTTGTGGGAAGATAGGTTTGTGTTCTCTTGTCAAAACAATGGCCTTCAGTGCCTGAACTCCATCAGAGTGATTTTGGGATCCATCAGTTACAGTTGACCGAGCTAAAACTGCTTTGGCATCCCCTACATTTGCAACAAAAACCTAACAAATATTCATCAAACAGAAAGCGCAAAACAAGTTACCACTGGCTTGAAAGAACACTGAAACAGACCAAGAGCTGAATATATCAGAAGAATAAAATATCAAGAATAGTGTACAACATATTGTCTATCCCAATTTTGTTGCAAGATTGCTCAACAAAATACCCATACTTATACCAGCTATAATGTTTATCTGCAGTTAGCATATGTATGGTAAATGGAAAATAAGCATCGACAAACTTACTTTTTGTCCCAATACCCACACACATACGGCTGTAGCACCATCCTGCCACCCCCCTGAAAACAGTAATTAAACCCCAGCAAGATATAAATAACATCAAAATAATCCCTCATGATTATTGGTACATGGATTGAGTGCAACGCTAAATTCAGAGTAAAGCAATGGGCAAATAACTTGTAGCAGATTGTGCTACATTTGTTAACGAAGCAGAAAAATAGGAAATTAGATGGACTTGAGTGAATCCAAAATGGAAGTTAAACTTGATTAATCTGCTTATATAAACAAAGTTTACACTTAATTTGGCAGCTTATTTACCAATATGGGCCCAATTTTTCCCAATGTAGGCCTATTCAGAAACGTAGTCCCTGTCAGAAGTTATTTTTGTCATGTCACTTCAAGTATCGCACCTTAATTCTTTTTAACTTAATTTTTTAAAAAAATACCTGCAGGGTGCAATACTTAATTTTATATATATATATATACAAGCTACTAACTCTGCCCCCTTCATGGTGTTAATAATATCAATCTGAAAGGTGGGCTCCAGTTACTTTGTTTTCAATTCTCTTTGGTGAAACACAGTGCTCCTTTAAAAAACTAAACAAAAACAAATTACTAAATAAAGGGGGAGGACCCCTGATCCACTTTCTATTTTTTGTTTTAATGGACCTACCCTACTCTCCCTTATTTACTTCATTCATGCAAACCCCCCCCCCCACCCCACACACACTCACTTCTGGTAGGTCATAGCATCTTTCATCTCTTTTATGTGATTATTTATTTTCTTGCAATAACTCATCCTTTTAGAATTCCAGAAAAACTCTTGTAACCCATTTATTTTTCTCTTTTACATAAATAGTTTTGAATAAATTTTTGGAGTTAGAAATAGTGTTAGTGTCACCCACTATAGAAAAAATTTACTTAAATACATAAGAATGTTAAGTTTTGACAAGTTCTCATTTTTAGGGAATGTGTATATTAGAGCTTAGAGTATAAATCTAAAGATTTTATTATTAAAGTTAATTTTGAATCTTTATTAAAAATTATTAGTATTCCAATTTGTAGGCTTATACTTTTCTCACGATTTCGGATTAGTTCTAGGAAGCAAGTTAATTATCTTCATCGTTTATAAGTGGATAATGATCATAAAGACTTATTTTTAATTATTTTTTTAATTATTCATTATGTTATTATTGCCCACAAAAATTATTTGCTTGGAGAAACAAGTCTTAAATTTATTTCTTGATCATATGAAATCTTATTGTGAAATGTATTTTGTTAAATTCTATGAACTTATTTGTAAAGTGTGAAGAAAGTATTTATTTTAATTTTATTTGATGATATTTAATTATGAAACATATCTGTTGAGGCTTTTACTATTGAAAATAATTTGATTTGTATACTTGAATGATGCAAAGTAAATAATTTTAGAAAAAGTTATGTTAAAATCCCGTAACCATTGGTAGGAATAAAGGTTTAGGTGCACCTAGTTATACTCCAAGAGGAGAGAGTTATCCATTAAATAGAACTGTTAGTGCACAAAGAGAGCTATGAACAAAGTGGAGCTGTCCCTGTTGAGATTAATTACAACAAAATGTATGCAAGGAGAGGACAACCTGATGATGAAGTTCCTCCAAAGAGATATTGCCCTTGGGAGGAAAGGATTATCAACAAGGTAGATTTGTCTTGAACTTTAGTTCTCTCATGAGTGACCCTTATAGTATTATATTGATATTTACTTTTATGATGTTTTAAAAAAAATTTCTTATTTAACTTTTGTTTTTGTGTACTTTATTATAATACTTGTAATTGAAATGATATTTTTACTTATTGGTGTAAATTTTAAATTTTTTATCATGACTAAACTTTTGAAAGAACATTTAGAATGAATTTCTTTTAAATTTGATATGTTCTAAGGAACTTCAATAATTACAAATATGGAAGTTGCACACTATTGGACATATAAGTTCATTCCAATAGAATCTCTATTAGTAGGCCCACATTATTCTAATGGCCTTAATACTTTCTTTTCGTTATGTTTTGGATTTTTTTATAGTTGTTAAAGAGTTAAACTTTTTATTTTGAATATGTAATAAATATTCTAGTTTTGATATTATAATATTTTGCAATTTGATTGGTTTTGGTTGAGATATAAATTGATTCTGACAAATTATCATATTTTTGGATAATAAAAATACAGAAAAAACTGCTGAAAATTTTGGCAAATTTGTCAAATTACTTGTTTGAAAAGGTTTATTGTCTCATGTATTAGTTTCTAAATACGCTTGTCAGGTTAAGTGATATCTCTAAGAACTTAGCCTGTACATCAGTCATGGGCCCAATTTGGGGTTGTGATATGTGACAGTCAAATAGCACCTACTGTTTAGCACTATTCTTAGTCTGGTGAGTGACACTACAAATCAATCAATCTACATATATATAGTAGTCTAGTACTAGTACTCCTCAATGTGGTTTTTGTATTTGTAAATAAAAAGTGGTGAACTTGGTGCTTATATATTGGGCTTGATATCACTAATGTGTCTGCCAGAGAAAATCATGAAGCAGGATAGTTTTAATTATATAGTTTACAATAACATCATTCACTCTGCCATCCATGCTTTTTTGCAATAATGTCGCCATTTGAACAGTAGAGTGAAGTGACTACCACAGTGCAGCTTTCACAAAAGCGGGCAGAGTTAGTATTGCCTCTCCATGAGGCGATACGTTTTATTTATAAAAAAAATTAAGTATCACATTATAAAAAAAATAATGTGGGCGCGATACTTGAGGTGACGAGGAAAAAATAACACTAGACAGGGATTATGGTTTTGAACTATAGGTAGTTAATCCTGGATAACGGCGCAGAGCAGTCAACCCTAAAAATGTCATTGCAGAATTGCGGATTGCAAGATAACCACCATTCTAAAGACAATCAAAAAGAGAAAAAAAATAAATCAAAGAGTGATCAGTCATCAGAAAAAGCTCTAGCGTAGATGGTCTTGCCAAAAAAATGTCTCACTATCATAAAAAAAAAATATTTACATTTCGTTGGAAATAGCTTGGGTTTCACTAGAGATGAAGAAGAAAACCAAAAAACATCTTTGCTCACGTCAAAAATAAGTTTGGTTTTGTTGGAGATGAATATGACGACCAGAACTTGGCTAAAAATGGTGACTTGCACCAAAAAGTGACACTAGAGATAGAAGATGAAGAGAACAAGCAAGAGAACGAGAGAGTGAGAAAACGAGGCAGGTTTCGACTTGCAAAGACAGAGAAGCACATCACAATATAAAAGGAGGCAAAAATCCCAAGATTGGCCCCTTATAAAGCATTCTAACTTTCAAAGGGAGGGCAAAAACTTGCCCTTTTGCCCTTGTTTGGCATAGCGGCTGCAAACGCCGTGATCTTCCTCTTTCGTGGCCACAAATCGCAGCACGACAGCCGCTATACTGAACCTCAACACAATGGCCCCAGAATCACAGCAGGGTGCTGCTCTGCTCTGTTCCTCTGCAATCATGCCCACTACGCTATTGACTACTATATTGGGAAATTGTTTTGAACTTGGGCCCATATTGGTAAATAAGCCTAATTTAGCATTTGTATTACTATAACAGAAGATCATCAAATTTAAAGCATTGAAACTATACCTTCAGAACTTTCTTGAAGAAGAGACTCGTCAGTTTTACGAAAACCTAAATCAGAAAAAAAAAATAGAATAGAAAGCTTCCATGAAAGATTCTCCATATGGAAACTTATAAAATGGGAAGTCAGTAGGGAAAATGTAAACTGAATGCTTACCATCCAGGATAGATCGTTTAGCTGTCTTTATGTCCAACTGAAACGTAGCAGCAAGATGAAAAATAAGGAGAGTAAGAGATAGTTGAGATAGATAAGAGTGGATCTTAAAGAAAACTATTTACATTTTTAAACAAATATCTACAAATAAGAACATAAGAATTCATTTTAAAAATATCATTTATCAAATGATCAGCTCATCATCTTCTTTTAATCTGTAACATCGGCTTTTGGATTTTTCTTAATAGTTTTATTGAGGCTTGTTGTATCAACTCAACTGAAGGAATTTTTAGACTAATTGGCATAACAAACAATATTCAGGACCTACAATATCCTACTCACTCATTTTTTTCTGAAGGAAAGATTGATTGCAACCCAGGCTTATTGGCCCTAAGGTTCAACAGCTTTCATATTAACATAACCTGGTAGAATGATACCGATGATAATAAGTTACTCATTTAATCATATAATATTTGTTTGTATCATATACCAACCAAAGCATAAATACATAGATTTTTCTGTTTGATAAAACCTTAAGAGCCCAATCAATCAAGTTCAAGTATACATGAAATTAGACCAAGCAAACACACCAACTCACGTGGTAATCCAGCTGAAAGAACATTCCCATGCAAATGCTTTTGAGCATATTCTGCAGCTAACCGACCTCCGTGTCCATCATAAATTGCAAAGTGTGCACATCTGAAAATCAAGCAGCCAGAGTAACCAAGCGATACAATACATAATAACTCCACATACTTGCAAATAAAGAACAATTCTTGCACGAGCACAAGGGTTTTCTCTTTTCTATCATTACTTTAATTTATATCAAGTTTTTGATTGGTTGTGCAAATAGGCACTGTGATCATTCACATGACTTTACACTCCTTTAAAAACCGAAAAGGGAAAAATTACAATGCAGCACTAAGATTAAAATAAAATACAGCCCTTATGTTGCAAACCATGGAGCTGTTAAAATATTACTCATTTGTTCAAGGTTATAACTTCTTTATTTCAATCTAAAATAAACCCCCTAACTTTTGAAGGGTCAAAACCTAATCCTCAAGAAACACATTGCAAAAAATCACTGACAAATAACAGTCCAACACCAAAAGGAAATAATTTGTTAAAACTATAAATTACAAACAAACTTTAGTAACAATAAGTAACAAACAATTATAAATTATACAAAAAATTATAGACACCAACAAGAAGTAACACAACATTTAATAAATGGCAGCTCCAAATTATTTTCTTCTTTACATAAGCTCTTAACTGGATTTTGGGAACTTAAAAATAAAAAAAAATAAAAAAAACTTTAGCAACAGAACAGAATCATTATAGAGATAAAAATAAATAAAATGAAACCCAAAAAATAAACCTCAAATTTCCAGGGTAATCTAAACTTGCATCAGGAAGAAGCACCCATGCATCTTCCATGGCATGCCTCGAACCCTTATCCTCAGCAGCATCAGCTTCAATGTGGAAAGTCAATTGGTTCACACCATTCTCATCCGAACCCATTACAGATGATTCGATCTTGACCTTCTTCGAAGCAACCCCATCCTCCTTGCTTTCTGAATCAGCTTCACGCTTCTGGCTCTCTGTGCTTTCATTCATTTTCTTCTCTTCTTTTTCCAACCACCAATTGCTTCAAAGTTGAAACCCTACACTGTGAATCAAGACTTCTTTCTTAGCTATGACATTCGTATTTGAAGAATAGTTGTAATACTTAACTTTATCTTTGATAAATTTTATAAATTTTAAGATAGGACAATTTAATTTTTTATATTATAAAATGGCTACATTAATAATTTAAAATTACAATCCAATTGTATTAAATAGCTTTGAATTCCACGGGGTCTATCAAATAACTTTATCCTCAAGTCCTATCCAACGTATTGATACAAAAAAAACGATACAAATTCAACCAATTAATCTAAAAGATTATTTACATAAAATATGCAGTTTGATAATTAGGACAATAACTAAGAGAATATAATAAGTTTTATGAGAGTTAATTATAAAGCTTAAAATAAATAATTAAGTTAATTTTTATATATATATAAAAAAAAGTTAATAATAGACTTACTCATTATATACAGATGCACAATTTAAGTTGAATTTAGATTAAATTGAATAAAAAAAATTAAATAAATAAATATTTTAAAATGATTCATACTTTTACAATGACATAAAAAATAAGTATTTCTACTTTTGATGTGAGACATTGTATCTTAAAATCAAATTGTGATATATTGATAAATAGTTTGAATTAATTTTTTATTTATTAGGTAAATATTGTGAATATTTAAATTATAAATTTAAAAATATTTAAAATTAATAGCTGTAACAATTTAATTTAATTTGTATTATTAATTGATAGTAAAAAATTACTTGTAATAAGTTTAGTTTAACCATTTTTTTATGAAAATATAAATTAAATTTATAATTGATTGAGTTATTAAAATTATGAATTTTAAAAATAAGATTAGAAATTATAAGAATTTAATTTTAATCATAGTATTAGTTTTTAGTAAAAAAAATTAGTTATAATAAATTTAGTTGACATGATATGCATAAAAATTGAAATTAAATTTGTAGTTATTTAACTTGTTACAATTAAGAATTTTAAAAAATAATACTAAAAAATCTTATGATTTTATAAATAGATAAGTCAATTTTACTATAAAATCCTCGTTGTGATCAATTTGTCTGGGAATCCAAATTTTGATTTGAAAAAATTGTAAATTTTGTTAGGCTTCATGATGTACAAGATCTTCCACCTTATGTACTTCCATCATGTTAGGATTTGGACTCCAAATTTTTCACCCATTTTGGGAGGGCAGCCAATTATCATTCCAAATTTTAACTTAAACTTTGTTTCCTGTTTTTCAATAACAGTCCTTTTTAAGGACCCAGATTGCCTCACAAAATGCTCCTTCATGTGTAGCTTGAAACATTGCCCACCTAAGCATAGAAGAGATCTCTATATGGATAATATTTGGCTCAAATTGGTAAAAACCACTACCATCTTTTTTTGTCTACACAATTCATTTCAAGCAACTAAGCAATTCTCCTTTTTGTTTTGTTTGTTCCCTCACATGAACTTGTTGATCATACTCTCAAAAACAACACAAACTAAAAGGTAGAGAGAAACACCCCATCACATATGTAGGAATAGCATGAGACATTAACTTCATTGAAACTTCTTTTCTAGTAGTAGCTAAAAACTTGCTTCTTCGATCTTTCCATGAGTTGCTTCAAGCCACAATTATTTTCCAATTAAGAAAAATATATATATACAAAAACTTTTAAAAGTAAGTTAAAAGTTATTTTTAAAAAAATGTAGTTTTGACAAAAAGAAGAAGAAGAAGATAATCTTGTTATTTATATATAATTTATATCATATCTTATTTTTCTTGTTTATAAAAAATACAATACAAAACTTACCAAAACTTATATTCTATTTTTATCTAGTTTCTTTTACCCTGTTATAACTCCTAATTAACCCTTAAAAATACATACAAGAAACAAAAGTAAGATTAAAATAAAAATGTAATGTATTCAAGTGAATGTTTTTTTATTATTTTAATATATTTTTATTGGTGTAGTCTACAAACTCCAATTTTACTTATAGTATAATGTCATGAATAATTGTTTATTTAAATATTTATTTCATATATTTTTAAATAATAATTTATATTATAATTTTGATAATAAAATTAAAATTAATTATATTTTAGTTCTTATAAGAGTAACATCCTTTTAGATAAATTCTTAAAAAAATTTGTTAAGATTTAGTTTCTAACATTTTTAAATATATGAATTATTGCCTCTACATCATCATTTTTTTTAATTTTATTTAAAATTGTATATTTAAAAAAAGTTTCTAAATAATTTAAATTATTTAAAAAATTAATAATTAGTTTGTTTTTTTCAACCTCACTTAGTTAAGGTTTTTGTGGTCTCATGAAGAAGATCCATGTGCATCTCATTGCATTCAAAATCATCAAAGCATTTGTTGTTGTGTTCTAGACACACAAGACTTGAGGTTGTAGAGTCAATGCTCTCTTTCATTGGTAGAAAAAAACTAATAGAACTTCGGTGAAAATTTCACTTATCGCTTAATAGAGTTTGATGTTAGGAGTTAAATTCTTATATTTTAAAAATTTTAAAAATTAAATTTTAACAATTTTTTTAAGGACTTATTTTAGAAAGTACTACTTTTATAAAAATTAAAAATATAATTGAGTCTAAATTTATTAAAACAAGCAAAAAAAAAGTTATTCTAATAAGTTATATCAATAAACTTATTAAAATAGGTTAACTTATGAGAGTTAAACTATTTTTAATAAACTGTTTTTATAAATTTTTTTAAATATTTCTTAAATCTTAAGAGTTAATTTAGTAAATATGTTTAATTATGATTTTAATTTTTAAAAAATAATCTATTTTAAAATTAGTTCTTAATTTTTTATTAAAATTTAATCTTTAACATTTTAAAAATAATAAAAATTAATTTCTATGATTAACTAAATTTCCTTAAGATTTTTGTGATCCAAGAAAGGAGGAGATACACATACATCGTTGCATTCAAAATCATCAAAGCATGTATCATTGTTTTTTAGAAGACACATGAGGATTGAGGTTGCAAGGTTAGAAGGTTAAGCCCCTTCACATTTTGGTTGCTTTTTGTGAGAAGAAGAAATAGATAGAGTAAGAGATAAAAAAAAATGGAAAGTTTGAATTTTGTGGGAGAGAGAGAGAGAGTTTTGCGGCGGAGAGAGAGGAATGTAAAAATATAATTTGAATTAATTATTAATTTTTAAATAATAAATATTTTTAAAATTTTTCAAACACCAGAAAATAATGACAGACTTTTGTTATCCAACTTATAATTTAATACAACTTAATTAACAGTAAGATCTATTTTTATTATTTTAAAAGTTTAGAGAATAAATTTTAATAATTTTTTAAGAATAATTTAAAAAAATATACAAATAAAAATATGATTAAACTTAATAAATATAATATACAAAAATAATAGAATATTAAAATAAAATATAATAAGAAGATGATATAATCTAATTAAATTAAATAATTAGTATATTAATTTTCGCTTATTAAAATTAATATAACTTTTAAGATTAAATTTTAATTTAATTTTATGAATGTTTGGACAAGTGTATTACATTCTTGCAACGGCTCCTCCTATATATATGTATATACAATCAAAGAACTTCACTTCACTTCACTTTTCACTTTAATCTGAATGCCATTGGCCAACACAAAACCCTAACATCAAATCTGCAACTCCATTTTCGTTTCACCTCAGAAATACCCTAATTTCTTTTTTCTCTTCCCCATTCCCGATTCAGTCGATGCTGCCATGAACACAGCTTAGTTCAATCCCCCAAATCGGCGATTCCCAAGATGTCGCTCCACGGCGGCAGCTCCAGCGACCGCCGGGACGCGCCGTCTCCGGGGACGGGGAATGCCGGCGGAAAAGGCAACGTGGTCGTGGCGTCGAGCCAGAGGCTGCGGCTGAACCCTAACAAGGACCACAAGCCAGAGGATTACGCAGACATGCAATTAGATTTCAGCCCTTCCATTTTCAGTTCTTTGGAGAGGTATCTTCCTCCGAACATGCTCAATGTGCCTCGTGATGAAAAGGCCAAGTTCATGCGCGAGATTCTCCTCAAGTATCTGCCCCTCGGAGAGCGCAACAGAGTGTGTTTTGATTTTTGTCCTAATTTTTTGTTCCCCATTAATCGCTGTTTTATTTTAACTCTTGCTTGAATTGTTTTTTTTTTTTTTTTTCGCGTGAGTAGTGAAATGAATTGAAAGATTGGCTTTTATTTATTCTTATTTGGGTGAATTGTGTTACTTGTGTCTTAAGTTAGCCTAATTGCATGGATGGAATAGTGTTGTTAGTTTATGTTAACAGTTGAATGGTATCTTAGGATAACGATTAAATTTGAATCTTAATGATACATTTACCCCTGTTGGAAATAGCTATGTTAGAGACGTGGACACTTCAAAATAGAAGCTGAAGTTTATAATTATTTTTTTTTACTTTTATTTGTTAAACTTCAAAACCGCTAGATACATTGTGACACTTTTTAAACATTGATTCTGTCTTTTTATTTAAGATTTGCATTTTATGTTATTTTAAATTAATTTTATAGTTTGTATAATACTAGTGTCTTGTTCTGCTATCCTTGTCTATCGTATTGTATCCATGTTCCATTTGGTATTTGTGGTTTTTACTAGTATGAAATATTTTACTTAGGACTTAATAATTTGACATGATAATAGAGGTCCAGGAAAGTTATGTTAGAGCTAATAGGGTTGATTAGGTTCACAATACATTAGAAGCCAGTATGATACGGAAGTAAGTAAAGGCTTTCAACAGGTAAATTGTAGTCAATAAATCTTTGATTCCTGTTAAGATAGTTTCCATATTTGATTTTGACAATGAAGACAGGGAGTTGAAATAAAAAGTTTTATTCAAACTGAATTGTAAGTGACTGATTTTTTTACTATTTAGTGTTGGATTTTAGTTCAGATCCTTTATTTTGTCAAAACAATTGTTGGTTCTCTAGGCTTAGAGATCTAATTATAATTCTTGTGTGCTGGAAAGGAAATAGTTTGATGTAGGAAGCTTCAGGGATTAAATATTTGTGTTATTCTTCAGCAACACTCTATTTGAGGGTTGCTAATTTTCTTTCCTAAAAGCCTAACTCAATGTGGCCCATAATTTAGTGTCACTAGATGGTCCATGTCAGGTTATTGAGCTGGATGTGGTCTTGCGCAGACTTTAAAACCCTGCCAAGTTTCCAATGTTGGGGATGATATCAATGTTTTAGATGTTTATGCTAGTAAAAATAAAGTAAATTTCTGAAAATTTAGGTTAGAATGACAGGGAGGAAAAGCAACTCATGCTGAGAATGAGATGTTTTGATGACATTTTCATGCTGTAGTGGTTTAGTAACTTTCCTTTGAACAATTTTCCAATTACGTTAATAAGTGTATGTTTGGTTCAACTTATTTTGGAAGATAGTAGCTTATTTTTGCCAGAAAATAAGCCATTATTTTTGAAAAAAAAATAAAATTTCCCAAACATGTACTAAGTCTTGAAAAAGTTTGCTTAAGCCATCATCATCATCATCATTATTACCACACTCTTGTGGCTTTTTATTAGCTTACAACATGATTATATGATGGTTACAATGTTATTTTGTCAGGCTCAAAAGCATAGGGAATACAGACAGAAGATAATATCAAATTATCAGGTATGTAGTAACCAAAAGGTAATCTGTTTGACAAATCATTTTGGCTGTTTGTTTGGCTTGAAATTGATGATAAACCCTGAACAGTAGTTATGAGTTGTGTGCAATAGTGTTGCATTGCTGCTGGAGGCTGCTATATATCTCAGTCCATGGAGCATTTTTAGGTTACACCCTTCACACAGCGATTTGCAGCTAAAATCCATATTGGATTTATAATCCGTGGAATGGCAGCCATCCTGTTACCCACTGGCATTTTTGGGGCCAGCCTCTCCAGTCTCCAGGCTGTTATTTAGGATTGACAACATTGCCCTGAACCAAACTAAAAATTTCCATTCTAACATTTCTCCTTTTCTTACTGTATATGTTTGCCATTGATATAATATACATTCTCTCCAAATGTAAAGATTTACAATAAAAAAGTAAACAGAAAACGTTAGCTTGTGAATGATCTAATGAATACTTATCACAATTCCATAGTTTAGAGTCCCCCTTCCCCCAGGCCCTGATATCTGACGACTCCTTCAATGGGACAAGTGTAGACTACATTTTGAAGAATATCTAGGTATATGTTGATTCTTACTTTTTTAGATTCCTTCAAAGTAATAATAATTTTAAAAGTTTGTGTTCATATTTAAGATGTGAAATATATGATGACAATCTCTCCCTTGTCTCCTCTCCCTCCTCCTTCTCCTTGTATTTTTTAGCAAACTTAGAGATTTTTTGACAAAATTTTGCAGCCTCTACATCGAGAGCTATACTCTATGAATCCTGCTACATTCTTTGTCCCTGCATTTCTGAAAGCAATTAATGATAATACAGAGCAAAGCTTTAGAAGCGTCATGTCTGAGCCCTCTCCAGGCATTTTTGTATTTGACATGTTTCAACCAAGCTTTTGTGAGTTATTGCTATCTGAGGTACTTCATTTTAACTATCATTACCTATGATATAAGCAGTACCTAATATTTTAAATTAGAAGTTTTAAGCAGATTCCTGTGTGTATACTTTCATTTTTGGTTGTTAAACTTTATTTGTGGTCTCCCTAGATTGAAAATTTTGAGAAGTGGGTGACTGAAACAAAATTTCGGATCATGCGTCCCAATACCATGAATAAATATGGTGCTGTACTTGATGACTTTGGGCTTGAAACAACACTTGACAAGCTCATGGAAGGTTTCATTCGTCCTTTATCTAGAGGTGAATGGAGACAGCATTATTAACATTGTCTCGATGATAATTTGATGAATGTATTTATAAACAATTATGTATTTTTTCCTTCATTCTCTTAAGATGGGTTCAGTCAATTAATTGTTTGTTATACAGTCTTCTTTGCAGAAGTTGGTGGATCAACCCTGGATTCTCATCATGGTTTTGTTGTTGAATATGGTAAAGATAGAGATGTTGACTTGGGTATGACTTCTGCTTGATGAGTGTTTGTTTTATCATTCCACAGGTCATGTGCATATATTGGACATGTGAAAAGAAGCTAATTTTTTAATAAGTGAACCGCATGCCATCTTATCATTATTCCTGTGCAGCTTTTTGGTTAATAAAAATTTAGACAACTAATTCTCCTTTTGAAGTTTCAAATTCAAACTAGGCTTTGATAGCCATAAATTCTTTATCAATTGGAAACAGGTATTTTGATGATGTTGGATTCATATGATGTGCACCAGCAGCATATTTGATGTTATTATGTCTTATGTTTTACAATTAAGATTTTTGCCTCTGTAGGTTTCCATGTGGATGATTCGGAGGTAACCTTAAATGTTTGCTTGGGTAAGCAATTTTCTGGAGGGGAATTGTTTTTTCGTGGCACACGATGTGAGAAACATGTAAATACCGGAAGTCATTCAGAGGTAAGTCATGGAGATGGAATAACATAAAGTAATGTTGGTGTTAGGAAGATGTAAGGCATAACATTTTTTTTTTCACTTTAAGTGTATGTTGATCTACTCTTACTAAACAGACAATGCCTCAATTAGCTAGAAGTGTTGACACTTTCAGTGCCTCCACTAGCAAGGTGCCTCGCCAGTGCCTTGCTTTTTGGCACCCTTTACTACATGCATCTATTCTTAAATCTATATAGAAATATTTAATGCCCTAGATACAGTCATATGTGCATGAGGAAAAAAAATTTCATTTAAAAAGTTTGGGAGACTGTATATTGAGCCTGATGAAGTGTGGGATTGGTTTAGTTAACAGCCTCGGCCCTTACGATATTAACTTGTGACAAAATAAAATATTGCTGTGTGTGTGTTGTACTACTTGGAATGATAATTGGTGTATATATATGTATTTCTGTTTTTCATTGCAGCAATGCAGCTTTAGCAAGCATATTTTTGTTTATTTATAGTAAAAGCAAATCCAAATGATTGTTTATTTTGGGTTCATATTCTGTTCCAATGCGGTTAGTTAGTGCTGTTTGCTTACTATTGTAAGGAGATTTATGAATCATTGCCTCTTGCTATTTCTCATAGGTGGTTGTACACTTTTTTTATGGAGTCCATTATTTGAAAGCAGGAGATCTTTGATTATTCTCATGTCCCTGGACGAGCTGTGCTTCATCGTGGTCGTCATCGCCATGGTGCTAGAGCTACAACATCTGGTCATCGAGTCAACCTACTTCTGTGGTGCAGAAGGTGATTTTACTTGTTGCTTGCCTTCGTTGCTACTTCAGTTTGTCTGTTGATTATGAGTCATGTGCTTTTATAATAAGCTGCATTGACCTGCCCACTAGTTTCAGAAATCACACCCTTGTCATTACTGGTTTGAGATAATGGAAATGTATCTGATTCAACTTTTACCTTTATTTAAAGAATTTTCCAAAATGTTGCTTGTGTGGGAATACTGGCAGAGATTTCTTATTCTGATTGCATAATTGCAGCATCGAGGTGGGATGCTGCTTTTTGCTTTTGGTTTTTTGACCCTGGATTTTAGTTGAATGGATTTTAGTTAAAGATATTTTTTCTGTTCATTTTTTTTGTTCTCTCAGTAAATTAAAGATGAAGTTGTATGATGGCATTGTAGTTCTGTCTTTAGAGAGATGAAACGGTATCAAAAAGATTTCTCCAGCTGGTGTGGCGAGTGCAATCGTGAGAAAAAGGAAAAGCAACGCTCCACAATTGCTGCTACCAGATTGGTAAGTCTTTATGTAGACCAAATGTTTCATGTGCATGAATCACATGAGAAAATTTTACAAGTTTTATGTATAGCACATGCTTATTCACTTCACTTCCAACCTTGTGATCAATATAGACAGTGTTGGCAAGTTGCTGCTAGCCTGCTACCAAAGAAATAATACTCTTGAACTACCTGAGTAAAACTTGTGTTGACTTATATATGAGTAAAAGAGAAATTGAATATGAATTCAAATTCATGAAGTCATGGATTTTTTTTTAATTTTTTTTTGTATCACAGGGTTTAACTTGATATTAAAGTTTTGTTTTCAAAGAGTCAAGAAAATTAGACCTTGCAAATTTTCATGGTGAGAGGGCAATATATATGAAGTGGTCAACTGGTAAAGTTAGAATCATAGTTGTCAATAGCAAGCAATAGTGGCTGTCCATGGCGGAGTGACCTTTGGCCACCATAGATTTGGCATAGTGGAGCGTTTTTGGTGTTGTGGGTATCGTGACCATCGAGGCTGTATTCGCAGCCCAAAACGCAGCCTTTCATGGTGCAATAGTGCCACCATAGGAAAAGATACCAACTTTCCTTTTCTACCCTCAAAATGAAGGAGTTTTAGCATTTTTCAAGGGTTAAAAAGACTTATAATCTCTTGGAAATAAGTTGATTTTTCCTTTTTGCCCTTAATTTTCAGTCTTGAGGTTTTTTTTTAAGTATAAAATTGTCTTTTCAATTTTCAGACCTAACCTCACTTTTCCCCGTGTTTTTCTTCTTCCTTTCTCTCCTCTCGCTGACACTGTGACACCCCTTCCTGTCATCTCTATTGCCGTTCTGCTTTGAAACTGGAGACATGACAAAGCCCCACTTTTTTTCTTCTCCCCTTCCTCTATTTGACGTTCCCTCCTCTCATCTCTGTCTTTGTTCTGCTTTGCAACAATCTCCAATCCAAGGGAGTCACTCATCTTCTATGACTTCTTTGGCAAAATCCACTTCCTTTCTTCTCTCTATTCTATGATTCTACAGTCTTGCCTGTTATGTTCTCCTAGAAAATCCACTTTCTTTCTATATTTTGTCTTTTGTTGATAATTATTCATATGCTATTTATGCATTATATACATAATTGTCTGCATATGTATATATTTTATATCCATATAAAAAACTTTAAAATAGTGGTTATCTGCTACGAGCTGCCATCCGATATTAACAACTATGGCTAGAATCTGACATTACATTTGCAAGCCATGATCTCTCATCATGGTTTAGCTGAAATGTACCATGTTACCCAATAATAAGTAATTCCACAGCTTACCTAGCACTACTCGAACTTCATGTTATTTTACTTGCCCTCAATAGAAGTTTGCTGACTTAAGTTTATTCTGGTACGATATACTTTTTACTTAGTGCATAACTGAGATTGCAGAATATAACACTGGTTTTATGGTATGACAGGAATTGTTCAGGAGGGAAAGTGAATCCGCCGCATAATCTATTTTGCTCAGTGGATGATTGTAAAATGATGTTGCTGCAATCATTTGTCAATACAAGTAATCTTGATTCCTGATCCAGGTGTCTGTACAAGTTATCAGCTTTGTTGTGATAATTTTAGTTAAATAATTTAGGTGTCTTCCTTAGAAATTGTACTATTTATCCCATGCCTATTTAATGTCTTTGATGGGGGTATGTAGGTTGGTTTAATGCTGATTGACCATTGTATTTTTTATGCATATAACCTCAGAATCCTGTCTAGAAATATAGATTTAGACTGTAATTAATGTCTGTTGAAGTCTTTTGAGGTTCATTGGCTTAACCAACATCTAGTTTCCTTTGCTACATGTAACTAATCCCTTTTTTGTTCATTAATTTTTTTGAAGAATGCTTACTAGGGCTTTAAGGATTAAGGGCACTGATCAAGGAATTAAGTAGTTATATATATATATATATATATATATATATAAAAGTGTTATTTTATACTGGTCAAGAGATTCTTTTGAAATTAAATGAGTTTATAATATTATAATTGCAAATGAGTTGTTTACAAGATCAGTGCACGCTTGCCACTTCCTTGCGGCAAACTTAGTGTGGGTAGTGGTTCTAGGCTCAGCCAATACCATCCGCTTTGAATGTCAATAATATCAGTTCTGGCTCAATGTACAATCAATGATGGAAACATGTCTTAAATGGTTGGCAGAAAGGGAAGATTGGTTTGGCATTGAGGGATATCTACAAAATCCACAAGCTCATAAACGCTTGCAACGTTGGTCGTCAACACCTGCAAAGCCAACAAAGTAGAACCATACATAATGGGAAAATCATTGCTGGGGAAATCGCGAGGAGAGGAAATATCTAATTGTGTTGGAAATTTGTTGCAACTCGTGTAGTTGGTGACTTGCTTTTGTTAGGACTCAATTACAGGATTTTAAATAGTTTTATCATTTAGGTCAATTTTTTTAAGCTTTAAAACATGTTTTCTTAATTTACATAAAGTAAAAAATTGTTTTTATTTAGTTATAACTATAAAAAGTGTTTATTTTATTTTATTTTAAAATATAGTTAGGACTATATGTTTTTCAAAAGCTTAATGAAAATAGTTAAAGACCTGGTTTTTTAAGATCCTTTTTAAAAACCTAAATATACTTTAAATTTTATAAAAAGTTTTTCCTTTTAATAAAATTAGTTTTTTTAATGGGAAATAGAAATAAATGAAGTTTTTCAAACATCGTTTATCTACCTTTATAGTTGTAAAAAAAGTGTTTTTTATTTTTAAATATAGTTATAACTATACATCTTTTAAAAACTTAATTAAAATAGTTAAAGACATGTTAATGTTGCTGTCAGCTCAATAGTTTCTGAATCCTTTTCAATTTACGTAAGAATTTGATGAGTAATTTTATTTTCATTTAAGTGGAAATTTTTATTTAAACAAATTCTCATTTATCCCCGTTCAGTTCCTTTGTCTCTTTTTATGACTTCACTGCATAACAATTTTCCTCTAACTCGTCCAAATTTCTACCCATTTATTTTCTCTCTCTAATTAATTGCTATTCTGCTTTAGTGCTAGTTGGGTTAAAGCAACAGTTTCATTTTTATTATGTTTTTGTTTAAATTCATTTTGGTTCTAAAATTTCAATAAATAAAGAAACCCTTCGCTCTCGATCAAATTTCTCTTACTGGGGTTTTGACTTGAGTTGCTGACAATTGATGTGCTTTTTGACCCCTCTTTTGCAGGCTTAAGGTGTCAAAGTTGGTGTTGGTTGTTCCCTTTTGAAGTTCTGCAAAAGGAATAAATATGAAAATCTTGATCTCCTTTTTTCCTGAGTTGATGGCATCAGGGGTATAGCACCTTCTACTGAAATGATAGATATGAATGCAAGTTCAGTTGGTGTTGAGAGATTGCCCAAGGAGATGAATGACATGAAGCGGTCTAAGCGAATTTCTTAAGCAATTTTTTTTTCTAAATTTGTTTAAGAAAAATAAAACTAAATATTCAATTCTTGCGCAAATTGGATATGATCTATGTCATGTTTTCATTCTTTCCGTGTAATCTGTCCTTTTATTTCATTTATTATCTTTTCTTTTTCTTCCGTTAAACATAAATATTTTTAACACCATCATTCAATTGCATATACAATGAGGTTACTAACCACTAATGCAAATTTTTTTAATTGTCAAACTTTTCTTTATTACTGGTAGGTAACCACATGGGTATAATGAGATGAAATACATAATTTAGTCTTTTTATTGCGTGTCAAATGTCTTGCTTTGTATTTTGTGTATTAAGGGAGAGTTTGCATGCAATTAACTTCATAGGAGTTCCCTTGGGGCTTAAGCTTTGTTTAGAATATGAAACAAAATAAAGCCACATTAACGTAACATATCACATTTGCATTTAGACATGTACATTATTATACTAAAACAGAAATTCATATGCAATTAATGCGAAGGTGGAGGAATTGGCACCACCTTAATGGAAAGATTGAGAAAGAAAAAATGGGCAGAGAATGCAACTACAACAAAATATTTGTTACAGCCAATACCAAAATTGTGACTCCACCATGAAAATGCTCGACGCCTTTCTATTTTTCCTCAATTTGATTCCCTGTACATGCTCCTCGTAACTGCTGGTTGGTTGCTCTTTAGGGCGTTCAGTATTGCACTTCAGGCAAGCCATATTTCTTCCATAATTGTAGAAATTACAAGAAGAAAAGCAATGGACTTACTTGGGACAACTCCACAGAACATGTCTTTGGACTTGGGTTTGGCTCTAGACAATGCAAACACTTCACTTTACTACCAAAATTCATGAACCCACACCTACGTAATGGAAGAAATCAGATAGGATGTAACATGGGAAACAAGGATTTTTCATGGTTGAAGGATTTTTCACAGTTACATCACGTTAGTGTATTTCAGTGATTGGCTGATTACCCATTATTTAACGCAGAGAGACCTAACACTAGTCATTACTCGTTAGTACCAAGTGCAGCCATCCAACGCAGTCTAAATAATGGGGAAAAAGAAAACATGACATAAAACAGGACAGCAAGCTGAATGGTATTTAGAAAGAAATTTCAGAAACATAATCTGATATTTGTAATTACAAATAAATAAGCGTGATTTCATTGAAAAAAAGTCATGTTAAATTAGAAGATCCACTCGAAAATTTTCAGAATGATATCTATTCCGAAACAGAGGATAGCCCCAAAAAATCAAGAAACAGAACGAGATACATTAGATAAATGAGGAACGAAGAGAAAAGGTAAGAGTATAGAGATAGATAAGAAAAATGGTTTCCCAGTAATTGTTTGAAATTATTGACGTAAATTGATTCATATGCTGTCACAGGAAACAAAAATATGTCAACGGAAATTTTCTTGTCACATAAAAGAGAACTCAGATAATGGAAAAAAATAATTTAAAACTGCATCTGTATCAAGTTCAAATAGCACCAATTGAAATAGTTACAGAAACCTGACTATGATATTCATCACCCGTATTACTCTCTTTGATGAATACACAAAATAGCACTTCGTGTAATTGCTTCGAATATCAGCAATTGAGATATTTCGAAACAATATTTATCTTTCTTCATTGGACTTGACAGTAAATTTCTTTGATTTATGTATTCTTTTTAAATTAAACAAAGCAAAGACTAGTTTCTAAATTTTAAATAAAAAAACACTGAAATAAATTATGGATTTATATATAGATTTTATGAATTTTAATAGAAGTTATACTTGATAGAAAGATTGTTATTACGTAGAGTTTGACAATGAGGTCAAGTTGAGTTGATTAGAGATGAAAAAAAGAAAAGAAAAAGGAAAGCATTCATTTTTGTTCAATATCTATATCTATAGTCTTTTTGCCTTGTTGTATCTCTTTTGCATTTAAGAAAAGTCTGAGATCTTGATTTGCTAATTGGTAGAGCAATCTGAAATTTTCTTGAACGGGTATTAAAGAAGAGAGTATTCTAAAAAAATTCATAGAATTTAAGAAACTATTCCTTTTAGATGAAATGCTAAAAGAATACTCAAAAATACATTTATAAAACTTTTTATTTAAAAATTTTTATATAACTTAAGTGACACATTAAAAGTTTTTTTTTATTATTCTAGTTTATGTATAGGATTTTATAAAATTTACGGTTGGAAATTAATGATTATTTTTGTCCATAAATATTTTAAATTTATTCATAATGATTAAGTTATATCTGCTCTTGTTTTCACTTTTCTAGTCATTTTAGATACTATTTTTAAACATTACATTTTTTGTTATTTAAATATCTCTCTCATTTGTAGTGATTTATCTTTCAACGAATAGCTGATTAAAAATCGATCCATTGATCCAATTTTAAAGTTTGTTTTATTCTCTTTTTTTTTGTATAAAAGCTAAAACATAAAAAAAAAATTACTTTTTATTTTTCCTTCTTTCTCCCACCTCAGGATTTTTTCTATATTCCAAAAAACTAATTTTAGTAAAAAGCATAATCACATATAAGAAACTATGCTAATGACTTATCTAATTTTATTGTATAAATTTTTAGGAATGATGACTAGACCATGTAAACTAGAAATGCTTTTTTTTTTTATAAAGGAAGAGATTACTCGATCTATTATCATATCGATTATGATATATATAATAACTTGAGCACCCATTTCAAATGTATATGGCAGTTTTGCACAACAGGACAGCAAGGTTATAACAATTCACAAGAAACAACCGACCGTATTGTATGTGCCAATTGCCATTTAGCTAATAAGCCTGTGGATACTAAGGTTCTACATGCAGTACTCCTTGATACTGTATTTGAAGCAGTTGTTCGAATTCCTTATGATATGCAAGTTAAATAAGTTGTTGCTAATGGTAAAAGAGGAGTTTTGAATGTGGGGCTATTTTTATGTTTTTATTTTATCAGAAGGTTTTGAATTAGCTCATCCTGATCGTATTTCACCTAAGATTAAAGAAAAGATAGGTAATTTGTCTTCTCAAAACTATCACCTTAAGAAAAACATATTATTATGGTGGATTCTGTTCCCGATCAGAAATATAATGAAATCACCTCTTCTATTCTTTCTTCATATCTTGCTGTTAAGAGGGATGTTTATTTTTTTTTTAAATATCACATATACTTAGGAGAGAATAGGAGAAAGGGTGGGAGAGCAAGAGTAACAATAATGTTTATAATGATACAACAACTAGTATAATAAAAAGAATCATTTGAAAAGAAAAGAGGGGATACAAAATAACTACAATGAATATATTAGATGGACATGGAGTGATTAATATTATGTATTCAGGACCAGATATTCTTGTTTTGAGAGAGTGAATCTATTAAACTTGATCAAACATTAACGAATAATCTTAATATTGATGAATTTGGTCAGGAGATGTAGTACTTCAAGATCGGTTGTGTCCAGAGTTTTTTATTCTTCT